ATCACAACAAAACATTTGTTTGATAAAAATAATAATTTAAATAAATAAATATATAATAAATCATTTTGTCTAAAAACACACGAAGGCCTTCGAATTTACTTTATGATCAACCATAATCAATACAAAATAAATACAAGTAGCAATGATGCAAATATTGAAAATATAACCCTCTAACTATTAATTACGTAACTACCCAAAGTATCGGTCTAAGGATCTCGAAGAATCCGCCAAACAATCAAAGTAATTATTAATTAATAAAAGTGTCTATACTTTTCTCATGCTTAAGAGTCAAATGCCATGACGGTGATAGGGAGCAATTGCATACGACGGCTCTCGTAATATATCTCAACCTAACGCGGATCCAGTTCAAGTCTTAATTAATTATGAGTCCATCCATAATTACCGACTATGAACCATTTATGATTACTATTTATATTCATGTATTGATCGCCATCACATACATATATAAATATCTCTTGTAATCAAGTGGACACTATCAATTCTATAATGAATCAAAACATAATACATTAAATTCACCAATTGTATAAAGCATAAATATTTCAGAAATGTCAGGAACTTATGTCACTATAATCCAAATGGGAATTTGCTATGCCAGGGCATATAAATCCCAACAGCTCCCACTTGCCCTCATAGCCAATTCGGATTGCATCTAACTCCAATGTTATCCATGTGACGATCAACACTTTTGATCATAACACCTTTGTTAACGGATCAACAAAGTTGTATTCCAATGCAATGTTATAGCCACGAGTACATTTCCACGCCGGACAATATCATGTAGAACATGACACTTTCCTCTCAGTGTACCTTGTTCCTATATGGAACCTTGGGTCATTGGTTTGGACTACTTCTGCACTATTATCGCAATATAGCTCGATAGGCAGGTTAGTATGCTCCGCAACCTCTAATCATGTATGTATAATGTGACTATGTGAGTATTTAATGATATCCTTGATTCATAATGATAGCTAAAATCTTATTCATTGCTAAATTGTCAAGTAAAGCTTACATACTAGCATTCATCATACATGCATTGGGTAGATGATATGTGTAAGAGAAAAAAATATGAGAATGATAGGTTTCAACTAAATGAAGTTGTGATGGACGGAAGACAAGCGGTGGTCTTGTTTCCAAGATTTCGGTAGCTAGGCCCCAAATGGTTGGATGAGCTGTGGTTTCACGTCAGGGATAGCTAGTCAGTGTTCTAAATGGTGGACAAACAGTAGACTTGTGTCATTTGGAGTTAGAGGCCTCTAGTGTGGATTTGTTTAATGAGATGGATTGGTTGGGAAAGTGCTAGTGTGTGTAGGATGAGATCATATGATTGGTTCGGGGTGGATTTATAGCATAAGCATTGATTGCATTATTAGTCTTGTGATGGACTTGTGTGTGTGTATAATGTGATCATGTTTATGTATATATGTTGTTGCTAATGCCATATATTGTTAATTCCATTATTTCCCCCGTAATAGCATGATCCCTTTACCTTGTTCTTTGTTTTTTTTTATGTGTTTATTAATGGGGCTTTAAGAGTCATGCCTTAGGCATTATCTACTGAGCGGTGGTACACACCTTTTTACTTCAAACATTTTTCAGGATAGGAGTAGATCGGGAAGACCTTTTGTGTTGAAGACTTACTTTAACTCGTTGTGGACTTGGATGTACTGTTGATGTTTATAGATTTTAATGTTTGTTTTAGGGGTTTCAACTCCTATGTTGCACTTCATTTCCTTAGTAACTGTAATCAAATGAGCTACTTGTGTATCATGTATGTTTAAGTAACTTCAAGGCAATGTAATGTAATGTATTGAGGCCACAAGGACACCTCTACTTAAATGTGTGTGTTTCTTCCATCTTATTTTTACTTACGTCATTGAGAATTATTTTTTTCATCATTTTAACTATGTCCATAGGGTGTTTGGGATGAGTTTTAGACTTAGTTTGTGGCCATGGTTGATGCCAAGGAGGTCCCCAATGTCTTAGGCACCCTCGGAGCACTCCAAGGACAGGGCAGAGCGCTCCATAATTTAGGCAGTGCGCTAGGGGCTAATACCGAGCGCTTGCAGCCCCCGACTCAGCTTAAACATTGTTACTCCAACTTCAAATAATGATATCTCCTTCATTTTAACTCTGAATTGGGTCATTCTTGTATCTAAACTGACCGCGTCAAAACGATATTTCCAATGGTCCAGGTCTCACCCATACATTTCAACAATAGAAAGAATTATGTTCATTTTAGTGAAGATTAGTCATGTTTCCTATATGTTAGGAAGTGTCAATTTGTTTCTAAACCTTTCCTTTAGGGATTAGAACTCCATGGGAGGTTCCCTTATGTTTTGTATGTCCTATGTAGACCTACTAGGTACTTCACTTTGGTCAGTTTTGCCACGGTCATGTCAGTTGATCATTTTACCCTTGTGACTTTTAGACTTCTGAGTTGAATTTTAAGAATGGCATTGGGTTTTATTCATTCAAATTTCATCACAGAAAATCAGTATAGCACTAATGTGGATTCCAAGGCATCAAATAATGTTGAATGGCGGTTTTACCTCTAGTTGACCTTGGGTCCAGGTAAGGACCCATGTGACGATTCAGACCCCCCGGTTCGGGTCGTTACAATATTTGATGATGGGTAGGGTTGACCTAGGTGAGAGTCAGAATTTGAATTGATGGCATTATGTGCTTAAATGCTAATTATTTATCGAGTTAAAAACAAGTTTAATTGTTATGTGGTTATGTGAGAATGATTATGGGATTAATGAAGTGGTCATTGAGTTTAAGCATGCTTAATGGTGATGTATTTACGTGCAAGTTGGATATTTGTTTAGCAAAGTGTTTAATGTTTTAAAGCATGTTTAATTGACTAAGTGCTTACTTGTTAAGTTGTTTCGTTTTTAGACAAGCATGTTATACATGGTAAAATGATGGTTAATCGAGTATGAGAATTCTATTTTGTTTGATGGGACATGTTTTTGTGTTTAGTTATGTGTGGTGGTCATTTCGTTCATTATCAAGCACGTTGTAGCTCTTATTATAGTTGAGTATTTATTTTAATGTTGTTTATTCAAGTATGTGAGTTGCGACCTATGTAAGTGAGGTGTTTAATTGTTTCTGAGTCTGTACATGTCCTAGTTCTTATTGAACGAGTAGTGTGAGTATCTTAGCTCGTGGATGAAGCTATATAGTGCGATGTTATTTTGAGCATCTTGTTGCTTTTATAGTACTGTGCTCGGGGACGGCGTAGAGAGATGGATCTGAGTAGAGTTGAAGAGAGAGTAGATGAAGGGCAGTCTCCACAGGACACGATTCAATTGGGACAGGCCAAGGTGTAAAAGTGGATGCATGCCAACCCACAAGTATTAGTAAATGAGGCCTTGTTAACGAGGGTTGTGACCTCAGTTTTTTAGAGCTTGGCACGTACCATTGTTCCGCAAGTGGTACAACGGCCAATTCCTCAACCACAGGAAAAAGAGATGGAGAGGAACCTATGGTGCATTATTTAGTCTGATAAGCTTATGAAAGAGTCGTTTGAAGGAGTTCTAGACCCATTGGTTGCGGACAATTGGTTAGAGTAGGTCGAGAAGCATTTCAGGGCAATGTTTGTGCCCAATGATTGGTTAAAAGATCACTTTAGCCACGTATCGGTATTAATATCGGTCGCGGTGTAACGGACTCGGACAAAGTAAGTATAAACTGGTTAATACGGATTACGTATCGAACTAGAAAAAGGACCATGTATCGATCGATACATCACGTATCGAATGATATGGAAAACCATGATACATACATTTTAAATGAATTTACAAACTAGAATGTACCATAGAAAGATGCCACTAAGATGTCAGATGTCGTTATTAATCCGAGTGGGGTTTCCATTGTCATCTTTAGTGTGTATTAATTAACACTTAAAGCTTCAGAGTCACTGTACGTGTTATTAGTAGTAAGCCCATTCAAGATCGACTGCAACTGTAATCAGTATATGGTAGGAGTAAATAAAATTCGAAAGTGACTGAAACCTGATTTCTCTTCCACCACCATTCCAACGTAGACTATCCTATGTACCAACATTTGAATTTTGTGGTCCCTTCAACTTTGCAAATTCCTCTTTGTTTTTATTTTTCAAGTTATTCCCCACATGAGCGAGAATATACCAACTATATATGATGTAAAAATTGTCACAATCCAGTTCAAAATATGACATACACAATTGACAAGTAAAAACTTGTCTACCACATGGTAGTATTTGCTGGGCAGATCTAGTGGTACAAAAGTGGGCACACCCTTGGATGTCGCAAGGAGCATCTGTCAGACCTCATCTTCTTCATTTGGGTGAACTTATTCCTTGAGAAAAAACCCATAAACACATACATTTAAGAATTGTATTACCCATGTATGTCCACCAGATTATGTGGGATGTTGGGTGAGAAAAACTGTTGGAATAAGTTTAGGATTACTCTAATAGGATTAGGGGCGAGTTTGGTGTGAGTTTAAGACCTACAAAACTCTGAACCAGCCTCGATTACTAATAAATATATAAATATTCTTTTTATTAGCTATAATAAAACAAAAAGAAAGCATCGCCAAGGCCGAATGATCAGCCATGGTTCAAGGAAGTTTTCTTGTGTTTGAACTGGTACTTAACTAATTAATTATAATCACAAGTGTCTTCTAATATTCTTATAATGGAGTCCCATTTATATATTAACTACATATAAGTAATTAGAGGGAGGCCTAGCAATCCCCATCACAAACACTACTGGTGAGATTGTAAAATCCAGTAATTCTTGCTATTATAGACCTAATTTTAGCTTGAATGATTAAATCTGAAAAGGAACAATATATAAGATGATTCCCATGATCTAAAAGCATAAATTATGTTTCCAACATGCTGTCCATTATAACAATTTTGTATAAACTATTTTAAACCAATTATTTCTTTTTTTGGATAATCGATCATAAATATGTAATCAATTCTTGCAACATGCATGAATAGCACAATATAATCAACATATACAAAATTATTTAGATGCTTGAGAAAATCTCCTCCATTTGGGAGGAAGTTTTCTTCTCTTCCCTAACCTTTAGGTAATGAAAAGACTGCAACTAACAAGCACGAGCAGGGTCATATATGTTGGCAAATTGGATGCCATAATATATTCTCATGATCAAAAAAGATAATCTGTATGTGTAATGGCAAAAACAGGGAAAAACATGAAGTCTTAAAAGTTTAAAGCTTGTTTGAAGTTTGAAAAATGCAAGTGTTTGATTAATTTCCCACCATCCACTTCCACAGCCACTTCCTTTCCGTTATACTTCAATTTCATCCACTAACATCTTTTCTCTCTTTTGATCTTTTGAAATTCTCCATCTCAACTACTCTGCAAATATAAATAATATTGATTCTTTAATACCCATGAAAACATGCATGGAAAAAAACATAAGAACTAAGAGCTCAAGCTTCTCTCACCACTTGATCAGCTTCTTGTTACTATATATATTTGTCTTTTGATCCACTCTTTCCCGAGCTTTCTTCAAGACCTGACATTATGCATTTGAAATCAGCTAAAAGTACCAAATTTAGCTCGAGAATCAAAATTGTCAACCAAAAAGAAAGTTAAAATACTATACATGCATTTGACTTAACCTCTTTTGCGTTTGGGCTTGGGTTTGGGATTGTTCATGTTCTGCAACATAAAATTAATAACGTCTTTTAAACTGGCTCTTCTATTTTCTTTCAGAAGCCAAAGCTCCGAAACCACATATCTTCCACTCGGATTATATTCATTCATCTCTTTCAACGCTTTGGTAACAGCTTTATATATTTCACCTCCCGAACTTCTCTTCAAGTATTTTAACTGCTCGTCGTCTTCATTCAGTACTTCCTGCATCACACATTACACACATTAGAAAATTAACATGTTTTTCTATTAATTTCTCCTTTGAATGTTGCAAATATTTTAATCGAATACATCCAAAACCATACATGGGGATTTCCTTGGACAATGACAACTTTAAATGGATGCCACTCAGGGTTGCTCAACTTCTCCTGCCACGAGGACTGCATCTCGGCGGCCTTTACCATCGCTACATCAACTCGGTAACTTTTCTTGAATTTATTGAGAAATGGCTTCTCATCTATTTCCCCCATTCTCTTTATCACAATATCAGTTTTATCGCTCAAAACATGTGACAAACCCTATATATAAAAATGAAATCACATTATGTTATGTATGATGGTGACAAAATTTTCCTAAAAAAAGTGTTTTAGGCAAATTCGTAAGAGATCTTAATTGTAGTCATGACAAGTCCTTGATCCTTTATAGAAAGCTTCATTTAAAAAAAAATAAAAATAAAAACATGAACAGTTTATAAAAGAAGAGTTATCTAACAGACCATTTTACGAAGTTATGCATGCACATATTGACACACATTATATAAAAAGAGAGAACACCACATTAATTAGAACCATTCTCTAATTCTAACCAACTATTATGTATAGGAGCCACAAAAAAGAAAGATGATAAAAGTATAAATGAGTTCATACCGTAATTAGTATCTTACGAGCTTCTTGTAGCTCTTCATTGCTTTGCCGCTCTTTCACTATAAGAGTTTGATTTAAATCCCTCAAATCATCATTATCCTTCTGCTTTGAGTTGTCTTCATTTTGCACCTGATTAAATAAACTACTGAATAATGAAGAGGGTTTCAATTAATTAATTTGGGTACAATGCATTACCTTTTGCTCTTCAAGTTGTCTTAGGAGCTCGGCCGTAGCAGAGATTTGGTTTATACAAGCCAACCAAAGGGGATTGTGTCCCTCTCCATTCTAAACAGACAATAGAAGACATTAACTGTAGGATGGGGGAATTGCATGTATCAAGTTGTGGATTATAGGGTGATTATAGCGGCTCGACACCACTATCATCAACCAAAAAAAGTAAAAGAATAAGTTCAAACCGACAACTACATGTACGTTTCTACTATTTGGTAGATTACTTTATTTTATATGTTAAGATTAATATCTGTTTACCATGGAATATTCAACATAAAGAGTACTTCACTTCTGTTGAAGCAATAAAATAACCTTAAAGAACAAACCAGAGAAATTATTTATATTACAACATATAACATGAATGATAAGATATTCTTACTAGTAAGATGTGCAATCAAATGTGTCCATTACATCTTATACCCATGTTTGTGTGAACATCATTGTACCTCACCACATATTCACAATTATAAGTAACAGCTAAACATTTAGTGAAGTAGAGAAGCAAATTTTACTTACAGTTGGCAAAGGATTCTGTGACATTGACTAATGTGAAATACAACAGACAAATCAATAGATGGTTAAGAAACTTGGAGAACTGCAAAAATCACATGAATGAATAACATTAGACAAATAAACACAAATCATTTTAGGATGCATCACATATATAGGTGTACTTTTTAGCTTCATCACAATAATCGACAAAGACTGAAAACTCCATAAACTACGAAAAATTATTACCTGATCCTGGGAATCATTGGTTCCAGGGCAATCATTCGACATGCAAATAAATGTGTCAGAAATGTGCAAGTGTCATTCAGCCTTTTTGCTTAGATGTGAATTAGTGATTCATCTGGATCATTGGTTGCGGGATCATTGTAATAATTTATCATAAAACATAAGAACTACTGGTTCACAGTAACATTTCTTCAAACACTATCTAGACATTTTATTTTCATGGGACATCTAAGCATGTTATAGCACTATATTAGGTTTATTACCTCTTTTGAGTACAAAATGCAGACTATGAAACTCTTAGTTGATACTAAGGCCCAAGAATGTCTGTGGTATTTCTCACCATCCAAAGAAAAAGATCTAGGGTTTTAGCACACATAGGGACTAAGTGGGTGTGTGAGTTTCAAAATAGAAAAAAAAAAAAGAAAAAAAAAAGAAGGAACTCTCAATTGATTAATTTGCTCGGCAGATAATTCAACTACACTCAATAATTCTCAAATATCAAATTTTCTATTTATGTGTATATGTGAGTATATGCACACATCTATACATAATATATAGTCGTGGATATTTTGAGAGGGACTCGCAAATTAAGTTACTAAAACACAATATATAATATTGATTAATTTGCTCGGTAGTTTCAACTTCATTCTGTAATCTTAAAACTATAACATATTCAACTCCACTGTAAGTTAAATTACTATAACATTTTAAACATATATATCAACGTGAAATATATATATATATATATATATATATATATTTTGGATTTGAATCTATGAGAAAACTCTAGAGATCTAAAGACATAGACGAGAGACTTACACGGTAAACTCTTTTCTCCTCTTTCGTCTCTGCACTTGGGATTGGAAATTTGGAAGGAGAGTCTGCACAACTTTATATTTGGTAACGGGAGTCTGTATGTATTCCCTCACATGCACAATTGTACCACGTTTACTAACTCTTGAGTATTTTGAAGTTTGAATTTAATACGTTGACCGTTCGAATAAGTAACTAAAAATACTTTTAGGCTTTTTCTTTATTTTGACCTAAAATATTTTTTTTATACAGTAATTTTTTTTTTCTAGATAAATTTTTTTTATTAAAACAAGTTTATTGATGAGTAAGTTATTTTTATTAAATTTTAATATTTTTTTGTAAATATTTTATGCAACCAAACTTCAAAAAATAAAAAAATATTTTTTTAAAAAATAATTTACATCTAAACAAACATAACATTAAAGTCTTGGAGGCCAACAAAATTCTTTGTACTTACACTTCTGATTGATTATATACGCGCAAAATGTAAGAATCCACTTCATTGAATCTTATCAATTAATAATGTTGTCAAATAATTCTGTTCAACTTATGGCCCCAAGGAAAATAATAGTGATATTTAGGCCTATTCAAGATATTACTATATCACAAAGCTCTTGATATACACAAATGATTACAAATGTGTAGAAATATGTGACTTGATTATAAAAGAAACACAAACAGATTTCAACCAGTTTTCCCTCAAAAAAAAGATACCAAATTTTTAATTTGAGCTCACTTTATACACAATCACAAGTGCAAACGAGTAGCTTGAAGCCATGAAGTTGAACAGGTGCAAATGTCAGTGTTCATACTTTAACAGGTTAAATTCTATTCACCTCTCTTGATATTTGGACAATATTAATATTTTACAACCTTTCAACATTTATTATTTTGACATTTCCTAAACTCAATTGTGACAAAGTTACTTAAGAGTATGAAAAATCAATAGTGCCCTTATGTTATACTTCAACCAAGCAACTCAAAATGTCTAAACAAGGTTAAAAAAAAAAAAAAAAAACCAACAACAAAACATTAACTGCAAAGTAGAAAGGTCTAAACTCTAAACCCAAAAGAAGTTCTACTAATAGTTTTTACAATTAAACTGAGTTAACTGTACATCAAAAGCAGATCGATGACCGCAAAAAGTTTGACAAGCCATACCAAAAACTAGTTCATCTTTAGAAGTCTTCTGTGTGGCACTCGTACACACCGTCGTGGATATAGTTACATCTTCACATAATTAAGCAGAAGGAAACATTCAGTTTTACATAACCAAAAGGAAACTTGAATGCAATAAACACAGCTCCAAGATGACATCTCTACACATGCATCCTCACTTCCCCGAGCAACTTGCAAGACCTGACACTTTGCATTTGAAATCACAAATAATAATATTTTAGCTCAATAATCAAAAATTACCAACCAAATAATTGAATAAAAATATCGGATGAAAAAAAAAATGAAAAAAAAAAAAAGGATTTCAAGTACCATACATGCATTTAGCCTAACCTCTTTTGCGTTTGGGTATGTTCATGTTCTGCAGCATAAAATTAATTACCTCTTTCAGACTGGCTTTTCTGTTTTCTTTCAAAAGCCAAAGCTCAGGAACCACATATCTTCCACTTGGATTATATTCATTCATCTCCTTCAACGCTGTAGTAACAGCGTTATATATTTCGACCCCCCAACCTTTCTTCAAAGATTTTAACTTCTTGTCATCTTCGTCCACTACTTCCTACATCACACATTATATGGAAGTAATTAAATTAGAAAAAACAAATTATATATATATATATATATATTTCCTATGGTCCTTCCAATTGTACAAAATTTGCAATTATAGATGAGGAAGAAATCCAAAAGCATACTTGGGGATTTTCTCCGTCAATGTCAATGACAAGTTTAAAAGGATGCCAGTCAGGCTTTCTCAAGTTATCCTGCCACGTAGAGTGGAACTTAGCGGCCTTTACCATCACTTGATCATCGGCTGGGTATCTTCTCTTGAAGGTACTGAGAAATGGCTTCTCATCTATTTCTCCCATTCTCTTTATCACAATATCAGTTTGATCACTCAAAACATCTGACAAACCCTATAAAACGATAAATGAAATCACATAAAGATATACCAATCGTAGTAGGGAAAATTCCTAGTCATGCAAGACAGTTACACACGATCCCGCATAGAAAACAATTTTTTATTTATTTAAAAATGACAGTTTAATTCATTATTGTGACTATGCTGATAAAAATATCGACTATAAGAAGAGCTATCTAACATAACCATTTTAGGATGTTATGTTAGAACAAGGCATGCCACCAACAATGCGAGGACTCCATATTTTGGCATAATATACCACTTCTCCACTCAATAAATAAATAAAAATCTTTCTAACCATGTATTATGTCATGTATTAAGATTCACAAAAGAGAATGATGAAAGAAAGAAAAAGAAACAAAAAAAAGAATTCATACCCTAATTAGCATGTTACGAGCTTCTTGTAGCTCTTCATTGCTTTGCCGTTCTTTCACTATAAGAGTTCGATTCAGATCTCTCACATCATCATTCGTCTCATCCCCTAGATCCTCCTCCTGTTTTAAGTTATGCTCTTTTTGCCCCTGAATAAATAAACTATAAGAGTGAAATGGAAATTCAGAGAGTAAACAATGGAGAGAGTTTCAGTTAGTTAATTTGAGTACGTACAATGCAAACATTTTACTCTTCAAGTAGTTTTAAGACCACTGCTGTTGCGGAGATCTAATTTATACAGGCCAACTGAAATGAATTATATTCCACCTTATTCTGAAAAGACAAAAGAAAACATCATTTCCGTGACAAAGCATATATATTTTAGGGTAAATTGCACCGACACCCCCTGAGGTTAGGTCATATTTCAGCTAGACGAAGATTTTGGTTTTAACTTTCACTTACACCCCAATCATGTGAATGGACCATTTTACCCTCAATTTTTTAATACAAAATATATATAATCTTAAATGACAAAAAAAAACCCTATCCCTACCCCCCACACAATCGCCACCATCTCTAGCTCCATCAGATGCACCAGTTCGTGTACAACTCCTTCAAGTTCAAGAAATTGGTAAAGTAGTTTTGGAACCTTGTTGGAGCATTTATGTCCCAATATTGAATAGAGTTAAGATCTTCAAAATCTTTCAACATTTTATCCTAAACTGCTTCCGAGCAGGTATGACAGTTGCTTTGGGGCAGCCTACATCCACCACCACCTATCCCAAACCACTGCCACCATCTCCATCCTGACATCCACCACCACATATCCCAAACCACTGCCACCATCCCCACCTCCATCCTTACAACCACCACCATTAACCCATCACCCAAAATCTACCGAGCGGAAAACCCATCCTTATCGCAAATCGATCTGCGGCATAACCCACCCCCAAAACCCATCCTTATCGATCTGCGATTTTCCTTTCTGTCCCTACCTTCCACCATCCGCGAAGGTGTTAAAGAAATTCCAGAAGGAAGTGGTTGATGGTGCAGCCGATGAAGACGCCATCGCCGAGCTCAGTGACCTGGACGGCAGTCAACGGCTTATAGTGGCCAGCGTAACTGAGAGTGTTGTCGAAGGTTAAGAACTGTTTGAAGCAATTGGGTACGTCTAGAGGGGCTAGAATATCGTCGATGGAGAGGTGTTTGGCTCGGTCCTGAACGGATTTGACGCCGGCATCGTTGCAGAGGATTTGAATATGGCCGTCGGGATCGGTGGAGAGTCTACCGGCGAGGGCGGGGAAGTGAATCGACGACCACAGATTCACAATGCCGGCGAAAATCCCAACTTCTTCAGCAGCGAAAGAAGCGGAAAAAATGGCTGCAACGGCAGTGGACGACGGCTTGATAGCATGGAATATCGGTGGAAACGCGGCCGATGGATGAACGGCGGCTTGGGATGAACTGCGACAGTGAGCTTCGGAACGGTGGCACAGCCGTGGACGGGCGGAGGTGCACGGCGGGATGGAACGGCTAGGATGAAGATGGGTTGTGGAGAGAACTCGGCCAAAATAATTGATACTAACTAATGAATATTCCTTTTGAGAGCAACAATTTCAACCAACAAAAGTAACAAAATGTCATCGGGTAGTATAGGCATCGTCCTACACGCATATTTGAGGTCAAAATGAGAAAAAGAAGGTTGGTTCATGACAGAAAGGTGGTGGTGATTGTGAGGGGTACTTTGGTCACAAAAAAAGTCAATGTGAGGTTAAAGGTAGTACAGTCATTTAATACCTCAAAAGTACTCTGATTCAATCAAAAATTGATATTTGGAGTGTAAGTGAAATGCTAAATAACTCATTCAAATATAAGTGAAATCTAAAATCAAAATGTTAATCTAGGTGTAATATGACCAAATCACAGGGGGTGTGAGTATAATTTACCTTATATTTTATATGTAAACTATTCTGCAAGCACTTTTTGCATGTCCACTTGTATTAATACCACGTCGTGAACAAATGAAACCCAAACTTCTGCTTTTAATCACATTCTGATAAAAAAAATAAGCCAAAATTGGTCTGAAATGTGCACATTACACCACAGTCCCAATATTGCTACAATTTTGAGGGTCATTGGGTCTAGCACAGACTTAACCAATGGACACCTAATTTTTATTCAGAGGATTCCCATTAACTTGATGGACTTCATAGCTAACTAGTGAACATGGCACACATTTTCACTCGCCCAGGTCTCACTAACATAGGTGACTAAATATTACCTTGCAAAAAAAAAAAAATAATAAATAAATAAAACACAGGTGACTAAACTATCATTAGTTTATCCTGTATTTATTATCGTCCATTCAGAGTGATGTGGAAACAAAGTCTAGGTCATATTATACAAGAGATCCAATTTACCAATAGGCACTTGATCCAACAAGTTTGGTTAGTGAGTTAGTAGTGACAAGTGAAGCGACTCCAAAGTACAATACTATAGTCTATATTGCATACTATATGGATTTTGGTACGTGTATAATTAATGCATTAGTATGTGTCTAAGTACTGGATTTATCAAATGTTCAAACCCAATGACAAGAAGAGGCAACTACAAATTCATAATATTTACTACATTACTTTTATTTTATATGTTGAAATAATATATTTATATAATATAAAATATTCAACATAAACTTCACTTGTTTGAAGCAATAAAGTAACCTAAAAACACAAAATAGAGAAATTCATTAACATGAATTATTAGATATCGTCGCTAGTTACATGTCCAATCGAATATGGTCATTACATCTCCTACCCATGTCTGAGTGTGAGAGCCGTTGTACTTTACTATAAATGCCCAGTAAGAATCAAGTAGAGAAATAAAATATACTTGCATTGGGGAAAGGATTCTGTGACATTGGATTAAAATCAACCTGCAATTAGCCAATTCAATGCATGTTTAATTTTTTTGTTTGAGAACTGCAAAAGCTGATAGAATGCATAATTAACCTGTGCTACATTATGAAATACTACTACTTCAAAGTCAATCATTATCAAAAGCAGCCATATCCTTTCAATTTTATTCCTTTGTTAGTTTACCCTTCCATCTCAGTTCACATTATAATTGTTAACAAAGGGGTCGCCTAGTTTACGAGACTCCCGCTACTTCGAGGTCTTACAAGGGTCAAAACACAAAAACACGTAATCCTACCTCCACATGTAGAAAAACTATTTTCTGTTTTGAAGCTATGACCTCCAAGACATGCACAATGGAACAACCTTACCATTGCACCAAGGTCATGTATTATTTGGCTCAGTTGACATATGCGACCTTACCACTGCGCCAACGCGGTCGATTAGTTGGCTTAGTTGACATATACCCATCTTAGAACTTAGCAATTCAAGATTAAATAATAAAAAAAAAAAATAGATTTTTTTTTTAATTTTTATTTTGGTTAGGTAAATAAATACTCACACCCATTTCACAAAGTGCCAGTTGAAAATGGTCCACTGATATCTTCTTATATAGGTCTACTATTTAGCCTCAGAACAATTAATAACAAATATTGAAATTTTAAAACTGGTGCTATTTCATGAAAACCCTAACAACTAAGACCTACCAGTCCCTAGAAACGATATTCAAGCACTACAGAAAAGATAATCTACAACTTGTTCTAGCACTATATCAGGTTAACTACCTTCTTCTTTCTTTTCCTTTTCTTTGGAGTACAAAATTCAGATTATAAAAACTCTAAATTGATTAATTAGCTCCGTAGATTCAACTGCACTGAATAATCTCAACTATCAAAATTTCTATTTATGCGTATATGTGAGTATATATATACATCACTGGTCTAGCATATTCTGAGAAGTGCCTCACAATATATATTCTTGATTAATTTGCTCTGCAGTTTCAACTACTCTGTGAGTCTGTAACCCCAACTATTATGACATTTTAACCTATATATCTGTGTAAAATTATGTACACACACACACACATACACATTTTGGAATTGCATCTATCAGAAAATTATATATATACGCACACATACACATTTTAGAGAGAGATGAGAGACTCACAGGGTTAATTCCTTGCTCCTCTTTGATCTGCGTCTCTGCACTTGGAATCGGAAGTTGTGGACTCTATTATATGTTATTCACATTACACATCAACTTAAAATTTGGGCAGCTCAATAAATGGATTCCATTCATGTCAAGTTGTCATTTCAGACGCCCAGAGGAGTTTTTTTTGCAGTAGATGTAATCATTCCATTTAGAGAGGGTCTTTTGGCTTCCTCAGGGCTGTGTGAAGCTTAGCTTGCTTGAGCAGCCACGTGATGATTCAAGTGCGCGGTGAGCGTAGTAGCCCCTTGGGCATGCTCCTTAGCTTGTACCGCATTCCTATTAATACGAGCTAGTGAGGGCCGGAATGGAATATCATACATACAGAGAAATGTATTATTTTCTCAAATTTGGTAAAGAAGGAAATTTGAGACTCCTGTGGGACAATGGTCATTCTTGGGCTTACTTTTTGGGTTGGATATCCTCAACCCATCAACTGGTATAAGAGCCAAATCTTAAAGGATCGCTAGTAAACTTTTTTGGGTTGGATATCCTCGACCCAATAACTGATATAAGAGTCAAGAGTCTAGTCTTAGTAATATTCGCAATGAGCCTTATTCGAGAGAAATTGTTGAGTAGTTGAACGAGTTCCACCTGTATTGGTAAAGAAGGAAACCCAAGATCAGGGTGGAGTGAATTAACTTTTTTGTATGGTATATTCCTAACCTTTTTTCTTTTTTTTTTTGAGATATTTAACTTTGTAAGAGTATAGTTTGTAATATATATATATATATATATATATATATATATAAAAGAGTATAATTTTTAATGTTTTTTTTATTATAGTGATAGACAATGAATTTTAGAATACACTGAATTCACATGAGGTTTTATTTCAACTTTAATTATTTTTATAACTTCATGGTAAGAGGATAAATTAAAAATATTAAAAAAAAATAATACATTAACTTTTGAATTAAGATCATTATTTTGGAACAATGTAAAAGGAGAACTTGACACTTGTTATGAGATGAATGGAGTATTTTATATAATGGACTATTTTATATAATGGAGTATTCTAAATATCGTTCTCATATTGGATTGTTATGTTACTAGTAAATTTTAGAATTAAAAATGAACTTTGGAGTGAGCAGCAAAGGTGAATTTCATGTAGTTAGAAGTTGGGTTGAATAAGACTTAATTTAGGCTAAATAAGTATTATTTTGTTACATTACAAGTTTATATAATTTTAATATGAGGTAAAGTGTAGATGCCTCGATAGTCCATCCAGTAGCTAGTGCCTCCAGTGGATTTTGGAAATGACAGACTTCGACTCTTTGCACCTACTAATCTAATTTCTAATCCTTCTTACCTTGTAAATATATATATATATATATGTGGTAAAGTGCAAAAAATCTCCTTGAATTATGTTTGAATTTGTAAATAATCCCTTTGAATTATATTTTATGCATAAAATTCCCTAAACTATCTCATTTTGTTGCAACATACCTAAGAACTATACTATATTTCATTAAATGACCATAATGCCCCTTCTCATTGAATTACATTTAATATATTTTTCTTATCTAAATAAATTATTAAAAAAATTCATACTAATTTGATGAGATATTTTTCATTAAATTTGCATAAATTTACCTTTAATTTTTTTAATTAATATATAATAAATTTAGTAGAGTTTTTTTAAAAAAATTAATTAATTCTTTAATTTTTAATGAATATATTACATGAAAAGAAGGTATTTTTTTCAAAAGTATTTTATTAGTTTTTCATCAATATATTGTATGAAAAAAATAATATTTTTTTTACGATAAAAATGTTTAAATTGGTTATAATACGTTTTATTATGAATAATAAAGTTTTAATAATAAGTTAATCAATTTAGAAAATGGTAGTTACAAATCTACTTATCTATTTTATTAATATTTTTATGATAAATTGATACTAATAATAAAATTAAGGTAAATAGTATAATACACAAGAGAAAAAATAATAAAAATAATTTAATAAGAAATGAAAATTTTAATGAGAAAGGGTAAAATAGTCTTTTGTGATAAATTTATCCTTAATTGCAACAAATCAATAGTTTAGGGGGGTTATTTTTAGTTTAGGGAATTATTTACAAAAGAACAATAATTTAGGAGAGTTTTTTGCACTTAACCCTTTTAATATGTGAAGCCTAATTGATCCGAACTGTTCTTATACGATTTGGTTTAGATGGTTTCATTGATTCAGTATGATTATAATACTTTGGTAACCACTAGAATGAGTTTAGTTTCTAATAAGTCCCCTCCAACACATAGGCTGCTCAAACTTTCCATTCCCTAAATCGAGTTAAACCAACAAGAAGCACTAGTTACGCCCTTTGAGTCTGATTTGACAATTTAGTGGGAAAAGCTCAAGTGATATTAACACTTTTCCTTTCTCAGCAAAGGGAGAATCACCAAAAAAGGAGGGAAAACAAATTGATGAAACAATTAAACAAAACTAGAAAATTGATAAATAACCAATTAATTAAAGAAAGTATTTGAATGAAAGTTCAAATAGTGGAGTTTTCCAATTAGATTATTTTTATTATTATTATTATTTTTTTATAATTTCAGACTTCTTAAAGCACCTCAATTAAAATTTTAGACCGTTATACTAATCCATCCCTCTTAACTACAAAATGTAGCGAATTTTTTTTATGAAAAATAGTTTGATAATAATTAACTTAATATTTAAGGCTGTTGGATCGGTGCAAGTTAAAGTTCAATTAGTGCAATTGCCTTTTCGACTAAGTTCTATCAATGCATGCCGAAGTTAGATCGGTGCGTGGTCAAGTTCCACCGGTGGAAATGCATTTTGTTTTGACCTTTATTCAAACGAGTAGCCTCAAGGTATGGTGCATCTTGAAATTGAATAGGCTTTAACTACTTGAATCAAAATTTCGACTCTTACAAGTTTTGATACTTCAAATTACGGTCTTGAAAAACAAAATGTCCTCCCACCAATCTACTTACCTAAAGGGTGTGTTCTAAATTGAAAACATCTTGAATTGCAACTTGAGATGATGTTTTTTGACATGAAATATGTCAAAACACAATACAATTCCAAACAAAATATGTCAAAGCACTAGTTTTCAGGGGCATGTTCTTCTTCGAAGCGCATGTGCCTCTCCTCAATTATTTCAGAATCCATAAAATAATTAATGGTAGGGAGTTTATCCCAAATGCTTGAAATCAGTATCCTAAAACAGTAGAATGAGATGTTATTCAGCATCTTTTACTTATGAGTAATGATAGGGGAACCGAAAAAGAATTTTCGAATTAACACCGAATTTGACGTGATTGACTATACTTATCACGTGTTAAATTCGGGACTTATTCGGGGAAATTATTATTCCTCTCTCATTTTCAGCGCAACATTTTTGAGGTAGAGAATGTCTTGGAAAAAGGCAAGGCAATCAAGGGGATTGCTAGCTTTTTAAGGCAGGGGAATGTTGGGCATCTCTGCTCTATGTGTGGAGGAGTGAAACAACCTTTTTTAGCTTAGTGAAATACTAATAAGACTTGTTTGGTTTCACACTACGTTACACGATCCTTTTTTAATTGGTGTCGCTTTTATACTCCGTATTTTCGCTTTTATGTTCTGCGCAAGTTCTCGCTCCCATTTTTACTATGTATGACTTACTTTCACATTGAACTTCTTTGCCATCATCTACTTCTTCTTCTTTATTTATTTATTTTTATTTATTTGTTATTTTGTATTAATAATAATGAAACAATAAAGTTAAAAGAGCATGAGGGGAGGGCATACCCTACAACCACAATGGAAGAAACTCCAATATGTTTTTTTTTTTTGGAATGGTAAAGCAATTGTATAAATGAAGGAAAAATTACAAGGCCTATTAAGAGCCGAAGGAATAGAAAATACAAGGCCCATTAGAAGGCCAAGCATAGGAAAGAAATAGCCCAATGATGATTGGACCAGAAGAGTTTCCTATAGAGACCCAACAGCATAGCCATTGATATTCCGTGGAACGCATAATCAAGAGATACACAGCATACTCCGGTAAACAAAGGGATATTTGTCATGACTGTTGGACCACATATTAGGTTCCTTCTGAAGCCTCCCATATCTTGCATAGATACCCCTGAAATTTGGTGCATGATTTCTACCCTGGTGCAGCAGTTGATTTACCTTGATAGTTGTTGACACCTTATGAAATGTCATTTTTGCTCTTTCACTTTTGTAAAATACCCATGTAAACTTAATTTATTAGTTGAAATGACCAATTTATTGTGAAACTCTACTTATATGAACTCATATACCAGGCACATATCTATGTGGTGTTTAGTAGGCAGTCGTCCCCATTGAACTTTTTTATTTCTGGATCGGTCACTACTCACACACTGTAACGATCCCAAAACTAATGCCAAGAATTTTTTTTTTTTTTTTAAAAAATTCGGCATAACCTCCCCTAAAAATGGACCTACCGCAACCTGTTTAAATGCATAATTAACCTGTCATGCAACTAATTTCCGAATTCACGGCAACAAAAGATAATGATACAACCTACTAATCTAGACAATGCTTCAAGTTAGGATTATCCTTCCATTCATCAACAAGTTACATATCATCAAGTTCGCATCCCATATGTCATCAAGTATTATAAGTGTACTACATGATCATGGTTCTTCAAAAGAAATTTACATCATTACACCTTTGGAATTTTACAAAAAATGAGGGATGAACAAAGGAGTAGTCTATTACAAAATAACAAGGAAAATGCTCCTCTAGCAACTTTCAAAGTTGGGGTGGATTGTCGTCCACCGGTTCTTTTCCAAGACCTGAAAAAAAATATATAGATATAGGGGTGAGCATATAGCTCAGCAGAGACACTTAAGACACAAATCTTGTGTCCTTGTGAATTCAAGCAAAGCATAGGCCAATGGGAGATAGGGATCATACAACGTAGGGGATCAAATATAACATACAATTCAATTCCAATTATAAACAATGCAATGCAATGCAATGAAATGCAATGCATGTCAATGACACTCCCTATTTTCATTCTCAAAACCATCACTTTCAAACGTTAATATAGCCCGCCCTTTGGTAACCCCGCTGCAACACGAGAGGAGGATTGACTAGTGTCCCTGACCCTTGGTAACCCCGCGGCGTCATTATGGGGCCCAGCTAGCTCAACCACACTAGGGCGACTCCTTAGTCCCCTCTAGGCTATATTAACCTCCGGTCCGTTGGTAACCCCGCAACGACCGGGTTTCGCATAAAATCATTTCATCAAAAACACTTTCCCGAAATTTCCCCTTTTCGAAGTAAATCAATTCTTTCCCTTTTCTTGCCCAATGTTAATGCATGAATACCTCAATGACATACACAAGTTCATCATTCCATACTTTATCCAATTTAAGCAACATGGCATAATTCGCAAGAATAATCAAGAAAGTCATAACATGCTTATACATAACAAGTTCTAGCACAATGAACATATAAAATCAAGTCCTAAACATGCTTCACATAGAATAATCAACAAATATAGTCACACAACTAACATATATGCATACATATCAACAATTCTCTAGATTTTAAACAACTAATCAAATTAAACAACAATTAGAGGCAATTAACTCACTAAGGTACAAGATTTCATGAATTGAGGGCCCCTACCTCAAGATTGCACCAAAACCCTAGAAAATGGGTCCTCAAATTCGAGCTCCAAGGAAGACTCAAAACTGGAAATTGATGGTACGGATGTATAGAGCTTCACACGAGCTTCGTTTTGCCTCAAACGGAACCTAATTCCAACAAGAAATGAGTGAGAAATCTAACCTCAAAGTTGAAACCAAAAAATAAGAGAAAAATGAGCTTACGGGTTGAGAGAGAGATGCACGAAGAGAGAGAAAGGGAATCAGGAAAATGAGACCAACTTTATGGTCTTGACCCTTTTCTAAAGTGCCTTGTGGGCCCCACCATTAAATTATTTTTCTTTTACTTTTATATTACACTACACACACACAATAAATACACAGACATCACATTCTCCCCAACTTATAAGGATTTTGTCCCCGAAATCAAGACATACCTGAGGAAGAAAACAACGCTGGGTACTTGGACCGAACCTCCTGTTCGAGCTCCCAAGTAGCTTCCTCGACTCCGCGGTGTCTCCAAAGGACTTTCACCATTGGTATCGTCTTATTCCTCAACACCTTCCGTTGTGTGTCAAGAATCTGAACTGGTCCTTCCTCGTAGCAAACATCCTCATCAATGTCCACATCTACCCAACTCAAAATGTGAGATGGATCCGGTTCGTACTTCCGTAACATCGATACATGGAAAACATTGTGGACCCTATCCAACTGTGGTGGCAAAGCAAGCCTGTAAGCAACCTCTCCTACTCGGTCCAAAATCTCAAACGGTCCAATAAATCGTGGCGACAACTTGCCACTTTTTCCGAATCTCATCAATCCCTTCCGTGGAGAAACCCGTAAAAAAACGTGGTCTCCCACCTCAAAGGATAACGGTCGTCTCCGCTTATCCGCATAGCTCTTCTGTCGACTCTGAGCTGTAAGTAACCTCTGTCTTATCAACTTAATCTTCTCAGTAGTCTCGAGTACAATGTCGGGTCCTAAGGCGGCTGTCTCACCTACCTCAGTCCAACAAACAGGAGACCTACAAGGTCTACCATACAACGCCTCAAATGGAGCCATCTGGATACTCGCTTGATAACTATTGTTGTAGGCAAACTCAATAAGTTGAAGGTGATCCTTCCAACTACCACCCAAGTCAAGCACACATGCCCGAAGCATATTCTCCAAAATCTGGATAGTACGCTCCGACTGACCGTCCGTCTGTGGATGGAATGCCGTACTAAGATGCAACGCTGAACCAAACGCTACTTGAAGTCCTTCCCAGAACTTCGAAGTGAACTTAGAATCCCTATCTGACACAATGGTTACAGGAACTCCATGCAACCTTACAATCTCCTTCACATAAAGAACACCATGTGATGTTTGTATATAATTGTGTGTGTGTGGTGTGTGATTTAAATGAAAAAGGAAATGAGAAAAAGAAATTATAAAAGAAGTGGGACCTACATCACTTTTTAAGTGAATTGTGAGACCAAAATTGGTCTCTGCCTTTCTCTCTCTCTCCCGACAGACGCCTCTGCTTCTCCTTCTTGTCTTTTTTTTTTCTTTTCTTTTCATTTCAAGCTTCCATTGTTGATTACTCCTTCATCTTTTGTCGGATTGAGGTGCCGTTTGAGGCAAAACGAAGCTTGTGTCGAGCTCTACACATCCATACCAACAATTCCAGATTTGGTGCACCCTTTGGACTTTGAAATTTAGGACCCATTTTCTAGGGTTTGCTCATTTTTGAGGTAGGGACATCTTAAGCCATGGAATCTTGCTCTATAATGAATCATGCTCCTCTATGTGTGTTATAGTATGTTTAATTGTTATTGATTTTGATTAAAATGATTTAATTGACAACATGCTAGTTATGTAAATGTGTATAACATGGTTGAATGAAAAGTATGTCTATGTGATGGTTGTTTACATTTTTTTTTGAGGTTACTAACATGCTATAATGATGCCATGAGAACATGCTTATTTATTATTGTGCTAAGTTCCCATTTGTCATTATATTGAGATCATGACATGAGCCTACATCTCATTGGGTTGCATGAAAAAGGGAAGTGGTTGTCTTGAAATGAAAATGGGGATTTGGGAATGAATGTTTTGGAAAAAAAAAAATTGGTTTTGACAAACCCGGTCGCTGCGGGGTTACCAACGGGCCGGAGGTTAATATAGCCTAGAGGGGACTAGGGAGTCGCCCTAGTGTGGTTGAGCTAGTTGGGCCCCATAATGACGCCGCGGGGTTACCAAGGGTCAGGGACACTAGCCAATCTTCCTCTCGTGTCGCGGCGGGGTTACCAAAGGGCGGGCTGTATTAACGTTTGAAAGTGATGGTTTTGAGAATAAAAATGGGGAGTGTCATTGACATGCATTGCATTGTTTATAATTGGAATTGAATTGTATGTTGTATTCGATCCCCTATGTTGTATGATCCCTATCTCCCATTGGCCTATGCTTTGATTGGATTCACTAGGACACAAGAATTGTGTCTTAAGTGTCACCTACTGAGCATATAGCTCACCCTACTATTTATATATTTTTTTTCAGGTCTTGGAAAAGAACCGGTGGACGACAACCCACCTCAAGCTTGAGCGATACTAGAAGCTCACTTTTGTGCCTTTTGTATATCTCCCATTATTTTTGCAAAGCACTAAAAGTGTGAAGGTGTATATGTATATTTTGCAAAACTTTGTTATGTAATGTAAGGTATTTGATGATATTTTGGATGTGAATTTGATAACATGTAAACCTTATTGATGCATGGGGAGAGTAATACTAGTTTGAGGTATTATCGAGGTCATTTGATTGTGTATTATCATCTACTATTGCCGTGAATTCGGAATTTGAGCCGTGACAGGTTAAAAATGCAATTAAACATGTTGTGATAGGCCTATTTTTAGGGGAGGTCATGCCGAATTTTTTTTTTTTTTTTTTTGTTTAAAAAGTATTAGTTTTGAGACGTTACAAATTTGGTATCAGAGCCAAGGTTCGAAAACCTTTAGGACGACGGGTAGAGGCCTACATAGAGTCGCATGGAATGTTGTTTGTGTTGCTTACTTGACTACTTGCTACATGGTATCTTATTTAAATGAGCATGCTTAACTGCCTATGTGCTTACTTGCTTACTTGTTTATGTTAAAATGTTTCTTGCATAGTCTTGCATGCTAGGTGTTGTACGGTATTAATTCTTGTTGAGTCGTCCACAGTGGACCTTAGTATCATGTTTCTGAATCGTTTTCTCGTTTTATAGCACGATGTCACGGCGTGAGGAACCTAGAGAAGTTGACCCTAGACCAACAAGGGGTGATGTTGGTGAGAGCTCTAGCTCCAATCCGGCAGAGCCAGTTGATGAGAACATGCTTCTTAGGGACTTGATTCCCCCAAGAGCTGTTCCCTCAAGAAGAGAGAATGTTGAAACACCCGTACCCGTAGAAGTGGGTGAAAGTTCTGTGGCACTGGAGTTTAATCGTTTGTTGCAAAATGTCGTGAGGGCAACGATTGTTGCTCAGCCGCAGTTGGTACCACAACCTACAGTTCGAGTTGAGGAGACTCCAGCTCAGAAGCGTCTCAAGATCATTAAGGGGTTTTCTCAGCTGATGCCGGTTATGTTTGAGGGCGGTGCGGATCCAATGGTAGCCGACAACTACATGGATCAAGTCGAAACTCAGTTGACTTCAATGGATGTGACAGAGGATCACTTGAAGATCATCCTAGCAACTTACAAGTTTGCTATGGATGCCAAGGTTTGGTGGAAGTCGATCACTAACCAGTACAAGATTGAAGAGATGAGTTGGGACAAGTTCAAGGAACTGTTCTATGAAAAGTACTTTCCGCTTTCCAAAATATGGGAGTTACAAGACCAGTTTCATAATCTTATTCAAGGGAACATGTCAGTGGCGGGGTATGAGAACAAGTTCACCTCACTCTCCCGTTTTGCTCCAGAAGTGGTGAGAGATGAAGCTAACAAGACTCGGAAGTTTGTATCGGGTCTTAATGATCGAATGAGGCCGTTGATCAGGGCACAGTTTATTAAGGTTTACTCTGAAGCAGTGAAAAGGGCTTTGATGCTAGAGGCTGACAATAGAGAGAAGGATGCAAGAAGAGAGCAATTAAAGCAAAAGAGGGGTGCAGGGCCATCCTCAGAGGGATCTTCTTGGAAAAGGAACAGGGGCAGTCCATCTCAGTTTCAGGGGCAACAGTTTACAAGATCTGCTCCTACCACTCCTATGCCAGCTAGATCTGACAGGAGTGCAGTTGTTTGTTATCAGTGTCAGCAGCCCGGACATTACAAGTCCAGTTGTCCGATGAGATCGTCTTCAGTTTCGTCAGCTCCGAAGGCTTGTTATGGGTGTGGCCAGCAGGGTCACTTGATTCGTGATTGTCCGAGTCAGAGAGCAGGCACCATTAGTGGCAGAAGGTCACAGCAGAGGCCGTCACAATCGGCTACAGTTCAGTCAGGTTTCAGACCACCACCACCACAGCCTACTATGTCTTCACAGGGTTCATGATCAGTTAGGAGGGATACTTCTACTATGTCAGTGCAGCAGTCAGGTGTTTAGGTTGGCAGTCCTCAGGTACAGGTACCACAGGGACGTGTTTTTGCACTGGCACAGACAGATGCATCTTCTGGACTGTCAGTCCTTCGAGGTATATTTCCAGTGTTTGGTTGTTGGGCCCGTGTATTATTTGACTCTGGTGCATCTCATTCTTTCATTTCATCATCATTTGCACTTGCATCGGGGTTGGAAGTTAGTTTCTTGGAACAGGCGTTGAGTGTTGATACGCCAGTTGGGGTTTCAGTGTCTTTGAGCCGAATTGTGCGGGAATGTCCCATTATGATAGCCGGGCGGACCTTTGTGCTTGACCTTATCCTCCTGGAGATGACTAACTTTAATGTCATTCTCGGGATGGATTGGTTGGCCTTCTTTCATGCCACGATCGATTGTTTCAAAGGGAGAATTACAGTTTGCACTCCAGAAGGAGACTGTTTCTTTTTCACGGGAGATCGGAGTGATTCCCAATCATCGTCGTTGTATGGAATTCATAAACGGAGTCGTGGTGATTACTTCTTGGCTAGCCTTTTAGCTGAAGAAGATGATGTCATGGGAGAAGTTTATCCGGCGATTGTTTGTAACTTCTTGGATGTTTTTCCAGAAGATTTGACAGAGTTGCCTCCACACCGAGAAGTGGAGTTCACTATTGATTTGATGCCTGGTACTGCGCCGATTTCTATGGCACCGTATCGTATGGCACCAGTTGAATTGGAAGAATTGAAGAGGCAGCTTGATGATTTGAGGATGAAAGGTTTCATCCGACCGAGTGTGTCACCGTGGGGTGCACCGGTCTTGTTTGCTAAGAAGAAAGATGGTTCGTTGAGGTTGTGCATTGATTATCGGAAGTTGAATCATGCCACCATCAAGAACAAGTATCCTTTGCCAAGGATAGATGATTTATTTGATCAGTTGAGGGGAGCCAGTTGTTTCTCGAAGATTGACTTGATGTCTGGCTATTATCAGTTGCGGGTTAGGGATGAGGATATCCCGAAGACAGCATTCCGTACACGGTATGGACACTATGAGTTCCTTGTTATGCCTTTTGGCTTGACTAATGCGCCAGCGGCATTCATGGACTTGATGAACCGCGTCTTTCGCGATTACTTGGACCAGTTTGTGGTAGTTTTCGTGGATGACATTCTTGTGTACTCGCGGACTCGGGAAGATCACGAGGTCCATTTGAGTATTGTTCTACAGATTTTGCGGGAGCACCGATTGTATGCCAAATACGAGAAATGTGAGTTTTGGCTACAGGAGGTGAAGTTTTTGGGGCATGTTGTTTCAGAAGGTGGAGTATCAGTTGATCCATCAAAGGTTGAAGCAGTTTTGACTTGGGAGCGACCCAAGAATGTGTTTGAGATCCGCAGTTTTCTTGGTTTAGCGGGTTACTATCAGAGATTTGTGAAGGATTTCTCCCGTTTGGCAGCTCCTATAACCCGTTTGACCCGGAAAGGGGTCAAGTTTGTCTGGAATGAGGCCTGTGATTCATCTTTTCAGGAGTTGAAGACGAGATTGACTACAGCTCCAGTGTTGGTGATACCTGAGCGAGGCTTGGGTTATGTGATCTATTGTGATGCTTCACGTGATGGGTTGGGATGTGTGTTGATGCAGGATGGTAGAGTAGTGGCTTATGGGTCTTGACAGTTGAAGACTCACGAGCTTAACTACCCTACTCATGATCTGGAGTTAGCGGCAGTTGTGTTTGCCTTGAAGTGTTGGAGACACTACTTGTATGGTGAGAGATTCGAGGTATTTTCAGATCACAAAAGTCTCAAGTACCTTTTTTCCCAAAAGGACTTGAACAATAGACAAAGACGATGGGTTGAGTACTTGGAAGATTACAACTTTGATTTGCAATATCATCCGGGCAAGGCAAATGTTGTAGCTGATGCCTTAAGCCGAAAATCTCGTGGAACTTTGGCCAGCTTAGCTATTCGGAATTGGAAGATACTTGAAGATCTGGCAGAGATGGGATTACAGTGTTGTGATGATGATGGTTGCAGTGAGTCGGCATTCTTATTTAGTCTTGTGGCTCAGCCTACTCTTGTTGTACGAGTGATTGAGTCACAGAGACAGGACCCGGACTTAGATGCCATCCACGCTTTGATCTCTAGTGGTGAGACAGTGAAAGATTGGGCCTTGCATACAGATGGGGGTCTACGGTTCAGGGGTTTGTTGGTGGTTCCCACAGTTTGTCGTGAGGATGTCCTACGGGAGTTTCACACTTCCCGTTTTGCAGTTCATCCAGGTAGTACTAAAATGTATCACAATTTGAGACGTCAGTATTGGTGGAGCGGGATGAAGAATGATGTTGCACAGTTTGTGGCTAGATGCCTTACCTGTCAGCAGGTGAAGGCCGAGCATCAGAGGCCAGCTGGTTTGTTGCAACCATTACCTGTAGCGCAATGGAAATGGGAGCATATTGCTATGGATTTTGTGACAGGTTTTCCAAGGTCACAGAGGGGCAATGAGGCCGTATGGGTCATCATTGACAGATTGACCAAGACGGCTCACTTTTTGCCTATTAAGGCAATAGATGATGCAGAGAAGCTTGGTGTTCTTTATGTGAAGGAGATTGTAAGGTTGCATGGAATTCCTGTAACCATTGTGTCAGATAGGGATGCTAAGTTCACTTCGAAGTTCTGGGAAGGACTTCAAGTAGCGTTTGGTTCAGCGTTGCATTTTAGTACGGCATTCTATCCACAGACGAACGGTCAGTCGGAGCGTACTATCCAGATTTTGGAGGATATGCTTCGGGCATGCGTACTTGATTTGGGAGGTAGTTGGGAGGATCACCTTCCACTTATTAAGTTTGCCTACAACAACAGTTATCAGGCGAGCATCCAGATGGCTCCATTTGAGGCGTTGTATGGTAGACCTTGTAGGTCTCCTGTTTGTTGGACTGAGGTAGATGAGACAGCCGCCTTAGGACCCGACATTGTACTCGAGACTACTGAGAAGATTAAGTTGATAAGACAGAGGCTGCTTACAGCTCAGAGCCGACAGAAGAGCTATGCGGATAAGCGGAGACGACCGTTATCCTTTGAGGTGGGAGACCACGTTTTTCTACGGGTTTCTCCACGGAAGGGATTGATGAGATTCGGAAAAAGTGGCAAGTTGTCGCCACGATTTATTGGACCGTTTGAGATTTTGGACCGAGTAGGAGAGGTTGCCTACAGGCTTGCTTTGCCACCACAGTTGGATAGGGTCCACAATGTTTTCCATGTATCGATGTTACGGAAGTACGAACCGGATCCATCTCACATTTTGAGTTGGGTAGATGTGGACATTGATGAGGATGCTTCCTACGAGGAAGGACCAGTTCAGATTCTTGACACACAACAGAAGGTGTTGAGGAACAAGACGATACCGATGGTGAAAATTCTTTGGAGACACCACGAAGTTGAGGAGGCTACTTGGGAGCTTGAACAGGAGGTTCGCTCCAAGTATCCAGCGTTGTTTTCTTCCTCAGGTATGTCTTGATTTCGAGGACGAAATTTTTTTAAAGTTGGGGAGAATGTGATATTTGTATATAATTGTGTATGTGTGGTGTGTGATTTAAATGAAAAAGGAAATGAGAAAAAGAAATTATAAAAGAAGTGGGACCCACATCACTTTTTAAGTGAATTGTGAGACCAAAATTGGTCTCTGCCTTTCTCTCTCTCTCCCGACAGACGCCTCTGCTTCTCCTTCTTGCCTTTTTTTTTTTTTTTTTTTTTCTTTTCTTTTCATTTCAAGCTTCCATTGTTGATTACTCCTTCATCTTTTGTCGGATTGAGGTGCCGTTTGAGGCAAAACGAAGCTTGTGTCGAGCTCTACACATCCATACCAACAATTCCAGATTTGGTGCACCCTTTGGACTTCGAAATTTAGGACCCATTTTCTAGGGTTTGCTCATTTTTGAGGTAGGGACATCTTAAGCCATGGAATCTTGCTCTATAATGAATCATGCTCCTCTATGTGTGTTATAGTATGTTTAATTGTTGTTGATTTTGATTAAAATGATTTAATTGACAACATGCTAGTTATGTAAATGTGTATAACATGGTTGAATGAAAAGTATGTCTATGTGATGGTTGTTTACATTTTTTTTTGAGGTTACTAACATGCTATAATGATGCCATGAGAACATGCTTATTTATTATTGTGCTAAGTTCCCATTTGTCATTATATTGAGATCATGACATGAGCCTACATCTCATTGGGTTGCATGAAAAAGGGAAGTGGTTGTCTTGAAATGAAAATGGGGATTTGGGAATGAATGTTTTGGAAAAAAAAAAATTGGTTTTGACAAACCCGGTCGCTGCGGGGTTACCAACGGGCCGGAGGTTAATATAGCCTAGAGGGGACTAGGGAGTCGCCCTAGTGTGGTTGAGCTAGTTGGGCCCCATAATGACGCCGCGGGGTTACCAAGGGTCAGGGACACTAGCCAATCCTCCTCTCGTGTCGCTGCGGGGTTACCAAAGGGCAGGCTGTATTAACGTTTGAAAGTGATGGTTTTGAGAATAAAAATGGGGAGTGTCATTGACATGCATTGCATTTCATTGCATTGCATTGCATTGTTTATAATTGGAATTGAATTGTATGTTGTATTCGATCCCCTATGTTGTATGATCCCTATCTCTCATTGGCCTATGCTTTGATTGGATTCACTAGGACACAAGAATTGTGTCTTAAGTGTCACCTACTGAGCATATAGCTCACCCTACTATTTATATATTTTTTTTCAGGTCTTGGAAAAGAACCGGTGGACGACAACCCACCTCAAGCTTGAGCGATACTAGAAGCTCACTTTTGTGCCTTTTGTATATCTCCCATTATTTTTGCAAAGCACTAAAAGTGTGAAGGTGTATATGTATATTTTGCAAAACTTTATTATGTAATGTAAGGTATTTGATGATATTTTGGATGTGAATTTGATAACATGTAAACCTTATTGATGCATGGGGAGAGTAATACTAGTTTGAGGTATTATCGAGGTCATTTGATTGTGTATTATCATCTACTATTGCCGTGAATTCGGAATTTGAGCCGTGACAGGTTAAAAATGCAATTAAACAGGTTGTGATAGGCCTATTTTTAGGGGAGGTCATGCAGAATTTTTTTTTTTTTTTTGTTTAAAAAGTATTAGTTTTGAGACGTTACACACCAAGCTTCTCTGCATCATCTGTTGCCTTAATAGGCAAAAAGTGAGCCGTCTTGGTCAATCTGTTAATGATGACCCATACGGCCTCATTGCCCCTTCTTGACCTTGGAAAACCTATCACAAAATCCATAGCAATATGCTCCCATTTCCATTGTGCTACAGGTAATGGTTGCAACAAACCTGCTGGCCTCTGATGCTCGGCCTTCACCTGCTGACAGGTAAGGCATCTAGCCACAAACTATGCAACATCATTCTTCATCCCGCTCCACCAATATTGACGTCTCAAATTGTGATACATTTTAGTACCACCTGGATGAACTGCAAAGCGGGAAGTGTGAAACTCCCGTAGGACGTCCTCACTACAACATGTGGGAACCACCAACAAACCCCTGAACCGTAGACCCTCATCTGCATGCAAGGCCCAATCTTTCACTGTTTCACCACTAGATATCAAAGTGTGGATGGCATCTAAGTCCGGGTCCTGTTTCTGTGACTCAATCACTCGTATAACAAGAGTAGGCTAAGCCACAAGACTAAATAAGAATGCCGACTCACTGCAAGCATCATCATCACAACACTGTAATCCTATCTCTGCCAGATCTTCAAGCATCTTCCACTTTCGAATAGCTAAACTGGCCAAAGTTCCACGAGATTTCCGGCTTAAGGCATCCGCTACCACATTCGCCTTGCCCGGATGATACTGCAAGTCAAAATTGTAGTCCTTCAAGAATTCGACCCATCGCCTCTGTCTGTTGTTCAAGTCCTTTTGGGAGAAAATGTACTTGAGACTTTTGTGATTTGAGAATACCTCGAATCTCTCACCATACAAGTAATGTCTCCAACACTTCAAGGCAAATACAACTGCCGCTAACTCCAGGTCATGAGTAGGGTAGTTGTACTCGTGAGTCTTCAACTGTCGAGACCCATAAGCCACTACTCTACCATCCTGCATCAACACACATCCCAACCCGTCACGTGAAGCATCACAATAGATCACATAACCCAAGCCACGCTCAGGTATCACCAACACTGGAACTGTAGTCAATCTCGTCTTCAACTCCTGAAAGGATGAATCACAAGCCTCATTCCAGACAAACTTGACCCCTTTCCGGGTCAAACGGGTCATAGGAGCTGCCAAACGGGAGAAATCCTTCACAAATCTCCGACAGTAACCCGCTAAACCAAGGAAACTGCGGATCTCAAACACATTCTTGGGTCGCTCCCAAGTCAAAACTGCTTCAACCTTTGATGGATCAACTGATACTCCACCTTCTGAAACAACATGCCCCAAAAACTTCACCTCCTGTAGCCAAAACTCATATTTCTCGTATTTGGCATACAATCGGTGCTCCCGCAAAATCTGTAAAATAATACTCAAATGGACCTCGTGATCTTCCCGCGTCCGTGAGTACACAAGAATGTCATCCACGAAAACTACCACAAACTGGTCTAAGTAATCTTGAAAGACAAGGTTCATCAAGTCCATGAATGCCGCTGGCGCATTAGTCAAGCCAAAAGGCATAACAAGGAACTCATAGTGTCCATACCGTGTACGGAATGCTGTCTTCGGGATATCCTCATCCCTAACCTGCAACTGATAATAGCCAGACCTCAAGTCAATCTTCGAGAAACAACTGGCTCCCCTCAACTGATCAAATAAATCATCTATCCTTGGCAAAGGATACTTGTTCTTGATGGTGGCATGATTCAACTTCCGATAATCAATGCACAACCTCAACGAACCATCTTTCTTCTTAGCAAACAAGACCGGTGCGCCCCACGGTGACACACTCGGTCGGATGAAACCTTTCATCCTCAAATCATCAAGCTGCCTCTTCAATTCTTCCAATTCAACTGGTGCCATACGATACAGTGTCATAGAAATCGGCGCAGTACCATGCATCAAATCAATAGTGAACTCCACTTCTCGGTGTGGAGGCAACTCTGTCAAATCTTCTGGAAAAACATCCAAGAAGTCACAAACAATCGCCGGATAAACTTCTCCCACGACATCATCTTCTTCGGTTAGAAGACTAGCTAAGAAATAATCACCATGACTTCGTTCACGAACTCCATAAAACGATGAAATGTGGGAATCACTCCGATCTCCCACGAAAAAGAAACAGTCTCCCTCGGGAATGCAAACTGTAACCCTTCCTCTGTAACAGTCGATCGTGGCATGAAATGAAGCCAACCAATCCATCCCGAGAATGACATCAAAGCTAGTCATCTCTAGGAGGATAAGGTCAAACACAAAGGTCCGCCCAGCTATCACAATGGAGCAATCCCGCACAACTCGGCTCAATGACACTGAAACCCCAACTGGCGTATCAACACATAACGCCCGATCCATGAAACTAACCTCTAACCCCGATGCAAGTGCAAATGATGATAAAATGAAAGAATGAGATGCACCAGAGTCAAACAAAACACGGGCCCAACAACCAAACATTGGAAATATACCTCGAAAAACTGACGGTCCAGAAGATGCATCGGTCTGTGCCAGTGCAAAAACACGTCCCTGTGGTACCTGTGCCTGAGGACTGCCAACCTGAACACCTGACTGCTGCACTGACATAGTAGGAGTATCCCTCCTAACTGATCGTGAACCCTGTGAAGACATAGTAGGCTGTGGTGGTGGTGGTCTGAAACCTGACTGAACTGTAGCCGATTGTGACGGCCTCTGTTGTGACCCTCTGCCACTAATGGTGCCTGCTCTCTGACTCGGACAATCACGAATCAAGTGACCCTCCTGGCCACACCCATAACAAGCCTTCGGAGCTGACGAAACTGAAGACGATCTCATCGGACAACTGGACTTGTAATGTCCGGGTTGCTTACACTGATAACAAACAACTGCACTCCTGTCAGGTCCAGCTGACATAGGAGTGGTAGGAGCAGATCTTATAGACTGTTGCCCCTGAAACTGAGATGGACTGCCCCTGTTCCTTTTCCAAGAAGATCCCTCTGAGGATGGCCCTGCACCCCTCTTTTGCTTCAATTGCTCTCTTCTTGCATCCTTCTCTCTATTGTCAACCTCCAGCATCAAAGCCCTTTCCACTGCTTCAGAGTAAACCTTAATAAACTATGCCGTGATCAACGACCTCATTCGATCATTAAGACCCGAGACAAACTTCCGAGTCTTGTTAGCTTCATCTCTCATCACTTCTGGAGCAAAACGGGAGAGTGAGGTGAACTTGTTCTCATACTCCGCCACTGACATGTTCCCTTGAATAAGATTATGAAACTGGTCTTGTAACTCCCATCTTTTGGAAAGCGGAATGTACTTCTCATAAAACAGTTCCTTGAACCTGTCCCAGCTCATCTCTTCAATCTTGTACTGGTTAGTGATCGACTTCCACCAAACCTTGGCATCCATAACAAACTTGTAAGTTGCTAGGATGATCTGCAAGTGATCCTCTGTCACATCCATTGAGGTCAACTGAGTTTTGACTTGATCCATATAGTTGTCAGCTACCATTGGGTCCGCACCGCCCTCAAACATAACCGGCATCAGCTGAGAAAACCCCTTAATGATCTTGAGACGCTTCTGAGCTGGAGTCTCCTCAACTCGAACTGTAGGTTGTGGTACTAACTGCGGCTGAGCAACAATAGTTGCTCTCACGGCATTTTGCAACAATCGATTCAACTCTAGTGCCACAGAACCTTCACCTACTTCTACGGGTACAGGTGTTTCAACATTCTCTCTTCTTGGGGGAACAACTCTTGGGGGAATTAAGTCCCTAAGAAGCATGTTCTCATCAACTGGCTCCACCGGATTGGAGCTAGAGCTCTCACCAACATCGCCCCTTGTTGGCCTAGGGCCAACTTCTCTAGGTTCCTCACGCCGTGACATCGTGCTATAAAACGAGAAAACGATTCAGAAACATGACACTAAGACTGTGGACGACTCAACAAGAATTGATACTGTACAACACTTAGCATACAAGACTATGCAAGAAACATTTTAACATAAACAAGTAAGCAGGTAAGCACATAAGCAGTTAAGCATGCTCATTTAAATAAGATACCACGTAGCAAGTAGTCAAGTAAATAATACAAACAACATCCCATGCGACTCTATGTAGGCCTCTACCCGTCGTAACCAATGATTCCTCCCAGTCAATTAAGGACAAAACAAAAGGAAAGCATCGCCGAGGCCATATGATCAGCGGATGGTTCAAGGAAGTTTTCTTGTGTTCGAATTGGTACTCAACTAATTAATTATAATCACAGGTGTTTTCTAATATTCTTATACTGGAGTCCCAACTACATATAAGCAATTAGAGGACTAGCAATCCCCATCACAAACACTAATGGTGAGATTGTAATATCCACACTAATTCTTGCTATTATCGACCTAGTTTTAGCTTGAATAATTAAATCTGAAAAGTTTCAATATAAGATGATTCCCATGATCTAAAAGCATAAATTATGATTCCAACAAGATGTCGATCTACGCTGTCCATTATAACTATTTTGTATACACTATTTTAAAACAATTATTTCTTTTTTTGGATAATCATAAATATGTAATCAATGCTTGCAACATACATGAATAGCACAATAATCAACATATGCAAAATTATTTAGATGCTTAAATTGAGAAAATCTCCTCCATTCGGGAGGAAGTCTTCTTCTCTTCCCTAACCTTTAGGTAATGAAAAGAAGGCAAATTGGATCCCATAATATATTCTCATGATCAAAAAAGATAATCTATATGTGTATTATGTGTTTGATACAAAATCAATCAAATGGCAAAAACAGGGAAAAACATGACACTAGTCTTAGCAGTTTAATTAAAGCTTGTTTGAAGTTTGAAAAATGCAAAGTGTTTGATTAATTTCCCACCGTCCACTTCCACAGCCACTTCCTTTCCGTTATCCTTCAATTTCATCCACTAACATCTTTTCTCTCTTTTGATCTTTTGAGATTCTCCATCTCAACCACTCTGCAAATATAAATAATATTGATTCCTTAATACCCATGAAAACATGGGAAAAAAGTACTAAGAGCTCAAGCTTCTCTCACCACTTCAGATTGTTGTTACTATATATATTTGTCTTTTGATCCATTTTGGGGGAACCAATGGACTCTGAAGATGCTAGAATATCGCTTCGCGAGAGCCGGAGGTGTTTCAGTGTTGACTCATGGGCCCTGCAAAGGGGAGATTGCCTTCTCTCTCATGCTCATTGCCACCTCCTCCCGTTTCACTTGCACAAAAGGTATGAGATCAGGCAGAGATACAAATTGAGGCCCTGATGAGAGAGTGATCCAATTAACTCTTGAATTGTATGTCTGTGTGAGAATGAATATTTAGGCTTGTGTTTATATATATATAGTACTCGAGATGAGGACTGATTTATTTGCTCTTTTTCATGTGTTGTTTTAATCAGGGGCGGCTCGAGCCTTAGGCGAGTTAGGCTGCTGTCTAAGGCCTTGCCAATAAAAAGGCTCCAAAATATTATAATTGCCTTGTATATGATATATTGTAATTGTTTTCTTATTGAACATTAATTCTAAAAAATTTATCTCTTAAAATAAGTTTTCTTTTCATGTTTTCTGATTCCTTATTATCATTCACGTCTTTTCATTAAACTTTAATCAAGAGACAAATTATTTATCTCCTCAACTATCTCAATTTTTTTTTTTTTTTTTTTATCTCCTAAAATATCTCATTAATATTTTTTTTTCTTTGACTATCTTATACACGTTTTTTTTTTTTTTTTTTTTTTTTTTTTACACACCAGCAATATATATATTTAATATTTTTTTTCTGTAAGTTGCAATACAATAAATATTTAGCCGTTTTTTGGGGAAGGAAGCAAACAAACTTTTCACATTCTCTTTATCCTCACAAACTTTTCACATTCTCTTTATCCTCACGTTCTCTCAGCAAGTTATTTACAAGTTACAGGTCATCTCCCTTTTCAGTCCTCATTACAACTTTACAATTTTCTTTCTTGCAATAGTATTGAATTGAGGCTTTCTAAATCAGGTTATATTGTAACTGTTGTGGTACCACAAATAGAAGTTTTTTGAAATTAAAGTTGATAAAATCACATTTACCATCAACTATGTCATAAGAAAGATTAAATGGATTAGCTATATTGTCTATTGAAAAAAATATTTTAACTATACTTGAATATAAGAATTTAATTAATAAGTTTGCATCTCAAAAAGCAATAATGATGATTTTTAATTAATTATTATTTAATAATTAATATATTTCATATTATGATATGAAAATGTCACTTTTTATTTTTCACCTAAGGTCCCGAGTTACATTGAGCCGCCCTGGTTTTAATGAGAGTTGATGACAAAATTATTGGGGGGGGGGGGGGGGGGGGGCTGAGTTCATAGGCACCTTCATACTCATCTTTGCAGGGACATCCACAGCCATTCTGGACCAAAAGACACATGGCTCTGAAACCCGTCTCCGCCTTGCTGCCTCCAATGGCCTCGCGGTCATGATTGTCATACTTTCAACTGGCCACATCTCCGGAGCCCATCTCAATCCTTCTGTCACCATTGCCTTTGCTGCCCTCAAGCACTTCCCATGGAAACATGTAAAAACTGCAGCTAACCCCTATTATATATATATATATCTTCCAAGAATTTTATACACTGACATATATAATTAATTAGGTCGAATCGATCTCTTGGTAGGTGCCTTTGCTGCCCTCAATCGCTTATTTCAAATGGAAGAATTTTAAACAATCTTCCATTTTTAAAAAATATATTTAAATAAAATCAAACTTCCATTTGAAATAAGTTTCCATTTTTTTAAAATTATATATATATATATATACACACACACAATATACATTTGGTACGTACATTTATTAAAAAAATAATAATAATTCAATTACATAGATCTTATTTTTGATTGATCAAAATTTAAGCAAGCTTCCAATTATATATATAAATATATATATATATACATATGTGTATATATGTAATTTAAACAGGCTTCCATTTTATGTAATTTATTTATCAAATCTAAAAAAATTAAGAAAAACCTAAAATATTATATATTTAAAAAGTGGTTGTGTGTGGGATCAAGTCATCCCAATTGGCACGCCAGGTGGTGGTCATTCATCTATGCAACCAAGGGCCTGTGTTTCCCCAATGCCCCATGGTTGTGGGGCCCCTCCAATATAATCCCTTGTTTTTTTGCTTGCCAACCCTGGGTGGATTGGGACCTCTATAACCCGGAGGGTATGTGAGTGCATTTATTCGGGTCCTCTCTAACCTGTGAGGATCAGGTGCACCAATTTGTGTTATGGAAGTAAGACAATGGTCCATCCACCTGCACTGGAACCGATTCCACAATCAACCACTTTAATGCCCCGCTTGGTCACAAGCCCACGCTACTGAGCTCGGCAATCATGAGAAGCAAAGAAATCTATTATTAAGATATATGTAATAATATATTTTATCTGTGGGATATTTTTAAGTGTTCAAATTTTTAAGAATTAGAAAGTATTAAAGTTATCAAGTTATTAAGCACTAATTGCCCAACCTGATAGGTCTATCCCATTGTGAAATTCAGCCCTAATCGAAATATTGAATCGGCACTCTTCCTTAATTTGGGCAAAGTAAACTAGAATCATCAGAGATTCATCAATTTTTCTCTAAGTTAATTGACTGATAAATGATTGAACTAATGGTACACACACACACACACGGATTTAACTTAAATATGTAGAAAGGAGTATGTCTGTATCAATACTAAAACACACCACCTCTGATGTGAATACTAATCTAATGGATGAAAACTGATCCTCAACAAGAGTAGAGGATAGAAAGAAAGGCAAAAACATGGATTAATTTAACATGAAGTGATATTGGATAAGTTGTGAGTGTTTTTAAAGCTCTTATGCACATATCTAGTTACACTCCATTCAATGTTGCTGTTAAACTTCCTCTGAATTCTCACTCCATGATTTTCTTCCTCTTATTCAGCTTCACCACTGCATTCACTGTTCTTCTTAAAACTTCATTCGAACGAGACTCACTTCCTCTGAATTCTCACTCCATGTATTACCCATGTATGTCCACCAGATTATGTGAGATTTTGGGGAGAAAGACTGTGTTGAGTTGTGGCCCAATTTGCTTTTGGCCCCATTGCATTGGTTTTTTTTTTTTTTTCAATTCTAGTTTCTAGTGTATAACGTAGCAATGTTAATTTAACCGGTTCATTTAGAGTTCCGTCCCGTTCCATTCCTATTAAAATGAGTCCGAATCCGATTACTAATTAATAAATAAATAAATATTTCTTTTATTAGCTATAATTTTTTTTCTTTGTTTTTTTATAATAATTTTAAATTTTAACAATAATTTTGTTATTATGATTGCTATATATTTAACTATACTAATTTTTATTTAGTTTTTAACAAAAGTTTTTCATTAGCTAGAAAAGTTTGAGAAAGGGTGTCTCATCCCAAACCCTCCCGGTCCATATCCCTAATGTAACCAATGATTCCTTTCAGACAATTAAGGACGAAACAAAAAGAAAGCATCGCCAATGCCATATATATGATCAGCGGATGGTTCAAGGAAGTTTTCTTGTGTTTGAAATGATACTTAACTAATTAATTATAATCACAAGTGTCTTCTAATATTCTTATACTGGAATCCCATCTATATATTAACTACATATAAGTAATTAGAGGCCTAGCAATCCCCATCACAAGCACTAGTGGTGAGACTGTAATATGATAATATCCACACTAATTCTTGCTATTATCGACCTAGTTTTAGCTTGAATAATTAAATCTGAAAAGGTACAATATAAGATGATTCCCATGCTCTAAGAGCATAAATTATGATTCCAATTAACAAGATGTCGATCTATGCTGTCCATTATAACTATTTTGTATACACTATTTTAAACCAATTATTTCTCTTTTTGGATAATCATAAATATGTAATCAATACTTGCAACATACATGAATAGCACAATAATCAACATATACAAAATTGTTTAGATGCTTAAATTGAGAAAATCTCCTCCATTCGGGAGGAAGTCTTCTTCTCTTCCCTAACCTTTAGGTAATGAAAAGAAGGCAAATTGGATCCCATAATATATTCTCATGATCAAAAAAGATAATCTATATGTGTATATGTGTTTGATACAAAATCAATCAAATGGCAAAAACAGGGAAAAACATGACACTAGTCTTAACAGTTTAAAGCTTGTTTGAAGTTTGAAAGATGCAAAGTGTTTGATTAATTTCCCACCGTCCACTTCCACAGCCACTTCCTTTCCGTTATCCTTCAATTTCATCCACTAACATCTTTTCTCTCCTTTGATCTTTTGAGATTCTCCATCTCAACCACACTGCAAATATAAATAATATTGATTCCTTAATACCCATGAAAACATGGGAAAAAAGAAGTACTAAGAGCTCAAGCTTCTCTCACCACTTCAGATTGTTGTTACTATATATATTTGTCTTTTGATCCATTTTGGGGGAACCAATGGACTCTGAAGATGGTAGAATATCGCTTCGCGAGAGCCGGAGGTGTTTCAGTGTTGACTCATGGGCCCTGCAAAAGGGGAGATTGTCTTCTCTCTCATGCTCATTGCCACCTCCTCCCGTTTCACTTGCACAAAAGGTATGAGATCAAGCAGAGATACAAATTGAGGCCCTGATGAGAGAGTGATCCAATTAACTCTTGAATTGTATGTCTATGTGAGAATGAATATTTAGGCTTGTGTTTATATATAGTACTCGAGATGAGGACTGATTTATTTGCACTTTTTCATGTGTTGTTTTAATGAGAGTGGATGAAAAAATTATCAGGTGGGGGCTGAGTTCATAGGCACCTTCATACTCATCTTTGCAGGGACATCCACAGCCATTCTGGACCAAAAGACACATGGCTCTGAAACCCGTCTCGGCCTTGCTGCCTCCAATGGCCTCGCCGTCATGATTGTCATACTTTCGACTGGCCACATCTCCGGAGCCCATCTCAATCCTTCTGTCACCATTGCCTTTGCTGCCCTCAAGCACTTCCCATGGAAACATGTAAAAACTGCGGCTAACCCCTATTATATATATATATATATATATATATATATATATATATATATCTTCCAAGAATTTTATACACTGACATATATAATTAATTAGGTCTAATCGATCTCTTGTTAGGTGCCGGTGTATGTTGGGGCACAAGTGATGGCATCACTTTGTGCAGCATTTGCACTCAAGGGGATCTTCAACCCAATAATGGGTGGTGGAGTCACTGTCCCCTCAGGAAGCTATGTTCAAGCTTTTGCTCTGGAGTTCATCATTAGCTTCAACCTCATGTTTGTTGTAACTGCAGTGGCCACAGATACTAGAGCTGTAAGCATGCAGTGTTTCTACAGCTTTTTGTTCATTAATTCCTCTCTCACTTTCTCGAAACATATTTTCTACGTTCCTTCAAACAACATTCTTGAGGAGATAGGTGTTTGAGATTACCATATGTGATCGAGATGAGTCTCACTGTAGGACTCACACGTGGACAATCTCATCTAATAGATGAAGTTGGATTACGAATGAACTGTCCCTTCCAGGGGCTATGTTGCAAGCTCTCATTTTTTTCGCATTTTCCTTGTCCCACTGCAGGTGGGAGAGATGGCAGCAATGGCCGTGGGAGCTACTGTCACGCTCAACGTACTCATAGCCGGGTAATGTCAGATTTCTCACCACTGAAGCTCTAAGTCCTTATAACAACTAATTACCATGTATTTCAGATTGAATATATAATTAATAGAAGTTGAAGAAGCAAATATATATTCAGCAGATAGAGATTCTACAACTGATGTAAAAAAGAATTTTGTCATTTCAAAATTTAAATTCCTAAGCAAAAGCACAACAAATTCATTCACAACTTCACAGGAATGTCTAATTAAAAAGAACAGAAAAAGAAAAACTGTTAAAAGAATGATTTTGTAACTTACTATTGAGCCTTTTGCATGTATAGGGAAACGACAGGAGCTTCAATGAATCCAGTGAGAACTCTGGGGCCAGCCATAGCTGCAAACAACTTCAAAGCCATATGGGTGTACCTCACTGCTCCTACCATGGGGGTGCTGTCCGGGGCTGGTGCTTACTCCGCCGTCAAGCTTCGTGAGGAAGATGGCAATGTCAATGCAGATGTCAAGCCTTCAACACCAGTCCATTAAATGATTAATATACATCATTACCACACCTGTACTGATCATCAATGTAGATAATTAATCCAAATCCATAAATATATACTATTATTTGCTGCAGCATTAGTTTTCTTTTTTAGCTAGATTAGTTTGCCACTTATGGGCTTCTTATCCTGTTTTTTCTTGTTGGGCTCTGGTTAATGTCCTCTGTATTTTTTATTTTTTATTTATATTTTTTTTATAAATTCAATAATTACAAAAAAATTAAAATAGAGGGATTATATAAAAAAATTTAAAAATCAATATATAGTTCAACAGTGGTTTACTGTAGTTAATCCATTTTAAAATGTATACTAAATATATGGCTATATATCATGTTACTACTGCAATTATCAACATTTTGAGGATGTTATAAATATGCCTACAACTTACAAGCATATCAAATAAATTGTTAAATATATAATTTTTTTCCCTTTCTAATATTACCATGCAATTTAAGATTATTATTATATTATTATTATTATTTTCATTTCATACCTTCGCAGTAATATTTTAATGTTCTTTTATTTAATGTTAATAGAATCATCAATATTAATAAACCAATAATTGACATTATTTCGAGTGCAAGTTTATCCTTTGTTTTTGGTGTCCAGGTCTCCACAAGTAAGATAGGGTTGCAGGTTGGATTTTTTATTTTATTTTTTCGTTTGTTTGTTAAAACTTAATTTATATTACTTGATCTGTTCTCTAATATTTTAAAATTTTGGGAGTTGGAACAGTTAGGGTTCTAAATTTTTTAATTCAATTTGATTCTTATATTGAAAAAAGAAAAATATATATTTATGTCCATTACTAATTCTTGGAGAACAAAATTGTTGTATGCTTTTTTATGTTTGGTTATCATACAATATTTACTAAGAAAAAAAATTTAAAACGTAATAAAAATAACTTATTTATCAATTTTCGAGAAGTTATTTTACACGCCCCACCCAATGGATTCGACCTTGACCTCGACCTAAACATTTGTCAAATATCAAAAAATAAAAAATAATAGTAATAATAATTTTCAAAACAAATATTTTACATCGAAATAAACGGAGGCTTTAAATATTTATTTTATGAACTTATAACCTATTTTCACAAAACGTGATAACTTTTATAAAAATGTCTAACCTTTATTTTTCAAATTCAAAAGATATCTTTTCAGAAAGGTCATGACCATTCTGCAAAGTTTTTTTTTTAACCCAAAGCCATTCTAGAACCCACAGCATTCTACAAATTTATATTCTTTCTCCCTCACAAACTCTTTGTTTACCGTATAATCTTTCTATAAATATTAGAATTCTTACCATTATTTTATCTCAAGCAATTGATTCAAAAGTATCCATCTTTATTTATGATATTTCAAAAATCAAAATTAATGTGAAACAAATATATCAATACAAGGCAATGAATCATTTCAATCCGAACCTACTTCTCGATCTGACCACCGTGAGAAATGGGACAGAAGTGGGTTCAAATATTTCGGAACATACAACAAAAAAAATACTATATACACACAACAAATAAATATCTATAATTCTGTAATCACTTGTCCAGAAAGACGGTAGAGGACACAACTTGTATACCTACTCCTTCAATAAATCTTTCTTCTTCTTCTTCAATATATATATTTTTTTTTGGATTTTTCATGCAAATCTTTTGTTATTTTCCTTTGTGCTATTTTATTCCGCTTTAATTTGCTTTTGATTGAATATTTGTTATGATTATGTTTTTGATATTAAAATTTTATTTTATTTTTCTGTATATTTATTAAAATGCAAAAAATAATTAAAAATAGTTGAACTACTGAGAAAGAATTTTTTACACTCCTCTAACTCTATTTATTTTATTTTACTTTTGAACGATGGTGGTGTCAGACGAGAAAAATTTATTTGCGCCTGTTACATGGTGTAACGAGCATATTCGGACCATCTATGTAATATGCGCGGCAATGAATATATTACAAATAATAGGCACAAAGATATTTTTTTCGGATGTCTTAAAACATTTCATTATCCACGGGACACATATAGTCCACACGTCCCATAATGCGTCTTACAATAACTTTTGATCGGAAATAGTTCCTACCAGCTTGGCTACAAGTCCCTACGAGCTTGAGCTCCTGGACTCATTCTTAAAATTGTTTCAAAAATATCTATGGTGGGCATTATATAATAATTATATCAATGAAAAAGGCTAGCCAATTTACAAACTTGGCTACAAGCCCCTACCAGCTCACTTTTTCTTTTCGTTTTTTTGACGCTACCCGCTCACACTTGCGAAACACTCTTTTCAGCACTATTTGTGGACAACAATAACTACAAAATATGGTTACACTTACTTTACAACCATGGAGCAAAAATGATGCATGGCCCTACAATATTATTAATTTAAAAAAAAAAAAAATTAAGAAAAATATTACCTACCATGACTTTAGAGTAGTGGATAAAAAAAAAAAAAGCATAGTCCTACCTTACCAGTAAAAGGATTTTTTCAAAAAAATGAAATTAAAGAACCTACCTCTTTGCAATTTACCTACCATGAATGACTTTTGAGACTATATAATTAAAGAAAAGAAAATAAAATAAAACTTCTTTGGAAGAGGAAATATATAAATAGTGAGTGCTTTTAGGACTTTTTATTGGAAGCCCCATGTTTAGAAAAAAAAGCTTTAAAATTTCCAAATATTTTAATATTGTTTTTCTCATTTTTCCCCAAATTTTATATATATTTTTTTAATAAAAAAAGAATATATACTTTATAAAATAAATTTTATCTTTCGTTAAGTTTTATAAATTTTATTTTCATACTATAAATTCGACACTGCACCTAAAAATTCCACGAGTCTCTCTCTCAATTATGAAAATTGTGACACCAAAAATGTTCGCTTTTTGGGTCCTCTCCATAATTGAGTGAGTGCAGTCATTCGGTACATACATGGTCTACTCCACAATTATGTGCAGACATTCATTTTATGTATCTATATAAATATATACACACACAACGTCTATGCGCACAGATATATATATATATATATATATAGTAGTTAAGTGGCAGGGACAGAAAAACCACGACTGGTGTTTGTAGTTCAAACCTTTTTTTCTAAAAAAAAAATCACATGCAAAGATCAGATTACGCTTAATGTCCCACCGTCCACTTCCAAAGCCACTACGACTGGTGTTTGTATTTATAATGTCTTGGGGAATCTCCAAGTCAACACCTTGATATTATAAATACACATGCACATGAAGCACGAGGACAAAGAAGTGAGAGAGCTCAATTAAGCTTAGCTTCTTTAATTACTCTTGTTTGCTCTCGTTAATTACATTTTTCTTTGTAGTGATGGACCCTGAAGATGTTGCTTCAGCTCCTTCAACACCTGCAACTCCAGGGACTCCTGGGGCTCCTCTCTTTGGCGGGTTCAAGCCCGAGAGAAGTGGCAATGCCAGAAGATCTCTTCTCAAGAGCTGCAAGTGCTTTAGTGTTGAAGCATGGACCTTGGAAGAGGGTAGCTTGCCTACTGTCTCATGCTCATTGCCACCTCCTCCCGTCTCCCTCGCACGAAAGGTGAGAGGATCCGGTTTGATTCCAAATTTTTATGGAACCTGGTTTGGTTCCAAAATACTCCTAAATTGATTCAATCCGAACATGTGCATCCCAAAAATCAAGTGGGAATTCTTTAAATGTGTGTGATTGCATATATTTATGTATGTATTTGTATATAATGCTCAAACGAGGACTTACCCATTCTTAATTTTGTGTTTATGTATAATGGGTTGATGCCGAACACCAGGTGGGGGCTGAGTTCATAGGCACCCTCATGCTCATCTTTGCAGGGACAGCAACAGCCATTGTGAACCAAAAGACACAAGGCTCTGAAACCCTCGTCGGCCTCGCTGCCTCCAACGGCCTCGCCGTCATGATCATCATTCTGTCGACCGGCCACATCTCGGGAGCCCATCTCAACCCATCTGTCACCATTGCCTTTGCTACCCTCAAGCACTTCCCATGGAAACATGTAAGATTTAATTAGATGCTGTACTTTGAACCCCAGTATCATTATAAATCATCCCAGAATCTTGTACACTGATATTAGGGTTGTCCAATGTTTTTGGTAGGTGCCAGTGTACATTGGGACACAAGTGATTGCATCATTGTGTGCAGCATTTGCTCTCAAGGGGATCTTTCACCCAACAATGGGTGGTGGAGTCACTGTCCCTTCAGTGGCCTATGGCCAAGCTTTTGCTCTCGAGTTCATCATTACCTTCATCCTCATGTTTGTTATAACTGCAGTGGCCACTGACACAAGAGCTGTAAGTAATTCTTCCATAGCTTTTGTACGTAACTGTTTTTCGATGATCATTGAATAGTCAAAGTATCTGAGCTATATCACTAAAACAATATGAGAAATCCAGAAAAGTAGATAGAGAGAGAGAAAATCAGCCCAATCTGAGAACTGGAGCAATGGTAGAGAAGACTAGCTATAAAGATGGTTGTACTTACTCCAGCTTGTCTTTCGTTCTTATCCTCACATTGGGTCTTGCCTTAGCAAGACTTTGCTAATTTTTCATCATCCATTCCAAAGTCCCTTCTGTATCTCCCTGGTCTCGAAGAGTCCTACCATTACTCTTCATTATTCTATGGGAATGTGATAGTCGAATCGGGGTTCAAGGCCTGTCGATCGTCAGTTTGTGGCTGGGTCGGATCGAGATTCAAGGCCCGTCGATCGACAGTTTATGGTTGGATCGGATCAAGATTCAAGGCCCGTCAATCTACAGTTCGTGGCTTGGTCGGATCGAGATTCAAGGCCCGTCAACCGACAGTTTGTGGCTTGGGTCAGATCGAGTTTCTAGGCCGTCAATTTACAGTTCATGACTTAATCAGATCGAGGTTTAAAACCCGTCGATCAACAGTTCATGGCTTAATCGGATCAAGGCCCACCGATCATATCATCAACCAGGTGTTAGTCATTTTGTCTTCTTGCTCGAAGTTAGTATTGATGTGGGGTCAGATTAATTTTATCCCAGGTGACGTGGCCTAACCTACATTCACAACTTTTATTCTATCTTTTTTCTTTTCAACACACACTTTCCCACAACAAAACACTCAAGGGCATCTTCCCCTAGCCGGTAAAATAAAGGAGGCCATTATTACTCAATGCAAAGAACAGACTAGAGAACTAACCCACGTTAAATTAAACATACTCTCTAACTTTAATCTGCATCTTTATGCTAGTCAGCGTGAGTTAGACGGTACAAAAAGTTCCTCACAATTTAGGTAGAATAATTTCTAAAGAGAGAGTCTATTAAGATGGCGCTCTCACAATCACTCATTGGATTTTCAACCAATGGTTGAAGCTTGCCTCACACGTTGGGTACCCAACGGTTGAAGACACGAGTAATCCAAAGAAGCAAACTCACCTGATAGACTATGCAAATAAATTATTTGATGAGGTGATTTGTGAAATGAAAAAATAGGCATCTTCTAAGGTGACTGCTGTGGTCCATCTTCCTTGCTGCATTGCAGGTGGGAGAGCTTGCAGGAATCGCGGTGGGAGCCACTGTCATGCTCAACACACTTATTGCAGGGTAACGTCAGACCTTAGACCTCTTTCACATGTACAATACTTCATACCATTTTTTTAAATTTTATTTTCCCACTTGACAAGTTATTCACACACCCATTTTGTCATTAACCCTCATGTCCAAGCTTTAAACAAATAGATCAACCTAACAACACTACTATCATCTTCCAAGAAAACTTGGAAAAGTCAACAGTAGCAGTTCCAGAACACTCAAATGGAGTGAAATAACACCTGCCCCGGTTGTCATTGCCCTATAATATATTCTGTAACTCAGATTAGTATTATGAAAAAATTGGTAAGTAAGAAATTTGGGGTGTATATATATCAATACTTTTCAACAACTACTCGTGTACAGCCAACAACCACACGTGTATAGCCAGGTCCCCTCCCTCACTTACATCATCTCTGTCTAGGGCTTCACATTGGGCTATATATCTATAAACTTGAACCCTCACCTTCCACAGATCCCACTAGGCAACAATCTTTGGTGGTAGAATACTTTATTCTTTGCACGACTATTTATTTCATCCGTTAAAGAGATGGACTCCACATGGATTCACTTTATCGTATCAGTCGTGGCTGTCCAAGACATGCCTCGTTTTACGTTTCCGGCAAGTTTTGGATCCTTAGATTTGAAAAGAATGCTAAAGGTCTTGATAGTTTCATTTATCTACGCATCTGCTGCCCAACAATGACACCCATTTTCTTCCTGCAAGCTTTCCTCTTCTTGCCATGCCAGGGTCACATCAACATAAAAAAATGATAAGGACTTAGCTATACGATGCATTAAAAGCCAATACCTCATGTGCCACAAACCTCACATGGTGAAGTAACTTCACAGAATATCTGGAAAGGAAAAAAAAGTAGATGCCAATGTCACGGTTGGAATTCATCAATCAAATATTTTTTGGTCTATATAGCGAGCTAAGCTAAGTGATCCCATCAAGGTGGTGGGTACCAATTGTTTTCATGCTATGACAATAAAAAGATAAGAGGATGAATAAATATAAAAAAAAAAAAAAAAAAAAAAAAAACTGATTTAAAGAAGAGTCATTTCAAATCCTGAGCATCCAGAACGACTAAAAAGATACAAATGAAAAGAAGAAGAGAATTTCAAGAATGATTTCTTACTATTGAGCCCTCTTCTCTTTTTTATAATGGTACAGGAAAGCAACAGGAGCTTCAATGAATCCGGTGAGAACTCTGGGGCCAGCCATAGCTGCAAACAACTTTGAAGCCATATGGGTCTATTTCACTGCTCCCTTCCTTGGGACACTAGCTGGGGCGGGTGCTTACTCTGCTGTGAAACTGCCTGAGATAGATGGCACTACACGTGATAAGCCTTCAACAGCCCAAAGCCTCATAAGGTGATCAATTGATATATTCAGACCTACACTAGTTAGATAATTCCATTAGAAGACTTGAGAATGTAATAAAATGAACAGTTCAACATGGGCAGAGAGTTCTGCCCAATGGAAATCTGGTGGGTACATACATATCAAAATAAAAATAAAATGGGCCATCCTTCATGCATATATCAAATATCTAGATCAAGCTAGAGATTTAAAAAAAATAAAAATAACTAGAGTATATTGATTGGTGCTTGACCTTTATATAAGAGGATTTGGAAGTGTGGACTGGGTGAAATGTTTGTTGTCTTCTTTTTTGTGTGTCTGAAATGTAACAGACTCAAGAACCTGGGGGCTTTTACAAAGCATTCTTATTTAGGTAATTATTTGCTCTTTCGACAAAGATAACATATTTATGTATCAATGACTTGTTTGATCATACTGAATTTCTTTGATCATAAGGGCATAATGGAGGTGCTATGATTTAAAAAGTTCCAATAAATATATTACACTGAAAGTGTGAGTGAGATTTGGGGGGTGGGGAAGAGAGAGAAGGATTACAGGGCTTGTTTTTACCATTTCCTCCAAAAACTTCAGACAAGCCTTCAATGGCACATAGCCTCAGAAATACATAGGTGCCATCACCAGACCTGCACGTTGGAAGACTTGAGAATGTTATAAAATGGAAGGGTCAATATAGCAGAGAGAACTTCACAATGGAGATCTGAAGGGCGCATACAGATTAAAAATAAAAGAAAATATGTTACCATTTGTATAATTCAAATATACATATCAAACTAGCTACTAAAAATGATATATATATATATATTTATAGGGAGAGAGTATGATATTGGTGGATGAACATTGCTTAAGAGGAGATATGAAAACACTGAATAGGGTTAACTATATTTATTTTTCTTTTTAACTTCTTTTTAGGTTGTGAAATATCAAAACCCTTTGTGGGTTTTTCTATAGTACTATATCTAGGTTTCTATTTGCTATTTAGTAGTGACGTAACATATTCAATTTAAGCATATAGGGTAAATTGCAAAAAAACACCCCTCTAGCTTTTACATAGTGCATATAAAAACCCTATACTAAGGCAATGTTGTATAATCACCTTATAGTATCCAAAAATGTTACAAATATTACCCTCCATCAAGTCACCATTACAATATAGCAGCTAAGTAGAGGACATGCACGTTGCTCCAAATTCCCAAAATACAATCCAGTTGCAAAGATATACACACACACACATAAATGCACCTCCCTCTTCAGTTGCAGAGATACACACACACACACATATATATATAACTACTCCACCTCTCTCAATCTCTTCCCACTCATTATATAGTGTATATATGGACATATATAATAGCAGTAGTTATACTATAATTTATCAGTTAAAAGATTAAGATCTTATTTATTTACTTTTGCGTCCTCTCCATCCGGCCACATAAAACCAAATGGTGAACAAGTAATATTAAGGTACAACATGCATATCTTTAACAAGGAAACTAGGTTTAAGGATAGGTTGGGTTCACCACCGAATGGTGAGCAAGTAATAAAATTCATATCACGAGGAAATTGTAATAGTTTGATTTTAGTGATACAAGAGTGATTTACAATCCTTTTTTTTTTTTTTTTTTTTTTTTTCAACCCAATTTTATAATCACCTTGCTTTATTCAACTCAATTAAACTTTTCTCCCCGCTATTTAGAGCTTTCCACAAAAATCTTGTACCATTATTCCACCATTACCTTTGGTTGAACCATGTACCACTATGTCTTTCTCACAACCTTAATCCACATCATTTTGGTTTTTTTCTCTACATGTAACGACCCGAACCCGTGGGTTCGAACCGTTAACCAGGTTCATACCCGAACCTGAAGTTAACTAGGTCATACTCTTCACCTTCTATGTCCATAACTGTCATAAGGGTCACTCTGGGGTTCAAAATAACCTAGAACAAAATCTTACAATGATGGTCAAACATTGCAGGTCAAAAGGGGATGATCAGCCGGCTGATGGGCCTTCATCGACCGGCTGACAGGGTCAAGTTCAGTCGGCTAACCTACAGGGTCGGCTAGCTGAAACGATTTTGAAATCAACATGCTCTCGGGACTTTTACTGTAGGCGTGTCGGTCGGCTAGTGGAAGGGGTTCGGTCAGCCGAACCTAGGGTTTCGGTCGGTTGATGGTGAGGATCAGCAGGCCGAAACAAGGCCCCTGACCCCAAAACTCACTGGAATGGACTCCAACTGTGTTAATTGTGAGCCAAATCTCTACTGGACCTATTTTGCCATCAATTTCCGAATTCATGGCAATAAAACATGATATAATATAGTTGAAAGATATCTATAATTGGTCGGAATACAACTTCATTACCCTTTCATCATGAAATAATTTTATAGTCTCATTTTACTTCAAAATACCACCAAGTGTTATAATTACAATACATGACTACGGTTCACAAAATGAATACACTTTACTATGGTTTGAGAATTTACAAAAAAAAAATGGCAAATATACAAAAGATGACAAAAAAATGGATTTCTAGTCCTCCTGGATGGGTCTGCATCAACTACTTCCTTTCCGAGCCCTGAAAAATGTTAAATGATAGGGTGAGCATAAAGCTCAATAGGTGGTACCTAATACGCACCTCTTGGGACCCTATGAATCCAAACAATGAATAGGACAATAGGGAACGGGGTCATACTAAACCGGGAAAAAATACAATATCAATTCCAAATTCATCCAAACAATGTCATGTATGTCACTCCCCATTTTCAAAAAAAAATATCCATCTCTTCACAAACTGTTAATATAACCCGTCCTTTGGTGACTCCGCAGCGACACGAGAGAAGAGTTGGCTACTGTCCCTGACCCTTGGTACCCCCGCGGCGTCATTTGGGGCCTAGATAGCTCAACCACGCTAGGGCGATCTCCCTATTTCCCTCTAAGTTACATTAACACACCGGCCCTTTGGTGACTCCGCGGCGACCGGATTTTCTCAAAAACCTTTTATCCAAAATTCTCCCCAAAATCCCTTTTTCATCTTTTTCAAATCATTTCGCCCTTTTTCATGCCCAATGCTTTGAATGCATATCACATGCCTTTTTAATACTATGAGAATTGGGGAATTTAATATTTCACAATTATCATACTTTCTCATAACAATTTCTAACAATTTAACAAACACAATAAGCATAGAAAATCAACACTTGGGCATACTTTCCATGTGAATCAACAAATACACATAATTGCATGCTTCATATACACAATTAAATCGTTTAAGAGACAATCAATTCAAATTAAGCATGATTGACAACAATTATAGTAGAAAAACTCACAAAGGTGCAAGAAAGTGAGGATTAGAGACCCCTACCTCAAGATTATACAAAACCCCCAAATTAATGCCCTAGATCTTGAATCTCCTAGAGTGCACCAAACTAGAAATTGCTCCGATCAACTTGTAGATCTCGTCGTGATCTTCAAATTGCCGCAAACAGCATCCAAAAATACCAAAAGTTGAGGGAGAAATCAAGATTTGAAGTTTGAAACTCAAAAGAAAGAAAAAAGAAAAAAATCTAGAGTGGGAGAGAGAGAGTCCAGCGGGAGTGAGAGAAAATGAAGGAGAAAATGAGGCTAAAATGCCTCTTGATTCCTTTTTAACAAAGGTGTGGGTCCCACCATTTTTATTTTATTTTTCCTTTTTATTTTAACCACAATTATATATATATATATATATATCCACATATAATAATTCTCAACCACACATAACACATTAAATAAAATAAATGTGATGCAAATGAATTCAACTAAAATCCCCGTACACAACAATTCCGGCAGCGGGTCCCGGGACTGTCCGGCCCGAAAACTGAAAAATGCCAAAATGGCGCCTCTTGCATTTCAAAGAGTCCTGAACTCAATGAAATACCCCAACCAACACTCTAACACTTCTGGCACACTTCACGGTGTCCGGCACGCAAAACGAGAAAAGACGAAAATGCCCCTGCAACGGCAAAATTCCGAAAAAAATGAAAAATGACGAAAAATGGAAATATTACACTGCAATACCCTTAATCTGGCCCATGTTACTCTTCTCATCCACACATATCACTAAAACATCTTCTTACTGGTCAGTGATAACTCTAACTTCTCATTGATGTATTCAATCTAATTCTAAAAGTTCTTGTTGTACCGCACAATATCTTTGAAGTTTAGACAATCTTATAACTTGTGTTAAAGCATATAGATTCATTTAGCACTAAAATCTTAGTCAGGCCTATGTTGCCCAGACACCGTCGCTTTACCTTAGGATAACCATGTCAATGGAACATTACTCGAATATGAGTGCAGGGCACGAGCATGGCATTATTATCTTATCCCTAAGTCTACACTAGTGAAGAAGAAAAATAAGAAGAGGAAGAGGAAAAAAGAAGGGACGAAAAAGCAAAAAATCAACCTTTTCTCAAGGTTCTCCCTTGTTGGATAGGCAAAATAAACCAAATCAAACATTGTTTTCATCTCTCGTAATCCTTTGTTTTTTTTTCCTTCATATTTTAAAGAATTATAGTTGTACTTTTATCAATCATTTTCTTATAAAATTTGATATTGAAATAATATACATCAAACAATTACTGTAGTGAACAAAAAGCACGGAATTAGCCCTCTATTTCTTAGTGTCTATCTTCCTCTCCACATCTCTCTCTAGAGCAGATTGTGTGAAATTAGCCCTCTTTTTTTCCAGCATATTTACCATCCCATGCCTAAGCAATATCAGCACCGAATCACTTTCTCCTTTTCTTTCTTTAATATAGATAATATCAGCATTAACTCACTTCTAAAGTATCAAAACTTCTCTCCATATAAGAAAATAAACCAATTGCATTTAAGTGAATATGTACAACATCCAAGTTCCTTATTGAAGCTAATACTATCTCATTCATTAAAAATGAAATAAGGAAGGCTTAAAAAAAAAAATTTAATCTGTTCTAATTTCTAAATTGTACCAGAGGTTGGTAATTTCACCAACATACATCAAACAAGCTCAATAAAACAAAAAGTATAATCAACATATATGCATAATTACATAATCAGTGCCAAAGAAAACATTATAATTAAATACGTGCAGAATAATCAAAATAGCTACTCCTCCGTTTGGTTGCTGAGAAAACTGAGGAAAAGAAAATACTTTTTTGAAAGTTATGTAATACTTTCTTAATTTAACTAAACAAGTTGCGAAACCAAAACTGTAAAACAGCTTATTTTTTAAAATTTCATCGTTGGTATGTAAAAATAATAATCAACTTCAAACGATAGATTTGAGTATCAAAAAGTGTTTCCTTTTCTCATATAATTTTCTTCAGAAACCAAACAGACCCATCTTCTGTATTACATCAAACTAACCTCAATACTCCCCATTGCACAGCTACACGAACCCATTGAGACCCAATTAACGGATCAAACCATCTCAAATCCTGGATCTTTACCCAATCGATCGGGTTTGGAGCGGAAAGAGAGTGATGTAGATAGGGAAAGAGCGAGAGCAGCGAGCAGAATGCCGAGTAGGTCGGCAACGGCGTCTTTGGTGGAGGCTCCGGCGGATTTGAAGAAGCCAAACTCGTCGGCGGCCTCTTTGGCGGCGCCGGCAGCGAGTGAAGCGATGGAACCAACCCAGATGCTCCGACGGCGGAGAAACGGATAGCGGGTTCGGGTCGCGAGGAGTGAGACGATAATAGTAATGGAGAAGCAGAAGAGGATGTGGTAGAGCTTGTCTGGGGCTAACCAGTTGTCTCCGTTCTCCATTTCAAATGCACAAATAGGAGAATTCAGAGCGAGAGAGAGAGAGAGAGAGAGAGGCAGTTGCGAAGCTGTCGGCACGTAACTGAAGTTTTGAAAGCCGAAATATAAATGCACTCCTTTTTTTTCTTTTTTCTTTTTTTTTTTTAAAAGTAAATGTCATAAATACCCATACCTTCATTATATGTCATTTTGCTTTAATATAGGGTGATTTAAAAAAATACCCCAAAAAAAATAATAATAATAATTAATTGCATGCCACCACCTCTCTTTTGCATTTAGGTTTAGATGTTCTTCGGCGGATTGGCCTAGGCCGATTAAGAGTCTGATTTTTAATTGATTCTTGTTTAGAAAAGTATTCTTTAGCTGGAGATTTAAGCCGAAATTCCAACCAAAATCTTTGCACCTGTTTATATCATCTCCTGACTCAATTTGCGATTTTATCAAATGTATGTATACTCAATACATATCCATATAAAGGATATGTGAATCTTATTTATCCAAATTATTTCTGTAAAATTTTTTTATGATTGAAGGTGAAAATAATAATTTGATTATTCCTCCAGATGATTCGTTCAAGAATGATACATTTTAGATTCCACAATATACAACTTGAAACTTTTTGAATTTACCAAAAAAAAAAAAAGAAAAATTCATCTGATCATACAACTCACAATATTATTGTCCTCGTGTTAGATTTTTGAAGTTTGAAATTAGATGAAATTTATACTATATTTTCATATTCTAAATTTAAAACCTCGATGCCGCCAAGCTTAAACACCATAACATTTAAATTTGCAGCTTCCCTAACTCTTTCAACAGTCATTTCAAAAGCCATCCGAAGGTAGATTAATCAATATCAACCCAAAAATAACAATGTCAAAAGCTATCCATCAATCATGTTGGTATCAAAGAAAAGTAGTCCCCCCCCCCCAAAAGGTGATTTAAATAGGAGCATGAACGGGAAAAATAATCTCATGTTTAACTTCGATAATTGCAGTATTTAGACACTAGAAACTAATTAGATCACAATTCTACACTTAAAACTATCAACTGTCACACTACTTCTACAACTAAAATACCAAGATAAATGATTATATCAAAACTGAAATACATGCCACCACAGGTTATTCGAGGTCAAAATGCAAGCCATGAACTACCTAAAAATATGATCTCATGTAAGACTCTTTCTTTTTCTTTATGCTAATTCATCTTGCCCATCAATTCATTTATGCGATCCTCGCGATTTCCTGTGTCTCCCCCATCCTTGAATACCCTTTTCTTCCCTTGCAATGCTTTCTCTGGTTTGTTGAGCATAAAGGGACACAAACAACTACTGATGTCCTTAAAATGTGGACCAACATTGGCAATTTCATTTATGATGCCTTCTATGCATATGATGCCATGCTTCCCCAGTGCCTTCAAAAGAAGCAAAAGAAAGTTGCGTGAGAACATGAATAAAACTTGGCAGCACAGCGAAGTAACTGGGGGCGTGCCACAACTAGTGATGTATAAGCAATACCTGTTCGATAATGTTATTGTCTGTTAAAGGAACTCTCTGCCTGTCGATTTTCACCACACCTTTTTTGTATATCAGATCCTTCACATTCTTGAGATTAGGATACCTACAAAAACAGTAAAATCTTGTAAAGACACAGTTGAGATTTTAATATCATCAGACAGAAGTAGAATCTCATAAAGACCAAGTATTATGAACAACATTTGGCTAATCATTCGTCAGATGTAAAATGCAAGGTTGCTCTGAAGATTCAGGTATTTACGTAATAACCTTTCAGGAACTCTCCCAGATATGAGTATTTCAAGACTAAGAGGCAAAGGAATGCACAGGGATAAACATCTTTTGGTGCATAATTGGTAGCTGTTGCCTGGTACCAACAACTAGTGTCAGACTATTGAAGAAATAAATTTGTGTGATCAAACACTTGGATTGAACAACACAGCTCAGTAGTAATCAGCAATAGAAGAAACTTAAATACTTGTATTGCAGTTGAATATCAGAACTTTCTCAATTTTGAACCACTGCAGCACTTGCCCATTAGACTGTATAATTCAACTCAACATACCAATGCCCCAAATACTGCTGTATATAACGCCACAACTTCAGACAAACCACATTCAATCATATCCTTCTCTACCATATCAACCAATGATATTTCCTTTTTTAGCCTTCCCTTAACATTGTCCCTCCAATTATCCTTTATCACACTGCCACATATCCATCTCCACACCCGAAATTCGACCATGCTCATTTTACAAACATGCTTCTTTTCTTTTCTTCTTTTCTTTTCTTTTGTGTGTGTGTGTGTGTGTGTCCTTTGATAAGTATTGTACAAAACATATTTCTTAACCACCTGATGGTCTATGCTTTATGAAACATAGATCTTTTAGTAACCATTTTATAAAATTTACCCTTTAATATTAGAGCTATTTTTGGTTACATCAAACGTAGTGAAAAACCACTCAAACCATCATATTTTAATTCTATGAGTAACATAACATCACCCCCAGTCACTACATCATTGTGAATTATCAAGTTAAGGAAATGCTGTAATGGAGTCACTCACCTTTTGTTCTCTTTAAACCTCGATTTATCCTATATTCTCACTTGTATTAATAATTTTGCTATAGTGACATTCCAAATAGTTAGCTTTAGTCATATTAACCTTAAACACTAAAGATCATAGAGCTTGTCTCCAAACCTCTCAAATATATCATTAGCCGTTACTAGCAGGGTAAAAAGAAAGATGATTATTTTCCTAATGATAGTAGGTAAACTTATTTTATATAAGCCACTTGCAAGCACCTCAAGCTTTGATTGTCGTAAGATCATTTAAGGTTGCTCGCAGGCCTAAACAACACATAATTGACAGCTTAAATAACACAATATTCAACTCAATTAAGCTTGTGAACTGTTATGTAGCCCTAGAACCTATATTACTTTGAGTTGGGTATTTGTTCGGGTGTGGGTATGTGTCCGAGTGTCAGACATCCCTAATCGCAAATTTTAGGATACGGGGACTCAGCTTGAAATGTATCCAAAACTTAAATACGGGTGTGTGGACATGTTTTGCGTACTTAAAAACTTGATGTGCAACTTAAAATGCAATGTATCATACTTATCAGGAAAAAAAATGTAATGTATCATACTATTATTTCTTAAAATACTTGATTATAATTTATATTAAATGAAACTATGTGGAAATGTGGTTAAAAGTGGAGAGATTCTGCCCATCTCATAGGAGTCTGATTTGGGTATGTGTCGGACACATATGTCATACCCATGTCCATGTCATGTTGTACGTTGAGGAGAACAGAGCAGTAGAGTATTGGGTAACACAGTCTAGAACACAATGATTCAACAATTTACAATTAATTATTTCTAAGAACGGTTAAATATTAAGTGACAGCATTTCCACATTTATATGTTTGAACTCAAGGATTTCAGCCACTTGAAGATTACGTCAACTTTAAATGACGAATTTCCAAGTTTATATGTTTGAACTTAAGTTCTAAATTTCTCTCTTTAAAGTTAGGATTCCACCCATTTAAGAAAACCAGTAAGCTCAACTAGGCTAATGAAGAAGTTCTACGCTGATAAACATATACATATAGTAGAAAACCAATCAAGGTGCAGCCACATAAACAAGTTAGGTAGTTCTATCATCTTCATAAGCAGATTTTTTGTGGCAAAGCTATACAGATTGTAAATCATAATAAAATTATGAACGCAACCACTAAAGAATTTTTAATTCCCTTTTGTGAACAGCAACGATATATTATTTGCAGCAAATTATAAAAATAAAGAGTTGTTTGTCCTACCCATATGTAACGAATGGTTCCACCTTTTGCAGTATTTCTATCACCCTTTCGTTTGCCTTCACAAAGACACCATTGAAGATTCTCCTGAGTCTCAGAGAGTATAACAACTTCCTCGTTTTTGGATGCATGTCATTTTTTCTGAAATTATTTGGGGAATGTCAGAACAAAAAAGAAAAAAAAAAAAAAAAAAAATCATACAAAACATACATGCAGGCAAAATGATTGCAACCATGGCAAAATTATTGCAACCATAACAGGAATAACCCATCCCCGGATACGAATGATGAAAAGCAGCTTGGATTCTGGTGTGACCAATGACCGTAGTTGTCGCTTTCCCCTGTGTTTCATTTGGATAAGGTCCAATTCCTGAGTTTAAAAGAGCATAGTAGGAGAAATTAGATGATATATTGTAGACCAAATTGGAATTTATATAGACATTATATGAAAACAAAATCCATCTGGATTCTAGACAGATTTTCAACTGACTGCTTAAGATGTCAGAATTCAGGAGACCTGTCAAAAAAAAGATGTCAGAATTCAGGAGACCTGTCAAAAAAAAAGATGTCAGAATTCAGGTGTTTGAGCCAACAGAAATAACATGCACATATAGAGTGGGCATGCAGATATGTAGAGAGCATATCTCATTGGGTATTATTATTATTTTTTTGGTAACAAAATAATCAATAGGGCGAGGGTCATATAGAATAAGTAGGTAGGGGTTGGTTCCTAACCCGCCCATATCTGCCCGCTTTTTAATGGATTTGGGTTAACCATATTAAAATACGGGTCAAAATATGTTGTGAAAGTCAGACCCATTTTTATAGAGGATTAAACAGGTTGAATGTGGTACCCATATTCAACCCATTATATAAGAGACTCGGATAGCTATTCTATACTGCCCTCACCCCCATCTCTCTCACGATCCCCTCTCTCTCCCCTTCTAAAAAGTCCCTTTCTCTCCCTCTAAAATTATCCTATATTGCCTCAGCTTCTCACGATCCCCCCGTCTAAGATTCTCTCTTCGGCTCTCTCACTATCCCCCCTCTCTAAACCCGCCTGAAGAAATTGGCTTATTTAAACCAATATCACTCTAAGGAAGAAAAAAAAAAATTCATTCTAGGTGCTGGGAAGTTTCTAATAGCATTGCTACCTAACAGGTTGGCAACACATGCCCGATTAAATTGACCTAGAATGAAATTGGCTAATCGTGGTCAATGGCAGTAGTAACCAATGTTGTAATACCCCTTCCCCTCACAAAATTATCTTCATGCCGTTATTCCTTTAATTAAATATCCAAATCAGATATTTGTAAACGGCCAAGTCCTTATAAATGGGTCAGCTTCCCAACTTGAACTTTTATCTTCATATTTAATAAAATTAATTTGGAGAGAGAATTTAAAGATCCCAATTGGATCTTTGTAAACGGGTTTAATCCTCGATGGGTCGGGCCCTTATAAATGGGTCAATTTTCAACTTGAACTTTTAACTTCAGATTTCATAAAGTTAATTTCCCAAGAGAGAATTTTAAAATCTAAATCGGATCTTTGTAAACGGGTCAGCTTTGCTAATTTGAACTTTTAGCTTCAAATTTCAAAAAAAAATTGCTGGAATTGTCCACATTAAGAATGAATTTTGCTTCTTTTTCAAAATAAAAGTGGTCCATCAGGTCAAGATGAGTTGAGCCGACCCATATTTTACCTAATACAAATGTTGGGTCAAATAAAATGTAAAATCCATTCTTAATGTGGCCTAATTCCAATAAACTTTTATAGAAATCAATTGTATGAAATATGAAGCTAAAAGTTGAAGTTAGCAAAGTTGACCTGTTTATAAGGACCCGATTTGGATTTTAAAATTCTCTCTTCGAAAACTAATTTTATAAAATCTCAAGTTAAAAGTTCAAGTTATAAGATGACCTGTTTAAAAGGACACAACCCATTTACAAAAGGTCCGACCCATTTACATGGGATTTGACTCATTTACAAAGATCCAATGGATCTTTAAATTATCTCTCTCCAGATTAATTTTATGAAATCCGAATATAAAAGTTCAAGTTGGAAAGCTGACCCATTTATAAGGACCTGACTTGTTTACAAAAGATCTGACCCGTTAACAAAGTTCCGATTTGGATCTTTAGTTAAAAGAATAGACAATTTTGAGAGGGGAAGGGGTATGACAGTATTTGGTTAATACTACCATTAGCCACTAATTAACCAATTTCATTATGGGTCAATTTAATCGGGCACGCGTTGCCACCTGTTAGGTAGCCAGTGCTATTAGAAACAACCCAACACCTAAAATGAAATTGGTTTACATAAGCCAATTTCTTCAAGTGGGTCCATGGAGAGAGCCGAAGAGAGAGGGGATAGTGAGAGAGCCGAATAGAGATAATCTTAGAGAGAGGGAGGGGGATTGTAAGAGAGAATCTTAGAGAGATAGAGAAGGTGAGGCAGTATAAGATGAGGAGGGGGGAAATTGAGAGAATCTTAGAGAGGGAGAGAGAAGGTGAGAGAGAGAGGAACTTTTTAGAGATAGAGTGAGTGAAGGGGAGAGAGAGGGGATTGTGAGAGAGAGATTTTAGAGAGAGAGAGTGAGATGGGGGTGCAGGCAGTATAGAATAGCTATCTGGGTCTGGAATATGGGTTGAATATGCCCGTTTAATCCTCTATAAAATGGGTCTGACTTTCACAACCCATTTTGACCCAAATTTTAATATGGTTCGCCCAAATCCATTAAAAACGGGTGGATATGGACGGGATGGCGGGTTAAGAACCATTTTGCCACTCCTATAAGTAAGCTTGTAATTAAGTAACAGATCTCAGAATTTGATACACATGCCAAAAGATCAGCTATCAGTATGCTCTTTTGATGGATGTAATTGATATATCCCATGAACTAGATGGTAAATGTTACAGAGATACTTCATGACATGATTATTTGATGTGTTCAACCATCTACACGCTTATTATCATGTGGTTCCGCCAATGACATCTCTAACAAAGAACGAAGAGGAACAAAATACTATTTCACAAGAGACATCCAAAACACATTAAATGATACTATACTGAATAGATACATAATTACATACTAGTGGCAGGCTCACTAGGCCCTCTATAAAGTTCAGAGTAAACGGGGCACTCCATAATCTAAGGCATGTGTTTCCTTGTATACATTGGGTCATTCAATCAATACGTTGTATGACCATTCAAAAAAAATAATAATAATTTCAATACGTTGTATGTTCTTCCCCCTCCGCTTTTGGGTTCTATGGGGAGAGAGCTATGAGTCAGTTCCCTCGTTCCCTTTCCCCACTTGAAACATATTGTGAAATTTGAATAACCAATGCCTAGATACATAACCCTACCCAACAAGCCTATACACGCCCTTATAGCATGGCTGCCATACTCAATATGCCTAGTATTTGACCAATATAATCTCCATATCCTCTTGGAATAAGTGGGACTCCAAGACCCCACTTTTGAATAGAATGGAGAGGCACTGATAGAAGACCATCACACACATGTTCGCATTTTACAAATGTAAAGGGAGTTGTTTTCTTAATAAAAAAATCAAAATATATCAAAGGTCAGTTTCAGTAATAGAAACATTCAAACTTCTAAATCCATTCTTTTTTTTTTCTTTTCTTTTTTTTTTTTCCTTTTTTTTATTGTAATCTATGTTAAGTTCTTATTGAATATTTCAAGTCCTAACCTAGGATAACATTAAACAGAAACACTTCAATACAAGCTGGTAATGTATATGAAAGAAACTAATGCCCAATTTCTCAAATGTGTGTCTCAATTTTGTAAGTGATGCTTGACTATTTCCACAGAAAATACTAACTTTACTAGTTTAAAATAACTACGCGGAAAAGAAAAAAATAAAAATAAAAATAAAAAATAAAAAATAAAATTAGGTCTCCCCTAGAATTGCCAATCAAAACACAAACGAATTGTTGAAGTATCAAGCAATAAGGTCATCATTACTGATTAATAGAAGTGCAAGGATTTTCCTGAGGATCAACAATGTGAGCACCAGAATCTACATAAAAATGCAGGGAATTGACAATAAAACACCATCTAAAGCACTAAACACATTGTGATAATGAAATTAATACTTACCCTGTCTCGATGCTCTTTGATGAACTGCTCAGGCTTCTTGATGACAAAATTGTCTCCCTTGATTCTCTTGATCTTCTGCTCCAACTGCTGTTTCCTTCTAATTGCCCACTCTTCATTGCTCCTTCTTTTCTTCAATATCGTCTCCGGTATATAAGCTAGGGGCTTTGGCTCCTCATCTGCCATGATTGTCTACACTTCCTCCAGTAACAACAAGGCACCAAATTAACAGCTTGTATCTACAGACCTCTCATATTTTAACAGTAAATGTGAAATCAATACAATATTTAGCATAAAGATACCATAAAATATACAATTTGGAGTAAACCCAACAACCATATCATAATATTAAAAACCCAGAAGCTCGTAATACAAGCAATATCATATACCACCTGATATGTAGTAGTAAGCAATACACAAGCAAACATATACATATACTATATGTATAAACGCGCACACACACTAAGATAACAAATCTTCCTTTTGTTACAAACCCTATAATTTTCAGGTTTCTTTGCTGACTCCTTGGTTTCACAACCCTAAAATCTAATTCTGTTTTTCTGAACTTCAGCACACATGTGTATATATAGAGAGAGATGGGTTCGTACCAGAGAGAGGATTAGTCCGGTTTGCGAGAAGATATGAGAGGAAATTGCCCACTATTGAGGAGGGAGACTGTAGTGCTATTAGAACTTAAAACCCTAACTTGCAGCAAGGATATGATTGGATGAAACCGACTGTTATCAAAGACCCTGGACCACCTAAACTTTTCCCTCTAGTTCACCAATAAGGACATGAAACGTGTCAAGCTCAAATAAGCTTGTTTACACTGAAAATACATTCTACTGTAAACAAAACAGTGAACAGTCTTCTTACAGTTTGGGGCATCTACGGAGTAGAATGTAATGTAATAATAGGAATCACTATAACTGATTTAGTTACAGTTGAGAGTTGATTGCAAATGTAGATAAAATATAAAGATCTCAAGAACTGAAGTTCTTCACAGATCTGAGTGAGTGTTGGAGGTGGGGAGAGAGAGCCACTCTAGAGAGAGAGTAGAGAGAGAGAGATGTCAGGAGCAGCTTCTCGGCGACGTTCAGGGACTTGGTTTAGGTGGTGTTTGGTGGTCTTCGCAATTGCTTCAGCTCTATGCGTCTCTGGACCTGCCCTTTACTCGAAATTCAAAAAGAGCGTGAATTTGAAAAACGTTGCTTCGTCTTCTGCTTCTTGCCCACCTTGCATCTGTGACTGCCCTCCTCCCCTCTCTCTCCTCAAAATCGCTCCTGGTATGACTCTCTCTCTCTCCTCTCTTACATCTTTTATTGATGGGTTTTGTATATTCTTGTTTTGGCATGAGAATCTGGTGATTGCTATGAGATTTAGTTGAAAATCAGGTTTTGTTGTTTGTAATACTTTGTATAGATTTCTTGGTGATTGCTTGAATATTGTTCTGTAGTATTACTATTATTCAATTGTTCTATTGAGTAGAATCCTAATTAAAATTTTCTGTTTGGAATCATTGTCAAATTGTCCTTGTTTTTTATTAGATCAGATTCAGTGTAACACATGGATTTGTTTTGGGTGGTTTTGCTTTTTCTTTATATATATGTATAATTTTGTGAATTATTTCTGGATTTGTCTTGCCCTCTTAGATTCAATTATTGTTGATATATATGCTGTGCAATCCTATTTCAGATTTGGTATTTCTTCCACTTTAGAATCTTTGGTTTAAGCTTAAATCTTTGGCTTTCCAATTAAGCATTTTGATGGAATGCTTATACATTAACTTCATTATTATGTGTAGTCCGCATGTCCATGAACTCTTCTGGTTGAGCCTCTGTAAACACAGCTCTAGTTATAGAAGGTTCTAATCCCCTTAAAGATATTGGACATAGGTGCATGTGTAACTACAAATCTATGTCTTTATTTATTTATATTCTTGGTTGCTAATAAAAATTACTTCCAAGACTCAGATTGACTTGAGCTGGTCAATTTGATCATTTTATGATAGTATTGATAATCCGTTTTCCATTAAATGAAACAAAGACAACTCTTTGGGGGTCTTATCTATGAATGACATTTTTTCTTCACAATATGGATATGGACCTATTATTATTGGGAGTTTCAGATATATTGTGCCGCAAGGGAAAGGTTGCTCCATTGTGATATGGAGGTTATGAGTTTGAAACAAGGAAATAGTAACAAGCAGGTAAGCCTGCATACATCTGACCCTCCTCATACCCTGCAATGGAGGGGGCCTCGTGGGGCTAACCCTTTACATTGATTAAAGAATTTAAAGTGCTCTTGTCATTTTTTAGGAATCACTTGGATAATAGATCTTTTGCTAAACATTCTCTCCCCACTTTGCATGCATGGTAAAATGTCCATCATTTTCCCCCCAAAAAAGTAACCTTTCATCCAATATTATGTTCGTTACATTCTTAGGCTTTTCAAATTTCATCATGATTTGTCATCCTCACCAAACATATATCATTCGACCTTTGGTTTGCATAGATCAATATGGAGTTACTACTTGAAATGGGTCTTTTCTTTTCAGGAAATATTTGCTCTAAATTGTATTTTTGAAATCATTTTGAGGTGACCTAACACATCTTCTTGTCTGGTAGAGACTCCATATTTACCTACTTAAGACGCTATTGAATTAAATCCTTAATTTATCACCCTAAGTCTAGTTTGTGACATTTGTCACCCTAAATCTAGTTTGTCACCTCACCAATCTTTCATCTCACATGCACCGAGGGGTTGGGCCAAAGCCGCTGCAATAACAATTAATATGCTCCATTCAAACTTCATCTTTTTAGTAGGCTACCTTCTTTGGACTGTGATTCTTTTCAAAGTAGTCTCACATGTCTTAGAGTTTAGACCATACAATACCATAGCACATCTCCTGGTCAACCATTAGCCATATGGAAATATCATTTTATATTAACTAACATTAAACCTCTTATAATACTGTAAATTTATACAAGTGTGAAGGCTAAATATTCCCTTTATTACTCTGTTCGTTTACCTTGTTTTTGTTCATATATGGTGTTGTGTGACAGGGATACCTTCCTTTTTGGTTGTATTCTGCTAAGAAACATGACCACTACGATAAGGAACTGTAACAAAATCTGTAATTTTTGTACACTTGGTTGCACTTCTTGAACACTATTGAATTTGTGATTGGCAAACCTCATATATTAAGGATGGTTAACTAAACTCAATATAGCTTTTTCTTGACTATTTTGGACCTGCTGCACGAGTCCTATTTTGCTTCAGCTCTATCTAAGGGCATAAGCTCAGTCAACCACATGTTGTCTTGTCTTTCTTATCTCAATCCATGTTAGTTTTCGTCTTTCCCTTCTCCTAGAATTACCCTCAATGTGGATAACTCTTATAAATGAATATGACATTTTTTGAAATGGAAACAAAGTCTAATGGTAATGAAAAATCAAATTGAGAGTTTTGTATAGAATTTGTTACCAAATTTAAGAACAGAAATATGATGATTTTATTGAAACAACTGTGGTGGGAGGGGGAGAGGAGTCATCATAATTAGTGTGCTCATGTACAGATACGCTGCTTTGTCCATATCCTATTCTTTAGAATACACTCTGGCAACACATCCATAATTAGTTGTGTCTAAGTTTATGTGGCATAGGTGTTGGCAACTAAAGCTGATAACTAAAAGGAACCTAGATTTATCTCGTCTGTATTGTTCCATGGAGCAGAGTCGATGATGCAAGTATAGTGTACAGATGTGACTAACATGTTCTGTTTTGATGTGTATATCCTTCAGCACCCCACACAGGTGGGGTTGCACCTGTAATAGTCTTTATGGCCTTTGTACTTGTTAGTGATTGTTATTCCCTCTCAGTGGTTGAAGCCCTTATTGTTGCTGCTTTTTGTGAGAAGTTATTGATTTATATTTTCTTTCAGTATTGCTATGTTTCTAAACACTTTTTATACCTGCTTTGCATGTAGAAACTAGGCCATTATTCTTATAATTTGTACAGTAATGGCTGTTTCTTTCCTTTTCAGGTTTGATCAATCTTTCTGTCCCAGGTAAGAGGTCATTATTCAAATTCTGAAGTATATTAGATTGGCGCTCTTTTTTCTCTATCTATATGGTTTTCTATATTTTTTGATGGTGAGGAAAATTTTCTTCCAATACTTTCAAGCTTGCTACAAATCTAATTTTGATGCTATGATTTTCTGCTAACTGGCAAGCCAAAATTTGTGTTGGGGCTTTTAGATTAGTAAGTTGTAAAACTTTCTAGTAATTGCTGAAGTTGTCCTGTTTGGGTTGTTGCTAAAATGTTAATTTAGTTTTCCTCAATTAATTTAGAATTTTGTCTATTTTCCAATTTCAAGGAAAGTTCCTTTCATCAAATCAGCCAGGGCAGGGAAGAATCTTGGACGGAATATCAGAACATTGTTTTTCTTGACATGGTATCGTGTGGGAACACAGAATTATTCCGATGCAACTCCAGAATACCTGAACTGGCTGATTTACCCATATTAAATCATATATTAAGTAACATAATAACTAAATGATTTACCACAAATTTTTAGATGTATGATTACAAATATTTGACTGAAATCAGGAAAGCCTTAATTCAAATACTTGTCGTCATATAATTACATAATGTTCATGTAGTTATGAATGTAATATGAGGAACCTGGTTGAGTTGTTTTCTCTGGTAGACCAAATCAAGATCTGGTATTAAAATCGCACGGCCTGGATTCTCTAAACTTGCATATTTGGGGGGAAAATATATTTATTTTTCTAAACTTGGTGTGTATCTAGGGATGGATAAAAAAAATTGCCATCAAAATAGCTTCGTTTGGATGTCCAGTAAACCCCATACATAATTCTCTTGTCTACTTATGAAGTCTTGATTCAATTGACATCAAATTTACTTCATTTGAATGTCCAGATTTTGAGTTATAAACTTTTAGATATGAAAGAGTGGGAAAGGCAGATTATATCAGGATGAGTTGTAATCATTCCGATGCTAAATTTTGTATGAAGATAATTTTAAATAAAACTTTCCTTAATCATATTCATCATAATTTAAAATGAAGATAGTTAAAATAAATACTCTTCATTGTGGATGAAAATAGGAAATTAAAAGTTATGGGCATGACATAATGGTTAAATATGAGTTAAACAAAATGCACCAAAAGATGATATTAAGCAAAGCTAAACAAAAGTTATATAAAAAATTAGATACAAAAGAGGGTGAAAAACATGGACCAGATTGGATGCATTAAGGACATAAATTGGACATAATTAGTTAAAGAGAATGACATATTAGTTGATGGAAAAATTATTTTCAAATTCACTAAACGAGGAATATTCTAGAGAAGAAATGGAAATTAATGAATTTAACATAGGGATGATAAATAAAATCAACAATTAGATAGCAGAGGATACAATTAAAAATATGAATAATAATAAAGCGGTTTGACCTAATAATATACCTGAAGAGGCGTTAAAAAAAATTAAGAAAGGTAGGAAATAAAGTCTGAGAATAATGTATTCATGTAGTTAAAAAGAAACAAGAACAATGTATTCATGTAGTGTTGGGCCTTAGAAAAGAAACAAGAACAATGTATTCATATATAAAAAGAAAATGTTTAGATGGATGGTTGGATTGACTAGAAGAAATAAGACCACCAATCAAAGTCTGATAGAAAAATTAGGAGTGACATCAATTGGTGATAAAGTAAGTAGACTTAAATGGTTTGGACATATGCAATAAAGACCTATTGATGAACTAGCAAGGAGAGGAAGATTACTTTACATAGAAGGTAAGAGATAGAGAGGTCGACCAAAACTAACTTGGGATGAAGTTATTAGAATTTTTTTTAAAACATTTAATACAATAGAGATGTCTTGTGATGAAAAAAATATATATGAAAAAAAAATTTCTTGCCTGACCCCATTCAATATGACATTATGGAAACAAAGATGATGATGACCAGATGATGAAACTCTGAACCTCTTTTTATATCGGTAAGGTTTAGTTGGGACTGTTGCTTCCCTGGCATCAACAATGTAGACGTCCTATTTTACCCCTACCCGTTGAAATGCATTAATTGCTTTAATGACAACAATTAGGATGCCTTAAGCCAGATTGCATCTTTTTGGGAAATGGTTCTTTTGCAACATCTTTTCATGAAATCCTTCAACTTAATGTAATGTTCGGGCAGATTTTTTGTTAACAAGTTCCACAATCATCAAGCAGATTGCATTTCTTATTCGTCTGGCCAGTTAAACTATTTTTTCTGTCAAATACACCTCCGTTTTGTATTTGGCTCGGGTGTTCCATATGCTTCTTGCAGTCATTTCCTTATTTATCACTATTGTTTGCCACAATAATTTCTTTGTTTAGTTACAACTGAGTCTTGACAAAAGCAGTAGATACAAGTTTTTCAAGATTCCCTTCAGCTTTGATATTCAATCATATTATGCCATATATTTGTGCTATGGCCGGCTAGTAGATTTCATATTTAACCCCCTGTGGCCATTGAAAGCAATTCTACTTTCCCAATAACTTTTTGATTCTTGTGCCATTTCGAGGTTTAGATACCCTGGACAAATTCAGTTAAAATATTCTTTAGTTTTGTGTTTGGTGTGATTGTGCCCGCCATATCCACCTTGTTTTTTTACTAATTTAACTACAAATTCATTTATTCTACAATAAAAATATAATTCTACTTTGTGGTGAGTGGTTCAGATTGCGGCAAAAATGACGCGGATCTTAATAAAGAGATGGAGAAGCAGTTTGTAGACCTTCTAACAGAGGAGTTGAGGCTGCAGGAAACAGTTGCAGCAGAGCACATGCACCACATGAATATCACCTTTGGTGAAGCACGAAGGCTTGCTTCGCAGTATCAAAGGGAGGCAGAGAAGTGCAATACCGCTACAGAAACCTGTGAGGCAGCTAGAGAGCATTCCGAAGCATTGCTGACCAAAGAGAAGAAGGTGACAGCATTGTGGGAGCGACGAGCGCGTCAACTGGGCTGGGAAGGAATATAGGTTATGACACTTGCATATGTATTCACTTCATATATTTTCTCTCCAAGTGGGCTCTTTTATAGTTGATGGAAAAATGGAGTAGATTTGTATTCACTTCATCTCAAAGATGTACAAGTGTGCTAGCAAAGCTGCTCGAGATGTATCTTATTTTGATTTGTTCCCTAAACTGGGGCATACTGCATCTTGTTATGAATGACAAAGCTTGGTTGAATTGTTTCGTTTATTTGCATTCACATAGTACTACCTGTCTGTTGGGATTACGTATTATCAAATGTGTGAGACAATTAACTAAAAAAATATTCCACATATTGGGCATTTATTGACATGTCTTTATAGCATGATGTTCATAATGTGATGATGTTTCAGGAAGAAAATACTAGTAGGAAAAAAAAAAAAAAAAAATGGCGCATGTGAATCAAGAAAAAGGGAAGAAAACTTTTTGACATAATTTTACATGGTGACTAGTACTATTCAAATAAATGGTGCATGTGAATCATATTGTGATGGCAAGAAAGAGGACAAATTCTAAGGATAACTTTATGGTTTTGTTGCATCGTATGATGATTTGTTCTTGATTTATTTCAGGTTGACCAAGTACATGCAATGTGGAAGTGGGTGTTATTGGTGGCTTAGATTTTCTTCCACTTTATTGGTGAGTAAAACTGTTGCTTCTTCATGCTTTCTTTATCAATGAAGTTTTGGTCCCTTCTCTCTTTGAGTCTTCTTGATCCATATGGATTATTATGGTATTACATGTGCTAGGTATAGATAGATGCATACACGCGCACATCACACTCCCACTTAGTGTGGTTCTAACAGGTCAAAGCTTGGCTCATGCACCTAACCCCATGTTAGAAAATGGAAGTTTGAAGCAAAAATCAACTTGGCATTGACAACATGTTGTTATACATATGTTGGCATAAATACGCATTGATTTCCTTTTGTATTTTGGCTGAGGTCAGGAAGGTGTGAAACTCTTTTTGCAACGTTGTTTTAGTCCTAGCAGCCACAAGTAATGTGTAAAATGATATCCAAGGTTATTGTAAATAGACTGAATAATGCACTTCGTATAACAATAATAACAAAAGATGAAAAATTCAAAACTTGACAACACTTGACTAATCAGGTGTGAGTCCCTACCACAACTAATGTGGTAGTAGGGGTCAATAGCTTTGTGAGATGTTAAAAAATATCTTTACCTTCCCAAGATAAGAGATGTGATAATAGGGGTCCATAACTCTGTAAGACGTCAAAAAAATATCATTATCTTCTCAAGATAAGGGGTGCCCTCCCCCGGCCGCGTACACTGAGAAGAGAGCAAGCTCCCAAGACCCACAGGGAAACAAACTAAGAGGCAGCAGGCACTAGGAGCACCAAGAAGCCAACAAGAATTAGGAAATGACCTGGCAGCCAACTGGGAGTGCTGAGAGGGTGCCCCCTCTTGTTATTACACATAGAGAAATAGTAAAATGTATTGTCTAGTTAGAGAGGCATATAAAATTGAATCCAAACTATAATTCAGAGATAGTAGTTGAAATTTGTTTTTTTTTTTTTTTAAATAAAATAAAAAATAAAAAATAAAAAAATAAAGATAAAATGGTTGAAAAAGTTGGGCATTTGAGGCAGTGATTTTGTGAAGCTTCAAATGCGTTGACCAATATGGTCATTCATCAAGGAATCAGTGATTTGTTCTGTTTTTGTGAATATGAGTTGTGGACTATTGCCATTTTGGATGAACAGGATGGCCCAGTTCATAACAAATATACTTTCCGCTATGACAAGTGGCAGGCTTTGAGCCTATTGAGAGTGAAGAAAATCCATTTGCTCTGCTGGAGTCCAATATTTTTTTTTTTTTTTTTTTTTTGGCCTTTTTTCTAGACGATAAATTCACACACCTACTTTTTTATTCCTAAAAAGAAATGAACCCTAGATCTTTTAAATTATAGTAGCTTTGGTCGGACTCTGCATAATAAAGTTGGTTTCTTAAGAGCATGATTTTTAAAATTTGAAAATAATTTAATTGTATTTAGGACATTAGGTTTCATTGAAAAGAGATTCATGACAAAACCCAAGCTAAATAGAGAATTATGTTGTGTAATTGGAATCACAATTTACTAAGAAAAATTTGAATATTATTAAAATCGGTGAAAATCTACTCTACACGTATCTAGTAAAGAAATCCTAAAAACAACTCAATTTGACATTCTCTATAAAAATTTTGAAAAAATCGAAATAAGATCCTACCAAAAATCAGAATAACCATAGTCCAATTCGACAGAATTCTTATGAAAAAAAAAAAAAAAAAAAAAGGATAACGAAATACATGGTCACCCTTTTTGTTAGTCTTTTGGCAGTTTAGTCCATATACAAGTTTCAGTATTCAACATTAATTTGGCCGAGAAGACCAAAATTTGAAAACCTTGGAAAAAAAGAATTTGCAAAATTGAATTTTAATAACAAATATATATATATATATATATATAGTTTTATTTTAAATTTGGAAAAGGTCTGCTTCAATTGGTTTAAATTAAAGTTTGTGGTTAGTCTGATGAGTTACACATCTGTGTATGTGAGAGAGAGAGATGAGTGTGACTTTTAGAAGTGGAGGGAAGGATTAGTCGTATTTGAGTAGTAATTGAACTCTTTACTACGTGAGATGGAAAGATAGTGATGGAAAAGGCTATGACTTCCTCCTCTTCCTCCATTGATTACACAAGATAAACAGACAAACAAATCTATCACCAGATTTGGGTCCAACTTGATTAGACAAAGCAAGCCAAAACCCAACAAAGGAATCATGCAGCCTTGTTTTTCTGCAATATTGGACAACCCAAATGTGATTCAAAAGACACACACACACACACACACATAGTGCACTCATGCCCAATTATTTCTTTTCCTTTCTTTTCTTTCCTTTCCTTTCCCCTCTACCAAAGTATCAAACCAACCCCTCTTTTACCTTTTCATTTCACTAATGTTTGTCAAAAAAATATGATGCTTATCTCAACCCGAGGAAAAAAAAAAAAAAAAAAAAAAAAACATTGGTGATGTTATGTTAAGAATATTTCAAAAAGTTTTATACTAAGAATAATTCAATAAAGTGACTCAGCATAGGACAGCACTATGAGAGCATGTTGAGGGTCCCATTCACCTCAGCTTCTCCATTTACTTGTCGGCCACTTGTCGCGTCCCCACCACTTTTGCCACCAAGTAACGACAAATGTCACCGCTAATTGACACGTGGGAAATTACTATTGGTTTTCAGTTTAGATATATTTCTGCACATGTAGTTATTTGTTTGGACTAGTTTCATTCTTGTGTACCAACACAGAGAGACAAAGGGTCCTCTAGCAAAGTAATTAGTGTAATTGGTGTTAAATGTAATTTACCCAAAATAAAATAAAATAAAATATGAAAAAATTGAGTTCTTAAGATATATAATTCCCAGTAATTAATTAAAAAAACAAATTAATTAAATTTGGGTTTTGATAACATATATTATTTATCTTGCTGCAACATTTTGTAAACATAGATCAAGTGGTGTGGATTGTGGTGATGTGGAGATGTGATTTTTTTTACTTTATCTTACTTTGTGTTCATAAAGTTTGGCAAGTACATGGTTGGCAGTATAAAATTTTTAGCTTTTTAACCACCAGACTGAATTTGCTCATTGGAGGAGGAGAGCAATTGTCTAAAGTGGAAAAGGAGGAATGAAGTGTGTGTGTGTGTATATTTCTTCTGTTCTGTTTTTCATTGGTAGGTATGAATTTATTTTATTAATATAGAATTAATTATGCTTTTTTTAGGCATAGAATGCTCCACATATCAGGAAAATTTAGTTGCAAACTATGTAATAGATTGAATAGATGTGAAATTAGAAAATAGCTTTGGACAACATTAATTAATTTAGTTTGCTTTTGCTTATCAAAAAATAATTTAGTTTGCTTTTGCCTTCCCAGAAAAAGTGTGTGGGATTTGGGAAAAGCAAAAGTGTGAAGAGGTTTGGAAACAAAAAGGAAACTATGAGTTCGAAACTTTGACAAAAATGAGTAGAAAAAATATTTAAAGTTGCACAAGAAGCTAAAAAGAAGCATTTATCAATATAGTAAAAATATATATATATTAAATCAAGTATTTCATAACATTATCTTGACACTTTTATAGGCAGAGTTTTTTTCAATGTTATCTTGATTCTCAGATGAAGATTCTATTGTCATTTTCAGGTAATCCTAGAAGAAACGGGTCATGAAATTTGAGCCTAGAATTTTCTCCTCAAGGCAAGAAATGTTAAATGTTAAATTAGTAAATGCAGAGAATCGAAATCTGACACTCCAAGATCAACGAGAAGTACTAATTCATTCGGATATCGAGGCAAATGTTTCTCCTCTTCTAATACCATGTTAATAATTCATCTATTACAAAAGTTCAGATAATTAAAGATGATATAACATAAGTAATTATATCGTCTAACTTTGTGCACTTTAAATTCATCTCTTAAATGTGACTAAGCAAAATTATTTACAAAACATTTCTTTAGGATTTTCAAATTTTGAGAATTGATTTTTCTTTTCCTTTGTTTTCTTGAAAGTTCAAGCAAATACACACTCTCTCACAATATTAGTCATAACAAGGTTGCAACACTACTATACTTCACATATATACTTTACATATATATATATATATATTATGTTATATTGTTATTACCCATTTTGATTATGTGAACATTTCTCCATGCCAATATGACATCAAAATTTACCCTTTTTCCTCTTGTCACTATCAATTATGATCCAAACAGAGAAAGAAAGCCCCTAAAAGCACAAGCAGAAGATGTCATATATATTGGTTGTGTGTTTATTATTATACATGTAATCTTAGAAGATAATGATCACTTCTACATCAAGTGTCAATGAATTATTTTCTAAGGAATATGATTGGGAAAAAAAAAAAAAAAGACGATAATAAAAGTATGATATATATCTACTAGACTAGTCTAATACATGATTAGATATTGACTAAGCTACAAACAGATTCCTAGGCATACAAAGATGTGATTGGAGCTCTTATATTCTCATTAGTTTGGAAGCATACCTAACATCTACAAATCATAAATTCAACTATAGCCTACATTATCTAATTTTTCACTGTGTGGACCATGTAGCCCTTTTGTGGCAAAGAAGATAAAAGGAGGATATAGTCATTTACTTTCTTCGTTTTGGGATTTGTAGTGGAATTTATGTGATTGCAAATTTTAAGGGTAATGGGACAAGGGGATAATACAAGAAGACATAGAAAATGGTTAAATTTTTCCATATTTTACTGCTAATGAGGAAATATTTTAAGGTAGTGAATTGGAAATTATGTATTGTGGAAACATGTCGTCTTAAATATTGGAGAAAATTATGTATATTAGTCCTACTAAAATATTTTACACGATCCGAGTGTTTTCCTTTCAAGGTTGCAGCACATGTTATTCACAATTCTTTTGTTGATGCGAACACTGAGAATCTCCATGTTATGTTAAAGGTTCTAGCTTATTGTACTTCTGAATTTATCCATTTTTGCTAAGGGATAAATAAATAAAAAAATTCCACAAAAATATATATATATATATATATATATATATATATATATATATATGATATTTGGTTAGTTGGAAATATCACTTGTTAGATCTTTTTTTGGTCGTGGTAAAGAACTCCCACAATACTTTAGAAGACTCGAATCGTCTTACTTTTATTTTAAAAGGAGAAGAGATACCATTAAACTACAAGTCTTGATGGTTAATATTCCACCAGGGGAAGAAAATATAGCATTTAACTATATTACCACATTCAAATATATGATTATATTTTTTGGAAGAGCTCAAAGTAAAGCAACCACCTTCATATTTACAAAATAAGAATATTATCTAGCTAATTTTAAGATCTTGCTCTCTTAATAATATTTTGATCATTTTGTTGAAAAACTTCCTAGCCTAAAATTGCTCTTGAATATTCAAAATTAATGGGAAAAATGACTAATTTATGTTGGAATAGTGATAAAAGAAAATTACATAAATATTTAAAATTAAAGGTTCTTGCATGCCTTTGATGATGTGACTAATTTATGTTGGGATAGTGATAAAAGAAAATTGTATAAATATTTAAAATTAAAGGTTCTTGCATGCCTTTGATGATGTGTATGCATGATTAATTCCATATGAATCTTTTTTTATTATAAATAAATACAATTTTTTTAAAGAAAAAAAAATATATATATATATATATAAGATATATATATATATATATATTAATGTGCATGTTGGAGGAGAAGAGAAATGGTTTATCCTAAAAATTGATATAGGGAACTTTTAGGGGATTAAACCTTTTCTAGGACAAGCCCGTTCCACACTCTCATAATTCTGCAACCCAAAAAGCAAATGGACCTTATCTTTTGATATCATCATCTTTTTAGAAGACACAAACAACCCCCATGAGTTTTTCCAAAAAAAGGGCAATACCCAAAAGACAAGAAATGCAAAAAGGACAAATGGGAATAATAAAAGAAAAGTAGATCAAACACATTCAATGGGGTATATATGCCAGCAAAAGAGGTAGATGGTGTTCTTCATGAGTTTCAATCAAAAACTTGATAACACATACAACCCCATATATCTATCTCTCTCTCTCTCTCTCTCTCTCTCTCTCTCTATATATATATATATATAGATTTGTACTACCCAAGTCTTACCATAAAAAGACCTTGTAACTGTAAATTCAAATTCCATACTTAGCACATACCATTTATTACTAATCAACAAAACAGTTTACAACTTGTTTGTTGTATTAAGCAGCCCAATATCTCCATCACCCACAAGGTGGAGAGTCTCAAATCAACTCCTCCGAAATGAAGCAGCCATCTAAATCAGAGGCATGTGATCTTTCTGAAAGTTCAAGCATCATCTCAGTCCCTGAGCCTTCACAATGCTTGAACACCTCAATGGACAACAACATCCAAAGACAACAAGAAGCTCAAAATCATCATCAACAACATCTTGTATTGGATCTAAGCCTCTCCAACAACGATTTCGATCAAGCCTCCAACCCCGAACTCAACCTCATCGATTGTTTCAACATGGATTCTTCATCTAAGTCATTAGTGGATGACCTGCAGCATCATCAAGGCAATGAAACCGAGCCACGAGTGTTCTCATGCAACTACTGCCAGAGGAAATTTTACAGCTCACAAGCGCTCGGAGGCCACCAGAATGCACATAAGAGAGAGCGGACAATCGCCAAGCGTGGACAGAGAGCTGGTGCAGCCTCCGCCGCCACCGCCTTTGCCCACGACTCGTTCCCGCCGCGATACACCAGCATGGCTGCTCTGCCTCTGCATGGCTCTTTCAGTACTAGTCCTCTTGGCATTCAGGTCCACTCTTTGATCCATAAGAGATCATCATCTTACTTACCACTAGCAACCACTACTTTAAGTTCATCACATGCGTATGGACATCATGGGTGGTCTAGGAAGCCTATAGATCAGCAGCCGGCCATCGGCCGGCTTGCGCCGGTGAATTATGACGTCAGCACAACTACTGTAGGGTCGTCGTCGTCAGGTGGCGGTGCCGCCAAATTTGGCAGTGTTCGGAAGTTTTCTCCGGTGGGTGATGGCTTTGGAGGATACCGGTGGGACACTAGCAGTGTGTTGAAGACTAATCAAGATGATCAGTTGCAACAGCTAGACTTGTCCCTCAAACTCTAAGTAGTTCAATCATTTTATTTTTCGCCACAATTTCATCTGTTTTGTTCAGAGTAATTTTTTTTTCTTCTTTTTAGCTATTTTTATCAGGACTTGGTGTACATGTTTTCATTTTGGCTACAGAGAACTTCAGTGACTTATGTTTCTGGTATTCCTTACCTTAGAAATAATCAAATTCTATATTTGTTTGCTTCGAATTTTTCTTTAAATCGAAAGGAAATTGTAGTCCAGACTCGGTACTAAAAAAATAAAATCAAAGGGCTTCTAATTCAATGATATGATCTCTCATTTTTCAAAAGGATGATTAAAAGTTCGAGTCTCATTCGGGTCCACTTTAAGAATCAAATGGTTAAGAATGTATCACCTTACAATTTGGTGAGTTTGGTCAATAAACACATAATAACTCCAAGTCTGAAATCAAATTCAATCTTAAAGCACTATTGTGCATGAAAAAAATTCAAATTATTGGAGTTTAAAACCCATACGAAATCAAATTTGAATAGAGAGAGAGAGAGAGAGAGATTGGTGTGTGACTGTAGTCACTCATCAGTCCCTATAATCTGAGATTAGTGGTTAATTAATCATATGAAGTAACACGGGATTAACTATCTGGATGGTTTTGATTCAATCTGTGACCCCACTTGCAGTTGAAGAAATAGACCATCTAATGAAAGGTCTTGATCAATAGGTAGGTGGAGCCATGTGGGAAAGTAAGGTGTATATAATGACCCTCAAGCTATGCTATCTACATCATTTTCTCCATATTAAAAGTGGGTAAATCTTGATTGTATTCATTTCTTACCTAAGAGATCTTCACTGTAGGACCCACATAATTAGGATTTTTTTTCCAGATTAGCCTGAGCCTGATGATGTACACCACTAATGATATTAAAATCCTTAATCATTCCAAGTATCAAAAGGTAATGAAACTGAAATACTGTCATAATGAAACTTAATAACCATTGCAAAATAAAAAATCTCTATCTCACTTCATAAAGTGCTGTGGCTAAGATAAGAGTGGCAAGAGTGAAAACTTTAATGGTGTGTTTGGCAGGAAGAAGAGAAGACAAAAATGGGGAACTTCTAAAATCACTCTATCTTCTCAACTAACCAAAGAAAAACTATATATATATATATATATAACTGAAATACTGCCATAATGAAACTTAATAAACATTGCAAAAATCTGTCACCTCATAAAGTGGGTTGTGGTAAGATAGGGTGGCAAGAGTGAAACTTTAATGTTGTGTTTGGCAGGAAGAAGTCAGTTTTATATATATATATATATATATATAGATCCTTCTCTTCTTATCATACAATCTTCATATGATCTCATGTGAGTCAAATGGAAGAGATAAAAAAGCATAACTGAGCATCAGATGAAGCAGTACCTGTACAAGTTTTCCTATCATAATCACAATAAAACATATTTAAACATTTAAATACAAAACTTTTGAATTTGCCTCACACTTAAGAAACACTAAACCATACAATAGTTAGAAGTGGAGCTATCATTTTGCTGAGGTGAAAAACTGAAAAAATCAAAAGGAGGAGGGGTCTTCTTTGGGAAGATTTTTTTAATTAAGAAGAGATAATACTTTGTCTGCAAGCATTTAAAATGGAGTTAGAATCATTTCAAATTTTCAATTTGGAATACTGAGTAAGCATAATTGTCCCACTTCCATGGAGAAGACACAAACCAATCAAATCCATTACCATCCATCCTACATTATTAGAGATATGCAATAACGACAACAGGCGCGCTCGTGCGCGAACATGCATATATGTGTGTGTTTGTGTGTCATGGATTTGATGTTGCAGGGTTGGTAGCTTGCTACCCAGTACCCACCTTAACAATAATACAAAGAGCAGGGGAAATATGTTTACATATGTTTGTACTTTTGCACATCTCCCGTATCTATAATGTTTATGCATGACAAGCACACACACACACACACACACACACATATATACATATTCACATGTGTGTGTTTGTGTATGATCATTACTGTTGGAGTTTCCTGTTTAGTAGGACAATATATAGAATTAAGGTATGACAATATGTTTAAATAGCACAAAGCCACTGTCAAACACAGGTGTGCAACCACCAGCATGGACCACAAAGTTCCTTTTGTGGGCAAGCATGGTTGTTCTAGGTTTCTCTGTATGTTTTACTCAATAATAGCGAATTCAAGAGCCTGAACTATATATCTTAACCAACCTAGTACCCTAGCTATGCTATTCCCCAGTAACACATCTCATAAATTTTCGATTCAACTAATGAGAGAGACTGACAAATCTATCTATCTAACAAGAAAATATGCATATTTATTCCTTTTTTGACAAATACTAGTATAATACTAACCACGTTAAAAAAGAAAAATACAACCCCTGTACAAACGGTATAAAAAGAACATAAATACAAACAAAATTGAACATTTAAATATAAAAATCCTTGGATTTTGCCTCTCACTTAAGAAACACTACAACTTAGAAGTGGAGCTATCACATTACTGAGCAGCTGAGGAAAGGAGGTGTCTTCTTTAGTAAGATCTTTTAATTAAAGAAATTAATTGTTTGTCCCCAAGCAACATTTAAAACTAGAGTTGGAATCATTTCAACAATTTATAAATTAATTATATCCATTTCCATGGGAGGAAGGAAAGGACAAACTAATCAAATCCATTACCATCCATCATCCATTATGAGAAGTGAAATTAACAGTCAACTACACACATGCATGACATCCATGTGTGTGAGTGCGTGGTTGGTGACTTGGTACCCACCTGAGAAAAATAATAGACAGAGCAGAGGAAATGTGTTTGTTCTCATGTTTGTGTGTTTGCACATATCCATATTAATTACTAGAAGGTGGGTCATTATTGTTGTTGGAGTTTCATTATTTCTAGGACAATAGACTATAGGTGTGACAATGGTGGTTGGCAAATAGCTACTGTAAGTCTAGTACTACTTTTCTCATCCTCAACACCTAGAGGCAAAGTGAGTGTGTGAGTTTCTTGCCAAACTAAAAATATAAAAATAAAATAGCTACTGTAAATTGTGCAATGACCATTGTCGAGGGTAAACTAGTTTCACCAAAGCACGGACTGCAAAAGATAGGGGAAACATAGTACTAAGCTCCTCCCATGGCAACAATCAATTATAGCCTTTAAGAGACTGAACTATTCATCTTAAGTTCTTCACTAACCAAGTATTCAAATCACTCACCAATAACACGAGTGATTCTAGGGGCACTCTCTCCTGTACTAAGTCTTTGGGTTGAGAGACCGAGCGAGCTCACTGCGAGAGTGCCCTTTTTGTAGCTTTTTCCTACCACAAAAGAACTTCATATCAATGGTCCTCATAACTCTGAGGGGAAGGGCTGATCCAACTAACAAGAAAATGAGACACCCACACACACATTATTAGATAACCAAATAAAAGTACAATATTGAACAGAAGCAAAAGGGACAACCCACCCATACACAACATAAATACAACGTAAGTACAGAACCAAATACACATTTAATGCCAAATCATACTACAGATAAACTGCATTTAAATGGCATAAAAGAGAGAGTAAGGAAGAGCTAAACAAAATCAAAATTGGGCAGTCTCATCCAATCTAAAACTTTTGAGATGAATAATGTAAAAGTTAGCAATATTCTTCAGTAACTCAAGTTAAATTGATATCAGGTTTTAAAGGAATTAGCATTAAAAAAAAAAATGCAAATTAGAAGCATAGTTTCCACTGCTTGTATAATAAAACACACAATATAGTTGCTTTTAGTCCATGCATGATGTTCCTAAGGAATGTGTCACATTTCATATGAATCAATCCAACACATAGCATCTTAAATGTGGACTACAGTATTCTTGTGCCTGGAACACCCTGATAAAAACCTAGCAGAACATGTAGGAAGTAGTAACCATGTGTAAAACACTTCCCTTAATGCAGTGAAGAAGTTGAAGTTGATCAATCTTTAGGTTGCACATATCAAATGTTAGAGCGCTCATTCTGTTTTCCTAAAACTAGTTTATACTTTCTACAAAATTCTCTCTCTCAACTACTTCCAAAATACTTGTATGGAACAAATAACAATCCCTTTTCCCCATTTTTCCAAATTTATTTCTGCTTGAGACAAGCAGCCCTAGCACAAGAAAATTCAAGACCCAAAAGCTGGCAAAATCTAACCCTGACCTGCCAACTTGCCAAAATAAAAAAGTTAAGGTTGGCTGTTTTGCTAAAGCAGGGTGATTTCAGGTATGATCTATTTATGTTCCAAAGACTGCCAAGTAAAAACCAAACTTGACCTCCAGTTAATTGGTCAGGATTGAGTTTCCATTTACCCAGCCCAACCCAGCCTGGCAGCCATGAAATCCCACCAAATTTCTTAATCTAAATCAGATTTGAGGTTTGACTAATTTGTCATCCTCAACTCTAATGACGGAATTCAGAATCCTTAACCCATGTTTGATTCATTTAAACCATTACCATAGATATACAGCACCACGCGTATGTAATAGTGGGAGCTTGATGTTCACTATCCAAGAGAAGCACCATTGACCTACAGTTGGGGAGGGGGGGGGGGGGGGGGGGGGGGACCAATTCTTCACTTAATGGGAAACCAAAGCCTCTTTGCACATTACGCCAAGCAGAAAAACCTTGATGAAAATATCAACTATGACCTATAAATGCATCAACATTAGAATACAAACCTCGTTGACTCGATCTCTATTAGGCTTCATCCACTAAGCATAAACTCATTTTCAATTAACCATGTTAAAATCACACTTAAAATACCAAAAGGTATTTCATAAAAAATCAATTGTACTAAGCATCAATTGAGAACTACGTTTCGACATTCCACAAAAACACCTCATATTCAGTTCCATTTTTCTCTTCCTGCATGAAATGTATTTGCTAGAAATACTTCTACAACATAACGGCCTCAATTTCGACTAATACCTGATGTCTTGCATCCCTGATCTACAACCCCTTTTGATATCACAGGGAATCACGGGCATTTCTTCAATGATCATAAACATGCAATCACACCAACTTACTGATGGAGGAAATTTCAACCAAATGCCAGTGTCTAAAAAAGTCCTCTATAAAGCACTCTCCTAACACAGTCCACCAAATTCCACCTCCACCACCAAGTCCACCAAATTCCACCTCCACCACCAAGTCCACCAAATTCCACCTCCACCACCATACCCACCCCCCGCACATGGGGGGTGGTAGGTTGGGTCCCTTTATCAGAAATTTTGCTACACAGCATTGAAGCATATAGATCAAGCAGAGCAAAAATTACGACAAAAGGGATGTCATTGCAAAAAAATGATTGAACTAACAAAATTATAAACAGGGTGCTGATTTTTGTAACTAGCAATTGCCAAGAAAAACAGCCTCCTCATTTTGACTCTATTCCATAGTTTACATGCATTTATATGTTTCGTTACTTTCGTATGCCTTAAATATCTAAATTTGATAGGCAAATGATAAAGGAGGCCCATTTGCTAAGTAGATTCTCACTTATTGATCAGGTGAAGACATGGTGGCTATGGTTATTCTAATGTTGTTGTTCTCTACTCTCTTTTTTTGTACTTTTTGAGTGTAAATGAAATTTCTTTTTGACCACCTCAAAGAAAAACTAAAAACTTAATGTGGGTTAATATTCTCATCTTTGCTTTTTATTTATTCATTTGGAATGCGAAGCAGTTTCTCTCAAGCCATGCGATCTACAGGCAAGGACAGAGCTCGTACTTGCCAAGTACTCTTTAAAAAAGGCTCCAGAACCTCAGACAGCTAGAAGCAATTCTAGTGGCATCAGCAAAACACATGTATTTCAGCATTCGTTTATTTATTTAACATAATTTGTCGAGAATAAATATCAAAAAAAAAAAAAAAAAAAATTAAGGTTAATACCTGCAGTTTAATTGGGAAACTTCAAAACTATGAACTGCGAAGAATTTCAAGTGATATCAATTAGATTAACAGAGGCTGAAGAGATTATATTTCATGACTTCCTAACTAGAAGGAAGGGGGGGGGGGGGGGTGGGGGGTATTCTTTATCATGAAAAAGAACAAAGAAAAAGAAAAAAGAAGGTAGTAGGACTTACAAGCCAAAGTTTAATATTTCCATTAATCATTGAATGTGCAGACCAAAAAACTGATCTCAGAACAAAACCACTATTTCTTGATGAAGAAACTTGACATTTCCCATCCATCAATAGATCTCTACCTCCTTTTTCTTGCAAGAAAGAGCAAGTTCTGATGAAGGGTAGAGCTATATATATGACATATGCTAACAGTTTAAGTTTAATCCTTACTCGCATTTTAATCCCAGCAGCCACAATTCTAAGTTTGTTGCATTAATTATGAAAGGAAAAAAAATGTACTGCGTACAGTCTGCTTAAAAGTGTCAAGAACAAATATAGATAATATTTCACAATACATGAAATTGAAAACTATGAACTTGAAAATTTTTAGTAATTTAAACTGTTTTCTAGAATACAGAAAATCAGCCCAGTGTCATGCTCTCATTAACTTGATAATAGTTTTGACTCCTCCGCTACAAAGTGAATAATTATTAACAAGGCGAGCTATTCATTAATAAATGCAAATAAGATTCAACAAAAGACAAAGCACTATAGAATCAATCCCTCTATTTCTTTTCTATGAAAGACTTGACAGTTCCCATCCACCGAATAAATTCGGTTTTATCTTTGTTCTTCATATATTCATGCAAGAAAGTACAAAGTTCATCATTTATACCCCTTGTTTCCAAAAATTCGTAAAGCGAATCCTGCAGTTCGTCATCCAGCCCCCTGAAAATGACAAATGATATATCAAACAAAATTAGCAGCAAAATCATGTAATCAAACCAAAGCACCTATAGTTCTCTTTTTAGCTGCAGAGAAAACAGAGGGAAAGAAGAGAAAATCTTAAATCTTCCCAATTGTTATTAAAGGAACAACAGGCCAAATATTAAATCACATTCAGTTTGAAGGTTTTTAACGTGGTCCCTAGATGATAAAAAATACCTAGGGTGTAGTTAAATTTCTATACATATCATCCTACGGAATGCCTTGGTTCATCATATCTCCCTAAAACTTCAAAACAGAAATACTGGTGTAACGCTTCCAGTTTCAAAATTGGGTACTTCATTCTAGAGTAAGTTTCTGAGAACAAATACTGTATGTAAAGCATTTAAATTTAGTGATACATTTAAGATTTCTTTTCAACTCAAATTATCAGCAACCAAATGGAGCAAAGAAAATCAAATAACATTCCATACGTGAATGCAGGACCCATGTAAGGTTGACCCGGCATCCTTTCATGACCACGCAAGAAAACTTTCTGAATCTCTATGCTATCCGGCCACGCCGAGCAGACAAACTCCAAAACCTGACTGCTTTCTCCCTTAAAAATATCAACAATCAATGTAATGTGAAGTTCCACGTCTTCATCAATGGGAACAACATCACGTTTTTTGTCAGGAAGAGACCCATCAAACATAGTCACTTCAACTTTAATCTGTTCGTTTTCCCCAAATTTCCTATTTAATCTTATCCACTGCTCCCCAGGCCGTTCTTCAAGTGTGAATAAATTGATCTCTGGAACAGCCTGCAAAATAAGAGCATAATGTAATCAGCATGCGAAGAATCACTAATGCACCATGTTTTCTGAATGTTTTTACAGAACATGTATTACTTAAATAACCATGTTGCTGAGACATATAGAAATAAAATTTCTTGTAACAAGCTAAATAGATATGATAATAAACATATATGCGCATGTAGGTGTTGTTTGATAAAACTAAAAAAATTTGGGCAAATTGCAACAAAAAAATAATAATAATAATACCTGAACTAGGTTTAAACACCCTCTAGTACTAAATCAGCAAAAATCCCCCAAAACGTTACACAAAAAAGTTGCATATTCCCCCTCGTCGTCCATTGTCCGTTAGTAAAGGAACGAAAATGTTATCATGTGATGTGCATGTGACAAACATGAACTATTGAACTACCATTTTATTCTTATTACGGGTAAATTTGCCCTTGGATAAAAGAGAACCTTTAAACTTGTATTTAGATCCAATTATGTTAACAAAACTTCAAAATGGATACAAATTATCCAAAGCCAACATTGCTGTGATTCACACGAAAAAAAAAAAAAACCTGAAGTTCAGAAGTTAGGTATAGAAATTTCTTACACAATCAAAACAAAGCCCCAATTCAATATGATCCTAACTACAGAAGCGAAGCCCCATTTGAAAATGACTGTATTATCAAAATGAAGCAACAAAACCTATTATTTCTTTGACGCAAAGCACGTTGGCATACTAATGTTGTATTTGTTTAGAGTGAGTTTGTTTAGAAGGTGGTGACTGTTTGATCATCAAGTTGATTAGAGAGAGAGAGAGAGAGAGAGGAGGAGGCAGATATTCCCACTTGAGTCAAATTGGTCTTCATGTGATACCCAATCTTGTCCATGCTTTTTTTTTTCTATTAGAGTCAAATTGATGTTTATGTGATAACAGATATTGTTCCATTCTCTTCGTTCGATAACTTCAACACTCATCAATAATCCACAACATCAACCAGTTTATTTAAAATTATTCTAATCTTCCTTCTCCAAAAATACTCAATATTTACCTAGGATTCCTTCTCTGTGAGTCTTGAGAGTTATGAGAGGGGTGACAGAGTTGTGAAAGTTAGAGAGCTTAATGTTGGCTAACAAGACCAGCCATCTGACTAACTTGCACTACGCGGTCTTTTATCATTTCAACTTATCTCTCTTTTTCTTTGACTTGTATAGTTATTACAAATTTAAGGGCAAATCAGTAATATACTTACCCAAGTAAAGAGTAGAAAATAGAATGTCCTAAACTGCCAGCTTTTTATAGCTCAGGGATTTTTTTTGCAAAAATAAATAAAAATAAAAATAAAAATAATTGATTATTCAAAGGGGTTTTTGTAATATACTTTAAGAGTTGATTCTAAGTGCTAATTGGAAATTGAGAACTTTGATATTTGTTTGAAATTTTTTTTTTTTTTTTTTTTTGATAAGTAATATTTGTTTGAATTCTAAGTGTTCAGTGTTCAGTGTTCAGTGAAGTCCCCCTCACTTAAAAAATTTACCACATTTCAACTACAACCTATTAGTTGATATCCAAACTGCATTATCAAGTAACTTAATTGACTGAATTTACTCGGAATTGAGTATTGAAGTGAGTTATCAAACAACATTAGTTTTCTGAATGAAGTCCATAATCCTCTATTTGTAGAGTTTGTCTGTGTATGTGTATGTGTTCTCGTGTGTGTTCATTGATGTAGTGAATCCTCTTCTATTTGGATGCTGAAGAAACAGAGGAAGCAAAAGAAACAATGGGTCATCTGGATCTTTCTTTGGTTGCAAAGAAACTAACCAGAATAAAAAATAAAAAATAGACCTTTTAAGTTTCATTCATACATCTACTCCTCTTTCCAAAGTAAAGTTCAACCTCGACTAATACAATTACGAAATAACTAGCTGGGTTAACTCAGCTAATCAGAGATTTTTGTTTTAACTCAGTTTAACTCACTATAAACACTATGTCATCATCATTAATCACCCTTGGCCTTTTTTACCCCAAACGAATGACTCTAAACTCTATGTAAAATGAATGATTCCGAACTCTATGTGAAATCATTTTTTCTAATGGAGGACATGGGCATTTTCTTTCCCAGTTTCCATATAAACAAACAAATTGAAAGAGAGAGAAACATCGGTACCGGTTTGGGAGGAGAGCGCTCGAGCTCATACTGGATCTCATTGCGGAGGAGTCTGAGAATGTTGCCTTCGAAGGCCGATTTTCGCATATCCGAGACGTAATTTCTAGGTTTTAGTGAGAAATAGGGTTGTAGAAATGCTAGGGTTTTGGTGTAAGGAGAGAGAAGGGTCCTCCGCAAGGGACGAAGCAGACGATGAGCCATGAATGAATGAAGGGTGGGTTCGAGAGAGAGAGAAAGAGAGAGAGAGAGAGCGCTTTTAGGGTTTAAGGGTTTTGGCCTTTTTCGCTTTGGGTTTGGGAGCTTTTGGACAAACTCCCCACTCTTGTCCTGTTTTAACATTTCATTGTGCAGTAACTAATCTACTTCGTCTGTTATTATTATTATTATTATTATTATTATTATTGTTGCAAAGCAAAATTATTTAAAATAAGGTAAAGTACATTGACACTCCTGAGGTTTGGAGAAAGAACAAGTAGAGGAAAGTTAGCATGTTTTTGAACAATGACACCCCTTCAAGTTTGAAAAATGGACACAGAGACCCTGAAGATGGTGAATTGACCTTATTACCCTTTCAAATCAAATTAACATTTTAATTGACTTAAATACCCTTTGATTAAACCCAAACCCGAAACCAAACCCGAACCCGCCTGCGTATATTATACAGTGGAGAGAGAAGGGAGATCAGATGGATGGTGGTTGTGGCCGCGGTGGTGGGTGTAGAGAGAGGGGGAAGAGAGGGGCGGCCATAGTTGAAGAGATAAGCTGAAGAGGAGAGAGAGGAAGAAGCATCGGCAATGACTGCAACAATGGGGGTGGCGGCAATGACTGTGACAGTGGCGGCGAAACCCAGAAGCATCGGCGAAACCCTGAAATTGCCGGCGAGGACCAAGCTCCGATGACGATGCGGCCACGGACTGAATAGTGTGGCGAAGTTTAGAAACCGAGCAACAAGAGATCGACGAGCAAAAACAATCCGGCGAGGACCAAGCTCCGATGACGACAAGGTTCAGATAAGCACAGTCCGGCGACCGTCACCTGCAAGGCCGAGGAGGCTGAAGTGGCTATCGCTTCTGCCGTCCGTTTTGAGTCCAATTTCTCCATATGGAATACATGCAATAGCCCCCTCAGATGCTAAGGTTTTGCATGCGTGTTTGGCTGTTCTGTTAGTCTGATAACTCTAAGACTGGGGAGGCTCAAATGGATGGGTTAACCACATTAACGGTGCCCCCTTTTTCACTTCCGGCAACCCGAGGTCAGTTTCAAAGTCCCTTTTATGAATAAACCAACAATCTGTATATGTTTATATATATATATATATATATATATATATATATATTTGTGTATTGTCAGGTGTTGAAATTGTCTTTCCTTCTAGGGTTTTTGTTTAGTTTTTAAATTTTGTTTGATTCTGAAATTTTCAACACTCTCCTACTTTCAAAATTGGCGATTTCTACAGTTGAAAGATTTGAACTGTGATTTCTGAAGTTAACAACTGCGTGTTTTTCGCTGTGTCTTCTAAACCCACATGGTTGGACTGTTGAATTTCAAGGCTTTTGAAGGTTTTTGAAGGGCGGCCAGAATTGCGACTTTGTTAGCTGTGGGGTTAACGTACCTTACCTTAGATGATTTTGTGAGTTTGGGTCTAGGTCCAAGTTCTGGTATGTACAGATTTATGTGTTTATATATGTATAGATTAGATGATTTTTGCATTTTCTTCTATATGCTTTATACGAATCGGTGAGGCTTGTTTAATGAATGCATACAATCTTTATAGGTCGAGGAGGTGGCAGTGGCAGAGCTCCTTTTTGGCGTCTTCTTTAATGGGTGGTGATTATGGAGGTTGGGGGTTGGTGGAGATTGGGGGCGGTGGTGACTGGTTGTTGGTGTGTGTGTGTGTGTGTGTGTGTATAAGTATATATGAAAAGGGTATTTTGGCCATTTAAGTTTTAAATATTTTATAATTAAAATTAATAAAATAGTGAAGGGTAAAATGGACTTTTCACTTGATTTAAGGCTCTGTTTGGAGGGCAAATTTCACAAGGGGGTGTGTTTGTCCAAAAACAAGCCAACTTTCATCTGTCTGTCCTTTCCTCAAACCTCAAGGGGTCTCTTTGTACTTTACCCTTTAAAATAATATCCATGGAAATGGGATCTTTGTCGAAATATTTACTAGTATAAGATTAGTGACTATGGGAAATGGTGGCTTGATTGAAAATTTCAATAGATTATAGTGGAAAATTGGTAATTTCCCAACTTTCCTCTTACACTAAAAACTGACTTACTTATATCACAACTTTCCTCTTATCAACATCCCAACTTTCCGAGAGTAGATGGTTGCTGGGTCGCGGGAGTTGGGTTTGTTTGTGTGGATCTGATGCATCTGCGTCTTTTGTCAATGTCCGCCTTCTCTGGTGCCTGCGCTGGTGTGTTTGGTCCTCTCTCCGGTAGTAGTCCAGTGGGTTCACCACTCACGTCAAGCGATCTTTATCTAACAATGGTTTTTTTTTTTTTTTTTTCCTTTTGTCGTGGCGATTTTCCTTCTTTAGCTAACACATTTTCTTTAGATTGTCAAGACTATTAATCTTGACTAAGAAGTGTTAGTTAATTTTGGGATGGTTTTGTGCATGGAGTTTACTGTATTTTTGATCCTTTGTCTCTATACGATGTTCTTGTTATAGATGTCGTATGACGTATGGCTTGTTTTTTGCCAAGTTAAAAAAAAAAAAAAAAGTCTTCATTAATTTCAATTACACACAAATATACAATTGATTTTGATGGGTTACATATTCAATAATTTGATTTCTCAGAGATTGAAATGATGGAACGGTGGATGCTTCAAGTTGAGTCATAAACAACATTTTTAAATATGTTGATATGATCTTCACTAATATTCATTAAAATGTTGATATGTTTCGATTTAAAATGATATTTGTTAAAGATAAATTAAATTTATGGCAAGTCTCTTCCAATAGATATATATTATTGTCTGACCTCCAACTGTAGAGGGATATATAACATATAATACCTATCATCGGGAGGGAAACAATAGCTAAAAATAACTGCTAATGCTCCTTTAAAACAAAAACATTTGTAATTATTTAACAAATTATAAAGGTTTTTTTTTATTACTATTATTACATACCAAATTATAAAGTAACAAGAGACAAATGCAGACTATCAAATTTCTAATGAGCAAAATGCAATTAGAGTAGTGTTGATAGGGATTTGGAAGATAAAATTTTAAGATCTTGCTTTCAAATTGCACTTTTAATTTAAATATTATGTGTATTGTTGCGTGTGTTATGGGATTGATACAAATATTTTAAGAAAAAATATATATACATTACAATTAGGGTGTGTCCAACAATTCGACAACTTCAACTATTTTATTGTAAATGAAAACTCACATGAGCCCTATCATTATTTCCATCCTCACTCAATAGAGTATAATAGATTTGAATAAGACTTTTTTTTGTTTTGGAATTTTAAACAAATATATAAATAAGAAAAAAGATAATTACAATGGTGGGCCTTTTGGCCAGATACAACCCAAAATGGTAACAAGCCTAAATGGAGGCCCAACTGGGGAGGATCCATGACCAACTTTCTAATCTAATAATAGCAATTAACGATCCGTCAATAGAGGTTATTAGAGGATGATCCAGTTAGAACCCTAGTGGAGGACACCAGCAATACTCAGTCCAGTGGTCTTGGTGGAGGACAACAACAATAGGAAGGGAGATTCCAGTCGAAGAGAATTTGTCTTGAAGAGGGCAGTCACGAAGGAATCCCAATTTGAGAATAGCAATGATGGTGGAGGTGATTCTTGAGAGAACCATTCTTTGGGTAGAAGATTTCCCTTTAAAGATTCGATCATTTCGTTCTTCTCAGGTGTGGTAGACCATTGATGAGAATCATAATTTGCGAATGAGGTTTGCTGGAGAATTTCGCTTCCAGTGAACAGATAGCAGGTGAATCAAGTCATCCCAATTTGTAATCGCAGTGAAGAATTGGCATTTGATAAAATTGAACAATGTTATGTCTGACCCATGAAGACCATAAAATTGAACAATGTTAAATTGCTAGCTTTTTATGGGGCTGGAGACTATAACATTTGGCTGGATAAGAATGAGGTTAGTGTGTTTAATTCTACCGTAGGAAGACTTGACAAAGAATCAAAAGGTAAGTACTTAAGATTTCGTACTTAAGATTTCGTTTTCGAACCGTACTTCTGACTTGAATGATACGTGTGTTATAATTTAAGAAAAATAAATAAATAAATGTGTTTACTTCTCACTGTATTACTGTGGCCCCACTCATAAATGAGCTTAATTTTATAATGCTGGTCCAGTTGACGTCTGCTCTATTAAAATATTTGTTATATTAAAGTCCAATTTAATCAATATTTTAACACCACAATGTCAAAAGAATACCATAACCAACCATTTAATTGATTCCACGGAGCCAAACAAGTTTGGTTGGGTCATTCTTAACCATTTGTTACACATTCTGTGATCCGTCATAAATAATTATCTAGACCCATGGTATATGGTTCTAAAATATTAATGGAATTAAGCATCAATGTAACCTTTTTTTAATGGTGTGGAGTCTAATTGATAGAGTTGGGTCTATCTTCACTCCTTTTGGTATCTTCATAAAATAGAAGAAATATGTTGAAACAAATCTGAAATATATTTTATCAGGTTTAAACTATAAATTTAAATTCGGATTTAAAAGTTGGTCACAGTTTAGTCTAAACAAATCTGTTATTTCCCTCACTGGATGAAAAGAAATGGTAGAAAGAATGAACAATGTGCCACCCCCAGAGTTCTGATAATTTTGTAGATAATTGAAAGATAAAATTGATAATTTGTAGTATTTATAAATTTATTTTTCAATCTTTTCCTTCTCTTTTCCGTTCAATTTTGGGCCAATAAAAAACTTTGGCGTAAGAGGATGCTTCATTCCTACAAAATAAAGGTGTTCTAATGGGAGGACTCCCCACCCATACCAATTCCATGACATGGGTTAGATTTAATTGCAGACTTGTACAGCAGAAGAGATTTGAATTTACACTCTGTACACTGAATATGGTTAGTCTAGACACTAAAGATCCATCATATTATCCATCTGCGTTACGCCCACGAAGGACTAGCTCCTTACTTCCTTCATACTTAGTTTAAGAGTTCTTGTTAGACATTGGTAATTGAAATCGCACCAAAAAAAAAACTATAATCAATTGTAGGCTCGTTGTATTATTTTTATTTTATTTTTTCCTTCTCTATCTTTCTCTCTTTTTAAGAATAGTAATGATACATCTTTGGAATTTAGAATATGCCGAATAAGAATCATATAAGTAGAAATGTGAACCTCACCGCATGATGTTCTATATCACGTGATGAGGTTCACACCGTCACTCACATTATCTATATTTAGCGTCTCCCAATTAGAATGTACTATTTTCTTTTTAAGAAATTAATTTATATTGTCTCTCTTTTTGACATTAAATTTCTTAACACCACTAATTAAATCAATAAATCAGATGTTTGATAAATAAAAAATCAGTTGTAGATTTAATGTTAAACAATTTATTGTGTAATCTCATATTAGATCGAATCACAAATATTTCTTATTGAGATTTAAATGATAGGCTTGATCCGATTCATTAACCAATGTTGTGAAAATACTAAATATATAATTATATTTGAGCGGATGGATTAGGCCTAAAATACTAGTTAAGAATTTTAGATATATTTATTTATAGACAATACTAACATATTCACCTATAAATAAATAATCGGACTATTAGACATAATGTGGAGGTAAATATTATTCGAGGTAAATATTATTCTTACTTAAAACATAGGGATTATTACATATGAATGGTGTTAATAACCCATATTTACCGTTTGATGGATTCAAAGTCTCATAGTTTAAAAAAAATGAAAACATAGAAAATCACTGTTTACCCTCATAGAGGTACCACATTTAGGCACATAGGTATTACTTTTTATGTCTGGAGATGTCATTTTTTGTCATTAAGTATCACTTTTTATGTTGCACAAAAAATTAATACCTAATACACAAAAAGTTTGTGAATAAAAGTGGTACCTCTATGCTCAAAACAAAAGTGGTATCTGATGTACAAAAAATGGTACCTATGTGCCTAAAAGTGATACATTTGTGAGAGTGAAAAATTATGAGACTTTGACTAAAAAAATTAATACTTAATACACAAAAAGTGTGTGAATAAAAGCGGTACGTCAATACTCGAAACAAAAGTGGTATCTGATGCACAAAAAAAAGTACCTCTGTGAGAGTGAACAGTATTTTTTCATATCCAGATTAGCATTTTGGTCAATTTTATTTTTTTAAAATTATGTGACTTTGACTCCATCAAATAATAGATATGGACCATTAACACTATTTATATGTAAAAATACCTTAAACATATCTAACATAAAAATTGATTCCATTTTAATGTTTTAGATCTTATCTTACACTAGAGTACATGCGATGCAATTCTAATTTCCGCAAAATCATTGATGTAGTTGTGTGGGGCCCATTCTTCCAATGTGCACCTGATATCATTATATTCCTTCCTCCCATAACAAGGAGGAGGAAAAAAACACACACACTAACCACAGATCACCATGCCTTTATATAATCAAAACCATCACTTCTTCAGAATCATAATATAATATCATACTCATTCCACTACATGTCATAATGAGTGCTACGTTACTTTCTCCCGAACCAAAACATAAACCAAAAAAAAATTTCAAATTTTTAAAAATTAGATCACACAGCTCACTCTCCAACAAATGACTGGCATTCCCGTAATTCCAACCAAACCCCAGGGTCAATCATTCACAAATTCCAGATTTATATATAAAAGATGGTCCGCCAAAAGTAAAACGATGAGGCATCAGCATGCCGCCGGTGGTACCACACCAACACATACATGATACATATATATATATACTGATTCTTCTTCTTCACATCCGCATATCAGAGTTGAAGAATTCTAAAGTTGACTTCATGTTCTTTGAATCCATGTGTTAATGGCTTCAAAATCATTAAATTGAATTGAATTTTTATTTTTTGGTGATGAATTGAAAATTTTGAACAGTGTTATACATATATATTTATATATATATATATGCGAGTGTGATTAGATCGAAGCGATGTTGTGCAGAAAAGATTCGACTAGGAGTATAAGCGGATCGGTGCCGGTGTACTTGAACGTTTACGATCTAACCTCCATTAATGGCTACGCTTACTGGCTCGGTCTAGGGGTCTACCATTCCGGTGTTCAAGGTCAGAGCTCAATCTCCGTCATTTTTTTTTTTCAAAGTTTTTTTTTTTTGTGATTCAATTTGTAGTTTTTATTGATGTTTTATGAGTATATTTTCGAAAAGTAGATCTGTAGCTGAAATGTGATCCGAATTTAACTTACCAGTCGATAAAATGTATATGGATTAGTAGTATTATTATTCCTGGAACTTATCAACTACACGTTTTCCATGTATTTGAACTCGAATACTTAACTCTGATTTGGTTGTTTTAAATAAAATTAACTCAGCTAGTCTGTACCAAGCAAAGAATTTATGCAAGTAATATATATACACACACACAAATATGAGTTAATTGAAATAGAACCCCAGAACTATTAAAAAAAAATTCGTGGTACGGCTAGGAATAATTAATCCCCTTCCGATATTGGAAGTTTGCAATATATACACCCACCCACCCACCCACCCACACACACACATATATATTTATATATATTTGGTTTGATGGTTGTAGTGTCAAGCCTCTTGCAGCACCTTATCGGACAAATTTTCTGAGATGATTCCAAGGGAATTCAAACTCCCCACCTCCTCGAGGGTGTGAGATGAGACATAGTTGTTATTAGCTCACCATTAAATATGTATTGAAATTACTAAATTGTTCTTAAGGTTGATTACAGAGGCTTTCATGAATAATAAGAGATTTGTACATAAGGGTAATATGCAGATTCTTTAAATTTTCAGGAGGTTTTGTTTAATTAACTCTATAGTGTGAATTGGAATTTTCAGAAAGTCACCTTCCAAAAAAAATCAGAAAGTCCCACTCCTTGTGAGTTACTATTTTTTAAGGCCATACAGAAGGTGGTGTCTTACAATTGTTTTGATATTTCAGGATACTTGTCTGCAAAATATTTAGTACATGGCTTCATAAAAAGATATTATATCTCAGGGGATTTTATGAAATTAATGTAAGTTAATGAATCTTAATAAAAGGCATGACTCGGTTTTAATTGAGTACTTGATCTGTTCAATGTTGTGGCAGTTCATGGAGTTGAGTTTGCTTTTGGAGCTCATGAGTATCCAACGACTGGGATTTTCGAAGGAGAGCCAAAACAATGCGATGGGTTTACGTTTAGGAAGTCGATTTTGATCGGATGGACGGATATGAGTCCCACGGAGGTAAGAAGTTTGATGGAGGAGTTTGCTGATAAGTACAAAGGGAATGCATATAACCTCATCAGCAAGAATTGCAACCATTTCTGTAATGATGCTTGTATCAGACTCGCTGGGACTCCTATCCCCAGCTGGGTTAACCGGCTCGCTAGAATCGGTAAGAGCTTGTTTGGACACACACAAACATTCCTTGATTCTCTTAACATGTTAATGCTTGACGATTTTGTTGTGATTTCATAGCATTTATAGAAATGTTTCATTTTAAGCTTGAATTTTGGCCACTTCAGTATTGACTGTGTTGGGGGTGGATTTGTAACAAAGGTGTTAATTAGAGGGAGGGAGTATTAATTGTAATTATCCAAAACTTAAGAGAGGTCTTTCGTGTGTTTTCCTATCTAGAGGAGATCTTAGTGTAATTTACCCTAGTTTTAGGCTCTCCACAGTATCTTCCTTTTCTCTCATTTTCTTTAAACTTCTTAATCTAAGCAGTGTAAGTTGAAACTGAGGTCTTTCACTTTCATTAGACTTAGTCCCCAATGAACTGTTCTTTACCTTGTGGATTTATAAACATTTGTTTTACAACCATTGTTGTTTGATTTGTGATGATAAAGATGGTAAAAGTAAAAGAACAATGCTCTAAATATAACTGGTTAAGTTTATATTGTCTCACTCTATAGTAATGTGATTCTTATTTTTCACAATGTGTTGTTGCAGGTTTGTTTTGTAATTGTGTTATTCCGGCAAGCTTAAATTCAACTAGAGTTCGGCATCACCAAATCAAAGATAAGCCCCATGAGGAAGACAAAAAGAAACTTAGAAGCCGCTCGAATAGATTTCCATCATCATCCAATTCTTCATCCTCTTCATCATCATCTCCTCCTGTTGCCACTGCAACCAAAAGTAGTAGAAGCAGACGTTCTCATCCTCCATCGTCGCCTTTGATTCTTGGTCCTCCGTCCTCGTAGCAGGCTCTAAGAAGAAGGGTCACTGTCAAAATATAATCTTTAGTTCTTCAATTATTCTTTTCTTGTGATCTTTAATCCTAACAGCTTCTTGAGAAGCCTCGCGCAATCTGAAATTGTAAATGCTTTCTTTAAACCTTTGGAAATGATGATGCTTCTATGCGGTGCTATGAGTTGAAAAATCTAGCCAAGGCTTTAATCGGTTTATTGTGTGAGAACTCTTGCAATTATTTCATAAATTTTGTGAAAAGATAGCTCAACTACACAAAAGCCTTTTTTCAACTTCTTGGGTGGATTTCATAAATCTTGTTTTGTCGTCGTACTTTACCTAAAACTATTATATCCAATGTTAATTGTAATCATGTAAATCTTTTTATCCGAAACCAAATTTATGTTTATTGGCTTTCTTTTGTTATTATCTCCAATTGCTGCTCCAACAATCCCGGACAATTCAAGCCAACAAAAGTCATCTTTCAATCATTTAGGATTGCTTATTTGAAACATGTTTGAATCAACCACATTTTGTTTCAAGTCATGTTATATTTTTCCTATCCTGGGGCATCGCCCTTAATGTGAACACATCAGATACTGTTAGTGGACTTTGTTGTACATGATCAAACCATCTTTTCTGATTTTTTTGTTTCCCATTGTTTCCACCAAATGTAACTTCAACCGTTTCCACGCCGTATTGACTTTATATTATATTACATTCAACTATCATAAATTGTCAACATTTCAACTGCCAACATTTCAACTTTCATGAATTGTCCAGTATCTCTCAAAAAGAAATTTTTGAGTTTCAAAAGTTCCAGACCTTAAAACCTAGGGCTCACGTTACATGAATGTGGTCCCCACAAACAGCGTAAATCCGCACCCTCCCCTTTACAAAACATCCATTTACTTTCTTCTTAATTTTTTTCTTTCAATTTTTTCTTTTTTCAACTGTCATGATTGTCCAGTATCTCTCAAAAAGAAATTTTTGAGTTTCAAAAGTTCAAGACCATATAACCTAGGGCTCACGTTACATGAATGTGGTCCCCACAAATAGCGTAAGTCCGCACCCTCCCCTTTACAAAACATCCATTTACTTTCTTCTTTTTTTCTTTCATTTTTTTTTTTTTTTTTAATTTTTTTTGCTTCTTCTCTTGGGTTTAGTTACTTTTTACATGTTTCATACCTATTTATTGATAAAGCAATAATAATAATAATAATAAATTGTTGAGAAAAACATGCCTTGTATACATCATGAACCAAACTTGAACCAAAGGATGCACAACCCGAGCTTGAACAAAGTCATGCACAACTAGTAAACTCAAACTTCTTGAGCCCAACTAAGACTTAGGTTTCTGAGCTCATTAGGCAAATCCAAACTGAGCCAAAAGATGAACAAACTAGCCTAAAGTCTTGAGCTTAGCTCCTTTTGGTCATCTGCAACCCTAATTACCAAATGAGGAGAACCACTTTGGTATAGAAGCAAATGCTAGATTGTGGTGTCAACATTCACAAAAGTTATGGAATCTTTGGGCGGTTGGTGTATAATCAGATAGTGCTTCACAGAATATCTGCTTTCTAAACAAAAAAAAAAAAAAAATTTCCGACTTCCTCGGGTATATAAAAGTTATTTTTCTTGGTTACCAACCACGACTTCTGTCTCAACTTTTCTTTATGTTTAGCTGTCAAAGTCCAAACAGAGCCAGTAAAAGGACCCACAACTTATCAACCAATAATAGCAAAATTCAACATTCATTACCAGATTAGCCCTTAAGATTCTTTAGCAATGACAAACTATAAGAATAATGGCAATAAAATGTATTGAGGCTTTACCAAACATATTCATAACACTGCAGTAATTTCCAAGGGGCAATGAGATGAATTATAGCAAGAGTGCGAAGTTTGACATAATTAAGGTAAAGAAGAAAAAAAAAAAAAAGAGCTATAAAAGAAAAGCGAGTTTCAAAATAAATGAAGAATGATTGTTGGCAGGCCTGTCGCATATTGTTTCAACACATTCCTGCAAACAAACATGACAATCATGATGAAATTAGTTGCAGACTCGAAAGCATTATAAAGTGGTAATTTTTTAATGTGACTGACAAATAAAGAATACAAAGTACCTACTTCAATATTAGGTGTGATAACCGAATTGGACAAATCATACTGCGTTTACCGCTGCTTTGCTCTCACCCATTCAACAAAATTGTCCAGAATTAAAGGCCAAGCAAGTTCAGCATCATAATTACGGAGATCTGAGAAATTTATCTGTTCCAAAATTGGAAATTTATCGAAGTCAGCAAATATCAAATGGCTTGATTTATCATTCACATAAATGCTGATTAGTCAATAAGACTGGAAAAAGGTTTAAAGTGTGAACATCTCTCTGAATTTGTGTTTTACTTAAATGATTATAATTACACTCCAGATGATCTTAATTGTGTCAGTATAAAATATGAAAATTAGCTGTGTTCCACAAGCTAGATGAAAGCTAATGTTACTATCTTAAGACTCATTCAAATTGTCAATTGAGTTACCACTGTAAGCCAATACCAATTTAATTATCCTCTAAAACCACAAAAGGAAAAACAAAAGAAAAAGAAAACAGAAATTGTCAGGTTAATAGAAAAATATCATTTAGTGAAATAAGAGTTAAAACGCTCTTCTACCATCAACACTAACCAACCCCAACCCATCAATAAATAAATAGATAGATAAAAACCAAAAAAATAAATAAAGAGTAACAAATAAATTTGAAACTTGTTAGTAGAAAATAATTCGTTTATAAAATAGGTCATTGGTCAGCATTGGTCATACTGAAGTACTGGATGGGAAGACCACAGAAAAACATAAACTTTTCACATTATTTTTCACCATGTCATTACAATTTTCAATCGAACTTTTGCCGTTGCACCAAACAATAGCCCTTAGTAATCCATATGTAATAGATTAAACTCTTTGGCTTTATAAATTAGTGAGACATATATGTCCATCGAGATTAAGGGCAACGTTTTGAAGAGTTAAAATAACCGAGTAGTGTGTACAAATGCATGTAACATACCACGACTACATATCTTTGAAGTGCATTACACTTGTCAAACAGTTGATCTATAACTTATAAGAGGATAAGTTAAAATGAATAGATAATCTATAATTCCAAAATTGTAACTAAACCATCAGAATACCTCATTGCAAAACCGAAAGAAACCCATCCACTGATCCATGTTTATGACCTTGTAATCAATCTGTGTCTGCATTCGAGGAAAAAACATTTAAATGAGAAATTTTCTTACTCTTCTTTTGTTACTTTTATATACCTATATATCAACTAATATATATTTATGTATAGAAACTTGATTTGTACCCCGCATTAGCATGAGAAAATCCTCATACTGAGGCCTACTCCAACATGTTGGGCCCCACACAAGACCTCCGAGAGCATCAGCCTATGCCACTTTGCCATATTTAGCAGGATTCTTATATAAATAGGGTAAAACTAACTTCCCAACCTTCATGGGAAAAAATAAGCTGTCCCCAAATGCAAAAAGTCAAAACAGAAAAAAGAAAAAAAAAGTCCATACTAATTAGTTATGAACAAAATCAATGTGAGGGAAAATTCCGGGGAAAAAAATAAAATAAAATAAAATTCAATTTGAGGGTATTCATGTAGTTTTATTATAGCGCCAGCCCCATTAATTCCTCTCATTAATTGAAAGTGGAGGGTCAAAGATAAAAAAAAAATGTCCCTACATTGATTTTTCCCATACAATTAGTAGGGATACTTTTGGATTTTTGCTTGTGGGGATAGCTTAATTTTAATCTTCCCCATGAAGGGGAAGTTAACTTTTACCCTGTGTATTTTTTTCTGGAGGTGTTTTTTTTTTTGGGGGGGGGGGGGGGGGGGGGGGGGGGGGCTTTAAAGAAGAAACTTAGAAATGGAATTAAATGGGTTAGCTCTTCTTTCATGTAAGCCTACCGGATCCATGTATGCAGGGGCTTTCATGCTTCATCAATGTATACAGGAACTGTGACAGTGTGTTGCTATAAAGCAAAAAAAATTAAGTCTGCTAAAATTTCCTCAATCCAGGAATTTTTTTTTTGATAAGTTAAAATTTCCTCAATCCAGGAATAAAAGGATGGAACATGTTTGGTAGTACCAAAACGTGAAGTGGTGCGATTGGATAACTGAGCCAAGAGCTGGATCAATATACTATTCATTATTATGACAATAATACTAGAAGCTTAATTCAAAGTTGAAGGAATTCTTTTCCCTATTAATAAATGTCACAATGTGGGCACAAAAAAAGATTGGACATTGAGGAAAGACTATGAATTACAAAGAGCATAATGAAACTACAGTTACTTACCCTTAAATAATTAACAAATGAGTCAACCTGTGTAGGGAATTGAGACCCTAGAACAAGATGTAGTAATTCGCAGATGCTCTCAATGTCTATACTCTTTTGCTTCTCCTCTAATAAGAACAAATAACAAAAGCTGGTAAGCCAAATAAAGAGGAATAAAGATCCAAGATTAACCTACAGGCTACCAGACATTAACCTTACCTGTTAGGCAGTACCGGAAGGCATAGGAATAGAAATCCTCAAAATTTGATGGCCTTTTGACCTATTATAAGGGGAAACACAAAGTTAAAAAAGAATCAGCACACTCCCACATCCTTCCCATGACTATCAAACATCTAGTTCACAAAAAACTTACAATGAGATTACTTGTGCAAAAATGTAACCAGTTAGAATACAGTACCTCTTTCTCCAGCTCCGGCAGTGCCTTCTTTAATTTGGTTATTGTGTCAGCTCGAAGTGCTTTGAGGCCTTTTCTCCACTCTTCCTGTAAAGGATTAGATTGGTGGTCATTTCAAAGATGAATGGGTTTGCCTTATGTAGTTTATAATCATCTTTAAAAGGTATATTTTAACACAAAAAAAAAAAAAAGAAAGGAAAGTACTAAACAAGCAAGGTACATGTTCAGAAGAGGGATGATGGAATATCATGCAGCATGGAAAAAGCGAGAAATAGGGAAGTAGAGCTCCTTCTTCCTTCCATGTGGTGGTGGTGGTGGAGGTAGAGAAAGGAAAAAAGAAAAAAAGCAATTAAATGACTAAGGCTTAGATTAATGGACTTAGAAGATACAAAATGATATGAGAAAATGGAAACGTGTTAAAGAGTCTGGAGTTATCATACAAAAATAAAACTATCCTCGAGCACGATAAACAAACTGTTAGAATTTAGCTTTTCAACATTTTCATCGGAGGAGGAACAATGTCATAACCAGGCTTTACACCGAGCATTGAGAACAGGTCTTCAGTTATTCAAACTTGATGGAGTCCAAATTTGACTAGCTTGCAACTTCTATTCGATAAATTGAATTTCAATCTAAATTAGCCGATGAGCTATAATTTGGTACTCTCTTCATTGAACCTGAAACATCAGGTTTCTCTCTTTGGGCCTCCAAATACCTCAGGTGCAACACCAACTACAATGATATGAGGTACAGTCGTTGATGACTAATCTTGGCCTGTCAACAATATGCATCAACTTTCAACTGCTCATGGGCACAAGAAATCCCCCCCCCCCCCCAAAACAAAAAAAGACACACACACAGAGACAGACAGAGAAACAGAGGGACGTATCTCAACTCTCGAGAGATCTCAAGATTGTGTAAGCCATTTCCAAATTTTTAGTACCTTCTAAAGATTTGAATGCAATTTATTGAGATACGAAGATTCCTTTCTCGCCCTGAGGATTCCATTTGTGTTTCTATTTCCAAAAACTTAACAAGGAGAAAAGCTAGGCATCTGAGAATGCTGCTGTCTTTTAGTTACTTCTGAACTCAAGTTTTAGAAGGGGGGAAAAAACATTTAAAAAGAGGACCCCCCAACCCAAAAGAAATAACCAATGGGACTGCCTATTAAATGGACTAAAAGTTTCTCTTGGAATAATTTTCGAACCGATTCCAGATGCACTTCCATTTTTGAAAACATTACCAACCAACATGGCTTTCATTTTCCAGAATATGTGTGTGTCCTGAATTATATTTCAATTTTTTTTTTGATAAGTATATTTCAATTTTTTCCCAAAACAGAATCCTTAAGCCGGAAGAGAAAGATTGGAATAATTCTTAAGCTAGAAGGGAAAGATTGGAAACAAACCTAACCTTTGCTCACACCATAGGCAGGACATATAATTGGAAATGCACTTCCACAAAATCCTTGAGCTGTAGACTTTCTATAACATCTTCTTCCTTTACTAGTTTTACTTGAACTTAAGTGTGTGCCAAGTACGGGTGAGTGCCAACATTTTGAGGTCATCTCGTCCCCAAAGTATCAAGACAAGGTGATAGAGCTGAAAGTTAATAATGCCAAATCAAAGCTCTTCTTAATTCTCAACAAGAATGCATGTCAGGTACAGGTGATTCCTGGATGTCAGATTTCAATTTTTTTTCCAAGACATTATCCTTGAGCCTTTGACTTTCTATAACATCATCCTCCTTCACCTGCTTTACTTAACTTGAGAACATGTCATGTATAGGTGACTGTCATCTCATCTCCCAAAGGTTAAGACACAGGGACATGGCGGAATGTTGCTAATGCCAAATAACTATCAAATAGGAATGCATCAACAAAATTGTCCCTCCATATAAATCATCTTGGCATGAACTCAGTTTCTTCACTTCAATTCTGCCCTACATAAATTAAAGCTAGCTCCTATCCATTGTCGTTGGCCTTCACTTTTACTTCTTAGCAGTCATTGTATAGTAAGAAAGCTCAACCGTCTTTACACAGAAAGCCTCTACATCCAAGGGTGAAGTTACTGAAGTGTTTTTTTATATAAGGTGTCATAAGAATATGTGCCCTAGGTAACTTCAAGCAAAAATTTTAGCCATTTCAATATTGTCAAATGTTCAACCATTCCACGATAAGTGCCATTGTCAAAGCAAAGAAGTACCATTTGTCTTCCTAAGAGAGATGCGTATGCATTTAAACTTCACACAGGAAACCCATAAAGACCTAGATCATCCACAGCCGAAATAAATAGCAATAGCAGAGTGGTGCAACAGGTACTCAAAAGGAGGAAGGGGTGGAAGTAAAGTTCTCTCATTCTTACAAGACTTGATAAGAGTAGAGGATCATGTAATATTCCGCAAACTCACATACCATAACACAAACATTTAAACTAGTAGACGTGTATAAGCAAGGAATAGAAGGTCTCTTTTTTGAAAAAGAAGCATGACTTATATGGTAATACCAAGTGTCAGCTGATCTCCACAATCAAAAAGAACTGCTGGGAGTCTTAGACTGGGAAGATCCACAAGCTTTTTAAGCCATTTCAGGAAATCACGAGCGTTATGTCAACTACCCAACCTTGCGTTGACTGCAGGTCAAGTGACTTTGTAACACAACAATAGAGAAGAAACTAGTAAAATGAAAACAAATAATGCTTACAAAGGAGGCATACAAGGATGGACAAATACATCTTTCAGAGCAATAGTGGAAGAAGAGCCTTTAGCAATATACTGTCCCTTCCTTCCACTTGAAAATAAGTTAAAAATCACAAGAATATAACTGTAACATGTTTTCAGATCCTCTCATTAATACATGACAGGAAGTACGAAGAATTCTGTGATGCTGTGGATGCAGAAAGATGCAGAACAATCTACAACTATGCAGGCAGACCCAAAGAAGCACTTGCCACTTGAGAAATACAGTGTTTATGCCAACCCATATACATGAATAATAATTATATTTTTTATATCTTATTCATCGGAATTTTTTTTTTTAATGCCAACCCCCATATAAATGAATAATAATGATTTTTTTGAAGGACATATCAACAGATGACAAAGTATGAAAGGGTAGATAATTGCAAATAGGGAAAAGGCGCCAATGGCAAGGTGGTGGCTGTGCCCATAAAAGTGCCAGTTAATATCATGCCAAATTACTTCCTTAAGGTGATAATTACGATACATGCCAATAAGAAAGAAGGCAACGCAACACCTAAGAGCTCTCAAAGAAACTTAATTCCAAAAAGCAAATGAACCCCGGCACTTCACAAAGACAAGTGGAAATAGGGGAGGAAGAGGATCACTTGTAAGGAGGATGGAGCACAGCTATAACCAAACGATATCAACTGCTGTGTGCGATGCACTTAGGAGATCTAAAGTCCATGTCTGAATTAAATACGCAGTCGGATAAAATAATGTTACTATCTTTTATTTTCTACCAAATAAAAAGAAAAATCTGGAAAGTTGCAACTTGTAAGAAAACCTCATTCCGAAATATATATATATATATATATATACACACACACACACACACATGAAAGGGATTACTTTATCCATTTAACAATGAAAAATTGTGACAACCATTAGCTCCTATCACAGTTTCTAGTTGACCCTGTGGTAATTAAGATCTGTGAAAAAAGTTGGTCAGCAATATCTAAACATACATGGCTTAATTTCACAAAACCCCCATGAACCATACATGTTTTTCACATTGCTGCCCTATGTATCAATAAACACCCTAAACTAACAAAAATAATAAAATTAGGCCAAAATGTTATTCACCCTAATGTATCAATAAACACCCTAAACTAACAAAAATAATAAAGTAAGGCCAAAATGTTATTCGGGCAGCAGGCATTATAAGCCAACAAAAATGACGGGATTGCCCTATATATTGAAAAAACAAAGGTTTAATTCCACAAAATCCCTGTGAATTATGTGTTTTTTCTTATTGCCCCTTTAATGTCATCATCATCATCATCATCATCATCATCATCCTTGTCTTTGTCCCATATGAATGGGGTCGGCCACATGAATTATCTTTTTGCATTCTCTCCTATTATAAACCATGTCTCTTACAATTTAATTTTTTTAAATCATTTTTTATTACTTCATCCCATGTGAGTCTTGGCCAGCCTCTGTGTTGCTTACCTTCTAAGCAAACAATCCTTCCCCTCTTAACCAGAAGAAAAATCAACTAAGGCCAAAACTTTATGGGGGTGAACAAGGAAAGAAATGATGGATCTGCTCTTACGTATCTAAGGAAAAAAAAAAAAAAAAAACCAATAAAAATAGTATTAAATGAATTTATTAACTAATATGATGTTTATACTGATATCTGCTTAAAAGATTTCAATTTATAAATAATGATAGTGATATACATACTTCAACCATAACAAAAAATGGGTATATAAAAATTAAAAAAACGAAAAAAAGAAAAGGAGAGAAGGAAAGAAATAAAAAATGGGCATTATACTGTAATCGTTGCTAATTAATAGAAAGTTTATGAGAGAGAGATAGAGAGAAAGAAGAGAGTCGGAGGGGAGTGACGCCAAATCCAATAGGTGTTCACAGAAAGTTAGTACAAGGGGGCAATATGCAGAAAGGAAAAAATATATATATATATATATAGCTTAGGGGAGTTTTGTAAAATTAACCCAACACAAAACTAAAGAAAATATATATTATATGGCAGATATTCCAACAACTCAACTCAAGAATGCCTTGTGCCAACATGACATGATATGAGTTGAATACAGACATTCAACATGACATGATATGATATTGGATATTTCAAAATTGAAATATCATGAAAACATTGATAAAATTAGATGGACAGACTATGTAGCGACTAAATATGACAACAGTAGAAGGAAAATTCAATTAATATGATTATTGAAGTCAATATACATATGGGAATTTCTTTGCTTACCAGGGTGAAATATCCTTGTTTTTCGGCATTCATTTTCCTGAAATATGTAGTCCATTAGTTATACATTCCATAAATTAGTAACTACGGATGCTAAACAACTATAAAACAGAACTTACCAAGCAAACATCAATATCCTGACATCAGTATAATCTACTTCTAGATCTGAACAGAGAGACTCAATTCCTTCGGGACTGTTCAAGAAAATAAAAAAAGATATATATATGTTACAGATATAGAGCAAAAATCAACAAAATACAATAGATGGAATTCTTCTAGTGTGTACTAGCATATAAAAGATTCATGAAAATAAAACAAATCTTCGGGTAACAATACACATTTTACCACATAAAACCACATATGACGTAAGAAAAAAAAAATTACGTGTGTGTAATTAGTAGATGATAGTGATAAAGCTGTTTGAGGCATATTCCTTCGTCCTTCTTAGTATAAATCTATTTCTTGGCCTAAAAGATGATTTTCCTTTCTATATTTTTGGACTGAATCTTTTATTATTCTATAATAGTATTTTCAATTAACAATTTATATAATAATGTTGCTTCTCTTCCTTCCTCCCTCCCATCCATTTTTGGAGGGATTAAAATTTGTGGGCTAGGAAGATGGCTCATCCATCCTCTCTTGTAGATTGAGTAGAACTGCTTGATTAAAATTTGTGGGATCAGCCTCTAGAGAATACAAGGAGAATGTGGTGTAGCAGCTGCCAAATTTGTGGTGATTTGTGCTTGTAGATTGAGTAGAATTGCTTGTGGTATTAAGTGGACCAGTGGTGAAAGCACAAGACGTAGGAATGAGATGTTGGACTCTTGAGCATGTAACAGATCTTTGTATTCAAACTTCACATAATAAATTGTGAACTGTGGACAAGGTCCCATGGTTTCCCCATCGTAATTTCCAAGTACATATCATGCATGCCTTTTATTGTGTGATTGTGTGTCCAGTTATTTGTTTGGTTGCATACTAGAACAGTAGATTGATTAGCATCAATTGAAATCATAACTGCTAATTGGTCTAAGATCTAAGTCAACCAACACCATAATAAGTAGTTGTTCTATTATTCAATAATGCCTATTGTGGGACTTTCTCCATAAAGAGAAAGTATCTTAAACATATAGCCTGAAACAACATTCCAACAAAGAATCTTGAAGATGTGATCATTCCCCAGTTTGAAACAAGTTATATTTCTCACAAAGTATATTAGCCAAATCAAGTACGACAACTTTTGTGCTCCCATATTTCCACAAAAAAGGAGTTTTTGGACTTTGGCAACCAACTTCTCACCACAAATGGAAAGGGATATCATTCATTTCAAAAGGACTAACTTCAATCCAAGGGGCAGTTGCTAGCTCCAAACTGTTGTAAGAAAACAAAATTTTCACAGAAATGAAGTTCAACAACCATTATTCTCACACCAATAGTTTGGCCCTAGTGGTATCTCCTTTACTTTCCAAGTGGAGAGTTGGTCTCTGCAACCCAGAATAAATATTCAAATAGAGTTCCAAAGAAGTATGCAACAGAGTTCCAGATAAAGATGCGGACAACCTTCCCTCTGGATTGTCATATAATACTAAACCCCAAACCTCACTCAGATTCACTCCGTGCACATATCAAACCAATAATGCAAATGCCAACTCAAATTTAGATGGAGTTCCATTCGATATAACTATATTTTGATGAATAATTACAAGAACACTAGAGAGTTTAATATCCTAAATTATTAGTATTTAAATTGAATGAAACGACTTTTAAGCAACTAACACTGAGAGCAACACCGACATAAATTAGACATCAATTTTAATATGGTCCACTTACTCAATCATGCAAGACGAACTATTTGCATATGAATAAAATAGCTGATCGATTCTTTCCAACTCTTTGGTTGCAGCTTTACCTGTTGCTGAACAAAAGAAATTTAAATATTATTACCAATTAGGAAATGTAAGGCCAATTTTTTAAAGAAAAATACTGGATAATGTCAAGAGAGTAAATGACTGTGAAAGCAGTCGGAAAACACAAGTGATGCGAAAAAAATAAAATAAAAATTCAGATTCATGCTAGAAATACAGAAACTAGCCAGCCCAAAACCATTTTCCAGTTCAAAGTTTATATGTTGCATTTCTGAATCTTCAAAATTAAAAAACCTCCCGCCAACTAATTTATATATATATATATATTTGACATTGTTCTCAAGTTTAAACAAACCCATGTAAACTTGAATTTCATTGCATTTACAAGCAAGGTTGTTGAGCAAGGATCTTACATTGGATTGATGGGGCTCCTCAAGATCAGATTGTAGGATGGGATAGAAAATTTCGTAAAATAAGGAAACTAATACCTAAAATATTTGTCCATCTTAAGAATTCTTAAAAGTGCACAGTTAACAAGCCCAAAACTAATGAAAATATAATATAAAGACAAACATTTGGAACTTATAAGCTCACAATTCCCCCTTCTAACTTTGAAGCACATTTCATTTAAGAAAAGAAATAAAAAGCATGAAGATGTTTACTTCAACATATCATTACCCGTGATGACACATTACAATATTAGATGTAAAGTTTAACATGAGAAAAGTTCGTGGACCATCAATATTATGCATTTAATAATCACTAATCAGGCATGGCATGAAAATAGTCGACTACCGCGGGGGGGGGGGCCCCAAAAACAATGTTTTAAAATACTTAATCATGGAAGGCACTATAACATTACCTAAAGACATAGATGAAAAAATAGGAGTTCTAGGATCTGTGTGGATAAGATATTGATTGGTATGAAGTAAACTTACTGAGTTCCATACAGAGAAAGGCCAACTGACCTAAAGTGAGGCATTTGAAGCAAAATTTGGTCATTCTTTTGTTACATGTCATAGCAAAATAACCAACCAGAAGGTATTGTTGTGTCGGGGCTCCGATCCTTGTCACCCACAATTGGTCCAAAAGGGGAGGACTTTTTTTGGGGCAGGAATCATGATCGGATAGCAGACCAAAAGCTATAAAATTTGAATGTGGATCTTTGTTAAGATGGAATGGCCGTACTATAATTTATAATAAACAGTGGAACCCGGCCTTTACCAGTTTTTTTTTTTTTTTTTTTTTGACCCCGCAGATGCAAGCAAGTACAAACAAATATTAGTAGCATTACAGAAAATGCGTTCCTCGTCATTAATATGTTTACTCGTGGTAATGTGGCTTCTTGGTGAAATTGATGACTGCATCTATGACGCACAACTACTACTAGTCATAGTTTGGAGAGGCAGACACAGGAATGTGTTGGGCATAATCTAAAGAAGTCACTTATCCCGACCATATTTTTTCCGACCACAGAGTCAGGACTAACAACGCACTGATATGCAACTTTTTACAACAAAAACAGGCTTTTAATGAATTTTAGTGATTTTTGTTGAATTTTTTAAGAACATTTAACACAAGAAATTTCCTATGCATGAATTCTATGTCATCATTATTAAAGGCTTAGTAGTTTACTTTTTACTAAATTAATGAGTGTGTTGTATGATTAAATATGGGTACTTGGACATTGCATAAAAAACAATGTTAAATTAATTTTATAATTACCTAGTAGTTTATCCATTTGTATGAAATTTGCAACCCATGTTTAAGGGTAGATAGACGTAAACCATCAACATTGCAGGCCACCCTTAATGCATGTTATTTGGACCGTTAGAAAGGAAAGAGAAGTTTGCGTAGACTGTAAGAAAAAGCTGGAAATAAATAGCGATGACTTCCAAAACTAGCATGGAATGAAGTAATTGAAAATGAATGATTTTAAAATATTAAATCTTGGAGGAGTCGTAGTGTATAATAGAATAGAATGGAGAAAGATAATCCAAGAGGCCTATCCCATTCATTTGGGAAAAGACAAGGATGATGATGATGAACCATCTATGTCACATACCGTTCTGGCAGCTTCTACTTTTAGCACTCTTAAGGCTTGGAGTAAGAGTGAGAAGAGAATTCAAAGGATGAACCCATGACCTATATTTGGAACTATTAGAAGGAAAAGCAGTTCAAATCACTTTTGAGAAGCGGGAAATCCAGCAAAAGTCGTTTTCATAAAAGTATCTTAATGTTATGTCTAGGGCTTTTGTAATTGAGAAATTCCTGAACAGAGTAATCAGGTTATGACTGCACAGTGATAAATTGTCCAATTCTCGGATTCTGATTACAATATACTACGTATCGGTTTTGCTTTAATAAAATTTATATTTTAAATCCTTAGGACCCAACAAAAATCATCTTCACCCATTCAAAAGCAAAAATATTCTACATATAATCATAAACGCTCAAAAAGAATCATACTTTCGGGTCAAATTATACAAAACCAAGCCAAATTGAATAAAGATTAACTCAAAATAAATCAACCATAAAAATCTGATTTTGCTAAATTATCGTACGAAAAATCGAATCCAAATAAACAAAAACGATCGGTTACCAGAGCGAAATAGATCGATAGGTGAGGAATTATTTGACGCGGCCGAATTGACTTGGCCTTTCCTGGATGAAGAGCGAGGCATCTTGAAGAACTCTGGAGAGAGAGGAGACACTTTAGAGAGAGAAAATAGGTGAGAATAAACACCCGACCGAACCAATCGTCGTCTTCTTCTTCTTCGCTCGAAAGCTTTTGCGAAGCGTAAATTTCTAGAGCGAGAAACAAAGGGGAATGTGAATAAAAAAGAGAGTTTACAGAGGGCTGCTTGCTTACGATAGGAGTCCGAGTTCGCACTACCTTTGGTTAGTCGACTCTTGATTTTCCAAGTGCCAAGGAAACTACCTACAAAAACATAGTAAATAAATAAATAAAACTTTCCAAAAACATAAGTGTAAATAAATAAATAAAACTTTCCAAAAACATAAGTGTAAATAAATAAATAAGTTTTGTATGTGTGCTTACTCATGCATGCCTTTGATTTGAACTTGATAAATTAAACCATTGTCAAAAAAAATTATCTTTTTATTTTGGTATGTTTCAAAATATGCATTCTATTTCAAAAGTGAATATATTATTTTTATAATATACTTAAACTATCTTATGACATTGACTTGTGATTAACTATCAAATATTTTTTTATTTATTTACAAGGATAATTTTTAAAAATTATACATTAAAAAAATATTAAAACCTCGCTCCCATAAAAAGTTGAATCCCCCCAATACTATAATTTGCTAAGAATTTGAATTTGATAATCTATTAACTAAATAAATTGAATATGAATTATGATTTGATAATCTATTAACTAAATAAATTGAATATGAATTATGGTTGTAAGAATTTTTTGTTGGAACAAGTAAAATATAATAAAAGACAATAAATACTACTAACACTAAAAAAAAAAAATGCTGAAATGGCTGATTGACTTGATTGCATTTTTTTAAATGCAACGTGGATCCCAATACATTGCATCCAAGAGCCTTGACTGAATCATTGATATGGAGGAGGAGGAGAAAGTAGACAAATAAATAGATTAATAAGGAAGATAAGAATGTTTTTGTCTGTAAATGAGCTTTTGTTAATTGGGATTTTTGGTTACTCAAGTCCTTATTTAATGCTCAGTGATGTCTGCGTTTATAGTCTTTAGGTTTCTCGTCCTGGTACCTAAATCCTTAGGCCATATATGATTGCCTTCAAGTCTCCTTGCTTTGGCTACTGCGTCAAATCCTGCTTGTGTCCCTTTGTGGGAACAATGCTTCGAATAGTTAATGAAATATTAAATGTATGAAGGTGATTAATAACGGACGTGGTTAAGCATTAAATGAATAAATGATATATGCTCATTATTTCTTTGGTCAGTCCGATTGTCCAAGAGATGTATGCATATTATACCTCTCATCCACCATTTCATGACGTCTTTAAGTATCTCATGATGTAACTCGTGAATACGTGAAGGACCCTGCCTATATCATTCTGTGTATTTATTATTTTTGTCTCAAAAGGTCTACTTGTCGAGACTTTGAAAGGATGACCTAACAGGACGTTAAGGTTTTCTTTAGGTTCGAGAAATATCTCTTTTGTAGTTTTCTTTGACGTGACCTAACATGTCAAGGTTTTCAAGCTCAAGGATAGTCCTCGAAGTTTTGGAGAGACCTACCATAGAGTAAGGGTTTGACTCAAGGATTGCATGCCCGAGGGTTCTGAGTTTGACTTAAGAGATGTATTATCGAGGTTTTGTTATAACTTAGACCACTTGGTGTGGCATCAGGGTTTTGGACTTGATTTTTGTGCCTTAGAGGTTCTTTGGGTGACATGGCATGTTGTTCGGGTTTGGATAGTTTGAGGTTCTTAGAGGTTCTTTGGGTTTATGGGTTTGGATAGGATTCAGATGGGATCAAAGCTCATATCGTCCGTTTACAACCCTAATAATAATACTATTATTACCGTATTATTTACTCTTCTTTCTTGTTTTTCCTCAACTTGGCAAACAAAAACAGACATCGAAACCAAGAGAGTCACAAACCATTCCTACTTAGAGAGCAACCAATAATCAGGAAGGCATCATGATCTGCCATTCAAAATCACTCACCTTGCTACTCAATCCTTTCTTGCTCACTTGATGAGCAAACACAATTTCACTCTCTAATGACAGAAGCTTGATGTCCTCCATACCAAAAGTCAAAAAACCATCCATAGCTTGCAACTTCATTAAGGACTGGCAGCCACTGCAGCTACTGCAGACCTTTCCTACAAATTAGAGCCTCAAAACAACCCCAACATTATTACCAGCACTAGTAGGCAGATAAGCTGAAGCCACTCTCACAAGAATTGACCTCTCCCACACTCATTACTAGGAGGCTTAAAGAAGGCATTGAAATTAAGCTCAAGAAATCCATTTTATAGGGGTAACAACTGTGACAGAGGAGCTTCAGCAACTTTTATTGACCTTGGAAATTAAAAAAATTAATGGAAATAATAAACAGAGCTCTCTGTGAGACAAAAAAAACCATCCCATCTGTGACCATTAAAAAGATAAAGGAGTCATGACTTCCCTTCCACAAGTGAAGCCTCCCAAGGCTCTCCTTTAGATACACTCGATTGGAATGGGAGCCTGCGTTTATCTTTGTTCGAATATCATTACCTGTAAAAGAAATCAAACAAAATATTTCATAGGACAGAGCTTCCACTTATATTGAGCTAATGAACATTGACAAAGCAAATGAACAATATCTTCTTCGTCCCTCTCCACACAACACAAACATAGAGAGGGAGCTTCTCATGACTGCATTGTCATAGGAAGAATTGAACCTTTCTAGGTGTTTTGAGCTTCCAAAAACCAAATTTAAAATGGAAATGAATTTCATAAAATTTAAAATTTCAAAATATACCCTTTTCAAATCTCAAAAAATTTGGTGAAATTTGTAAATTGATTAACTTGACAAGTCTGTGACTTGCTCAATTTGTCCTTAAAAGACAAGATTGCAAGTCCAATTAATTAAGGATAAAATGATAAGAAGAAAAATATTTTTTTATAATTAAATTTCCACTTATTCCAAAAACACAAACGGATTCATCAAATCCGATCCAATTACTTTTACTTTTCCAAATTCAAATCCCAAGAGGATTTGATTTTAAACACAATATTACTTTTCTAGATTCTTTTGTTGAACCAAGTGAAAAGTCACAGCAAATTCTTTCATCTTCCTTGTGAATTATCCTTCTAAGTTGGTTTTTTTTATTTTGTTAATTTTTTTTTTTTTTTTACATTTTGAAAAATTAGAAAAGAAGGGATTTTGAATACGTACACACCCACTCAAAAAATTGAGCGCTATACTAACTCAGCCACCAGTTAATGCCCAAATGATCATCAACCAAAGTCATATTACAAGGCATTATCTGATCCACATTAGCAGAAAGCAATGGCTGATGAATTAAATGCTTTAAAAACAAATAACCCATACATGGGATGATGATCAGATTATGGGCGCAAATTTCAGGATTTCCATCAAGAATGATAGACCTCATGTGTATAAAAACAGTCCCTTTTCATTGAGTGAATGTGAAGAAAGGAACACCAAGGATATTGTTTTTGAAATTACCTTTTTTATTCACATAGCACGCGTAATCTTTACTTTTTCCTCAATTTTGTCGAAAAAACACTTTCGTAGACTTGTAGCCTTCTAAAATGATATAATTACTAATGATCTTGCAGTCCAGTGGTATTTCATTTATCTCGTAGATGGCACGGTATAAGTCCCCAAAAAATAAAGTAGCGCGTACAACTATAAATTTTTATATTTTATTATAGAACCTTTTTGCCAATCCTATTATTCGATACACATAATAGATGAATATATTACAAACAATTTATATATGTTAAAATCTTATCATAGGTGGCAAAAGGTGAAATACACACACTAAATTTTTATATTTTATTATTTAACTTTTTTGCCAATCCTATTATTCCATACACATAATAGATGAATATATTACAAACAATTTATGTATGTTCAAATCTTATCATAGGTGGCAAAAGGTGAAATACACACACATTCACAAATGCCGACTATGAAATTTGAATCTCTCACCTCCTCTTTGAGGAAGGAGAGGCTATATCTCCACAAAATATGCATTTTCATATCAATTTTTATCTAATTGCAACAAGTTAGCATTGACAAGATCGTGATTCTATCCTAAAATCCAATTTTCCAATTATCAATTGGTTTGTTGTTAATTTTATTTTTAGATAGGTTCAATTTGGTTGATAATTGTTTCTGCTAAAGTGTGTCATGGCTTCTTGTGAGGGGACTGAGTTCCTGAAATTGTCCATCTCTGATCAGAATTCCCATTAAAGACATGATGTCACATTTCAACCCAACTTAGGGTTACTGAACATGGATATACATAGATCTCTAGATAGTAGTTACAAGTTGGTGCTATGCAATTTAATTAAGTGATAGATGTGCCAAGAGAGCAAGGCATGTGGGATGACCTAACCACTGAGTGAATGAAGGAAGCAAATACATGCAATTGATGTCAACATCTTTGTTTCATAGCAATACTTGGGATATTGCGTAATCAAACAAAAGGTATAACAGTCAAAAATAGCAGCTATAAATTCATGAGAGAGAGAGAGAGAGAGAGAGAGAGAGAGAGGGAGGGACAGAGGGAGAGTGTGTGTGTGTGTTTGTGTGTGTGTGTGTGTGTGTGTGAGAGAGAGAGAGAGAGGGAGAGAGGGCATGGGCCTGTAGATCACATACCCTTTGTCTCTTGACCTTACAGTGAGGCATAAGGGTGGGTTTTCTATGTTTAGCGAATGTGATGTGAGCCATGTACTCATGTCCACATGAACTACCACAATAAATATAAATAGCTCTATATCTTCTACACAAATAATGATAATCATAAAAATCATACTCATCATTTTTGGGTGTAACCAGAGATGGAAATAAGTAATTCTAAATTATCAATTACCAAAATTAAAACTGAATAACCATATTGGAAAAAAGTGTATTAAACAGAGCTGATGATATATTTTGCAGATTGTATATCAATAATCAATCCCTGGGACTAGTACTTTATATCATCTTCATTAGCAAAGTTACACAGCATTTTCTAGCTACTTCACTTTTCTTTTCATTTTTTTCTCCAAAGAAGACAACAATACTAAACTCTTGTGGGCCCTACCTATTGCTAAGCCAGAAGGCTAAAAAGAAGGCTACAAAAGCCCCCCAAAGGCAACCACTCCAACCCAACCCCTCCCCTCCCCCTTCTCCTGCTACCATCCTTTTTCTCTCTGAGACATATCACAAACACTTTTACCATTTACCATCCAATACACTCTGCCTCTCGCCACCACCATGGCTAGACCCCAACAGCGATTCCGCGGAGTTCGTCAGCGCCATTGGGGCTCTTGGGTATCCGAGATACGCCACCCTTCACTGTAATTCCCGTCTAGGAATTGCTTTTCTAAAATGTTTGCTATGATACTTTTTTGCACTAAAACAAAGTGTTCGATGTTACACTTTTTTACTAAACAAAACGTTTTGTAATCTGTTTATGTGCACAGGAAGACCAGAATATGGCTAGGCACATTCGAGACAGCGGAGGATGCTGCACGAGCCTATGACGAAGCTGCCAGGCTTCTGTGTGGACCAAGAGCGCGAACAAACTTCGCTTACAATGCCAATGAATCTCATTCATCTTCAACCAAGCTACTCTCTGCTACTTTGACAGCCAAACTACAAAAATGTCACTTGACATCTCAACAGATGACCAAGAAACCTGTACTTGACGACACCCAATATGCCCAATCTTCCCATGTTGCCACAGGCAATAGCAGCATTGCAGGAGAAAATGGCAAAATGGATATCGGATCACAGTGGAATTGGGAAGGCAATGAAGTTAAAGTAGAGATTGGCCAACAATTCCAGCCTCTTGAGGATGATCACATAGAGCAGATGATAGAGGAGTTGCTTCATTATGGTTCTATTGAGCTCTGCTCTGTTGTGCAGAACTAAGCTATGTAGTGCAGCATTTTCTCTTTCCTAGCAACTCCATGACAATGTTTCAAGTGTCATAGTTACCATTATTGTAATATATAAATTATAATAAAGCTAATTAGTACACATTATGAAGTGACATAAAATAAGAAAATACATCTATGTCATGGTCTAGATTATGTTTTTTTTTTTCTTTTCTTCTCTCTTTATATGAGTTCAATCAAAGATAAAGCAAGCCAACATGAGAAGGTGTGAAAGGTGAGGAAATTAAAAGGTTTAATAGTTTTTTTACACTTGATGGGCTAGAATGTTTGGCCTTTTAGGCCTCTTGGGAATGAATCAGTTGGTCCTATTCTGAGTTACAAGGAATTTTGAAGGCTTTTGGATGAGTACTCAATCTAAACCATTGGCTGGAGCTAGCTTTCACATGTTGATGCTTTGTCACATTTGGTGTTGCCTATGCCTGCCCTGTGACCACCATTAACCATTAATAAATCAAAGAGGATTCACATCAAGATAGGGGTGACAACAAAATACCAACCCCACCCCCAACTTTGGATTCACATTCTTAGCTTCCTTGCTTGTAGAAATTGATAGTGGGTTTAATTTGTCATGTACACTTGATAGAAAAGACAAGCATGAAAGGAATTTTTATACACGAGAGAAATTAACCCCAATGATTTCTCCTTTTTTTAATATATATATATTTTGTAAATATACCAAATCAAAATTTTCAGTTAACATGGTAGAAAAGTTGAAAATACCACCCACTAACCTAGTCGATTAGACACTAACCTAGGCGATTAGACACGCTAATTGCCTAGGTTAGTGGGTGATATCTTCAACTTTTCTACCATGTTAATAGAAAATTTTATGGACCCACTGTGAGTAAATTGGATAATTCATTAACTATCAATATGATAAAAAGTAATCAATATGATAAAAAGTAATACGTCATCCTCTTAAAAAATTAAATTCTCAAAAAGAAATACTTATTTTGGGACAAAGAGAGTATTTTAATTTATATTATAGTAGCCTAGTAGGCAATTAATGAATTGTGTGTGTGAGTACTTGCCTAATATAAAAAATAAAAACTTTTAACCCATACCATGTAAAAAAAGAATTTTATTTTCTGTTTTTTATCTAAGCAAAATAGGTGAGAGAGGACTTGAATACCATCACTCCTGTTATTGAATAATGCCAAAAAAAAATAATTCAATTTAACAAAATCTCTTTCTAACTACTTAAAATCGACAAAGTGACATCAAGAAATGTCAAGCTATACATGTTGTCAATATGAACGAGGTTAAGAGAATTTGGACTCATGATGTACTTTCTCAACGAGTGTCCAAGTTTTCTCACCAGCTTTTTTACATGACAATAGACTACACTACACCTCCACACATCCCTTCCAGCTTTGCCTCTTTTGATTCTTCCAAAATTAACGCTACTGACCCACATAGTCATCCCAAGTCCAGATACTGTTTTTCTAGGACACCCTCAATTGCTATTAGAGTGAGTTTACCATTCATATAAGCCACTTGAAGGACATGCAACCTTGTATCCCTCTATTTAGGAGAAATTTTTATATACCAATCACAACTGTACGTACAAGTAAATATGTTAACAATAGAGTTATATGCTTTTGTTAGACAATATCCAAATCATACACTATAATATTGATACTTTTGGCAAGACCTTCTCACTTTCCAAAACAAAATTAACATTTGATATTATTTTGCAAAGAATGACCGAAATCGAACTTAAATTCATGTCTCAATTTTTGTAAGCCTGATTATTATTTTTTTTTTTACATTGAATCAAATAAGGACTCATAATTGTGATCTCTCATGATGTGGCTGAAAATATTGACTGTTAGACTATACTTGTTTATTTTTTTTCTTAAATATAGTTGATAAATTGCTCATGCACTTGATCTAATAATTGCTACTTCCACTAAATTTTTGCTGGTTACATGCACTAATTGTTATCTTGGTCCATGTGATGATTAATGTGATGTTTGGAAATTGATTATTGTCCCCCACAACCATCTGAAACAAAAGTCATCCACGTCTAATGATTTTGTCATACTTTTTAGTTCAGCCGAGTTGATTAGATGATTGCATGTTCCTATGCTAGTGAATATTTAGTGAGTGTACCAATCATGTGTTTTTCCTTTTGAAAGTTGGTAATACTCTTTCTCTCTCTCTGACACGCGCGCGCACACACATTCTCTCTCTCACACATATTTAATTTAGGTTTTGCGCTCACTCGCTCGCTCTCTCTCTCTCTCTCTCACACACACACATGCATTCTCTCTCTCACACACATTTAATTTAGGAATTTGCAAAATCACACTTGCGTATCAGAGGAGAAAAACTTCTTACGCATCCAACAATTTATTACCGCACGTATATTACACGCACGAACTCATATATTACACATATGATCAGAATGTGCTTATTACGCGATGCAACGGATGTAAGAAAGTTTTTCTCCTATTAGAGAAGTTAAGAGAGAGGCTCCATTCTTCTCAATTAATATGGTCAAATGAGAACTATGGATACACACATTACTTACTACATTACTTTTTATTTCATGAGAATATTTAATACAAACAATATTTGTCTACTACTTAGGTGTGAAGATGTGTCTATTTCTTACAAATAACGTGTCATGATATGATTGGACGATATTAATAAATTTTGTAATTAATTAGTTGTATATTTGTCTAATTAGTTGTATTCACCCAAATAATAATAATAATTCTTTAATTTTACATTTCACAAAATTTCAAATAATAAAATAAATTATAGTCTAAGATGATATTTCAATTTATAATATAAAAAAGCCATAAAGTGTAAAAGTGGTCAAAATTTAATGATAATTCATTGAATTTCAAGTCGAATGTTGGAGGAACAAAATTAAAAGCCATTTACCCTCACAAACCCTAAAATTATACATGTAAATCAATCCCATCATTAGTATTGGATCTGTTTATCATTGGATTTAGATACATAGGGATATTCAACAAGCCATGCAAAAAAAAAATGCTCATAAAGGTCTGTTTTAAAGCCAAAGCACTTTCCCCCATTAATATTTTAAAATACTAAAGACCTTTAAGTCATGGCTGGTAATCTTGTCCATGGAGTAGTTTCTAGAAAACACTAGAACCCAAAATTCTACGTCTCACTCTCTCTCATACATATATATATATATGTATGTATGCATGTATAATTATTTAATAGGTATGGTATTTGTTATTTTTCTTACTCTTTCCCATCCCCCTGCATGTGCAACCATGTTATACAAATAGTGTGCTCCCATACGCATGTTAGTAGGCACATGGACTTATACCTATACTCCTTAATATTGTGAAGTGGTATGTATGTATGTGAATGCCTTGTTATCCAAATAATATTGTACCTATATGTATATGCATACTATCTTGCATGTTTCGTGTGACTAAGATTAGGGCTGCAAGTTGGGCTAACCCAACTTAGCCCAGTCTCAATCCAACCTCAATTCGAATTGGATTGGGCCAACCCAACCTGAATTGTAATTAATATGGGTTAAGATCATAACCCAGTCCGAATATTTTCGTGCGGGTTGAGTCGGGTTGACGGGTTGAGATTTTTAAATTTTTTTTTTCTTTTTTAAAATATATATATATATATATTATATATTTGATTATATTATTACTAAAAAAACAAATTATATATATATATAATATTATTTTTAGGGCAAATCATTTAAGCCTCCCCAATCGCCTCCATCTTAGATCGCATTCAGGCACGACCGTCAGAGGTACTTGTTGAGCCGGCCTGGCCGTAGAGCCGTCTCCAGCGACGCTGAGGATTGCCATTCCTGGTGCATGGATCTCTGAACTTGCTCTCTCTCTCTCTCTCTGCAAACTACAAAATCTACAAGAATCAGAACTTCAAAACCCATATATTTCAAAATCTGTCTGCAAGAATCAAAAGTTCAAAACCCATGTCGGTATATAATTTCAGATTGTTCAAAAAATCAAAACCCAAATATTTCAGTTTCCCAGAACTTCAAAAAATCAACATGAGCCAGATCTTTCAGGTTCAGTTTCAGTTTCAGTTTACATGGGACGGCGGTAGATAGAGAAAGAGAAAGAAGAGAGAGAGAGAGAGAGAGAGGAGAAAAAAAAATCTCAAATATATGAACCCAGATCTTAAAAAAATCAAAAAGTCAAAACGCAGATCTTTCAGTTTCAGTCCCAGATCTTTCAGTTACATGGGGCGGCAGTAGAGAGGAAAGAGAAAGAAGAGAGAGGAAAGAGAAAGGAGGAAAAAAAAAAAAAAAAAAAAAAAAGAAGAAAAATTTTTATTTTTTTATTTTGGGTTCGGGTTGAGCCCAAGACCAACCCGAATATGTCTAAGTTTTGATAAAATTCAACATGAACATGAACCCGATTTGTGAACTTAAAGTCCGGATTTAAAATTTCGGGTTAGGCTTGGGTTGGGCTGGATTAGCCCGCCCAAATTGCAGCCCTAACTAAAATACACAAGCAAGGTTTTATACAATTTTACAATGTTGGTACTCCTACCATCTTAAGATGAAGGTTGCTAGTTGTTCATTCCCGTGGCAATGGATCGAATTTTAATTTAATGTCAATTCGAATTATGTAAAAAGTACATTTTCAAATAATTGTGGTGCGTGAAAATTCTTTTTAAAAAACAATCGTGTCACTTACATTTTTTTTTGGCTCAAGGTATGCAAAATAATAATAATAATAATAAAAATAAAAATCGACTAAAGAACTAAAGGCCTTATAGTTATGTTAGTTACAGTAATTATTATTATTATTTTTATTTAAACTCAATAATTGGTTTATTTTATTATTATTTTTATAAAAAAAAAAAAATTTTAATTATTTGGTACAACCAGCTATCACATTCTCCAAAATAATCTTAAAGATTTCTTAAAACATGACATGTTTTCTAATATTGATGTGACAAAATTATTTTTAAAGTTATAAGTCTTAAGAGGCAAAGAGGCAATTAAAGTATTAGATTTTATAAAAAGTTTAGGTTATTATTTTCCAAATTTTTGAATTACATATATTATTGATTATCACACTTATAGTTGCATCTGTTGAGATAAGTTTTTCAAAAGTTGAAGCTGATCAAATCCTACCTACGATCGATGATATGTTCGATAAACTTGATTGTAACATTTTAATTGATAATTTTGTATTTCAAAATGCAAGATGGTCGCATTTACTTTAATATGAAGTTGAATTTTAATTTTTGTGACTAAGATGTGTTGAATATTTCTTTTAAATTTGTTATTTTTTATGTAAACTAAATTGTAATCTTTATAAAGCACCAATAGCGGGTTTTGTTTTGTGTGTTTTAAACGTTAATATATTTTATATGCTTATCGTGTAATTTTAATGAAAATTTTGTTCTCTTATAAATTTTTTGTGCTTGTGAAACCTAATGTACAAAGGGCCTCCCATTTGAAAGTTCACCTAAGACCTTTCAAAATTTTGAGAATCTCAAATGCCAGCCCTGATATATATATATATATATATATATATATATATATACACTCGCTTGTAACTAATCTAATAGTGGACATTATTCAGTGACTTAACTCTCCGAGCATGTGCGTATTCAAAACATTCTTCCCTTAATTTCTCCTATTTTTTCCCAAGATTAAAAATAAAAAAATAAAAAAAATAAAAAATAAAAAATAAAAAAGTTTAACTAATTTAGTATTACAACATAAGTGTATGGCTTTATTCAACCGTGCAATTACGAAAGGCAAAAAATGAGCATGACAAATTTATTTATTCATCTTTTATGTTCTTATAATTATTTAACTTTATAAGCCCAATCCACCTACACAGATAAATCTATTATATACATAGGTTAAATAAAAAATCGTGGTCTCAAATGTAATATTAAAAGCTTTGTGGTTTTAAAAATATAATCTCCTCTTACATTAAATTATTCATTCTGACTAATGTGACCACCATATTTGGAATTTCAGGATTTTATAGGAATTGAATTTCAAAATAAAACTTGTTTGAAATTATGGGATATTAAAAGAAAATGATATAATTTACCAAAATTACCTTTTTAAAACGGTTTTTCTCTAGCCCTAAAAAATTCGGCTAAAAATAATATGTACATATATACATGAAGTTGGTTACGAAAAAAAAAGGATTACCCTTAAAAGGAAGTTTACATAAGAAGTCTGGGCTGTTTGGCAGGGTTTCTTGTAGCCTCAAAATGGATTTCTAAGCTCAGAAAATTCTTTGCTAATAATAAAGAGCATTTGGTAAAATTTTTGAAGATGGACTTTTAAAAAATTTCAGTAGTTTAGAAACCCGATTAACCAAAGCCAATAAAATATGTTTTCTGATTAACTTTTCGTAAGGTACACACTTTTTTAAGTAATAAATATAAAATTCCTATATTGTCTATTATTTAACCTATTTCTATTTCTAAATTACATTGCAAACTTTTATCTTTCTCTTTCTGTACCATCTTCTTCGTTGGTTCTCTACCCAACAAATAAAAAAGTAATAATAATAATGTTAGAGCAAAATTTCACAGAACTTTATTGAAAAAAAATATGTTGAAAAATGATTCAATAAAGAGATTGATGAGTTGCAAAAAAAGTTCTATTGACTTCTATTTGACTTCAAAATCTGAAGAGTTTCAAGATTTATAAACTCTCATCCAAAATTCAAACCTTTGTAAAATTCTAAATAACTTTTCTTTCTCTTAAAATATATATACACACACATGCACGCACAATATATATATGTGTATATAATTTTTATATATTTTTTGAAGGCTACCCGTTCGATGTGAAAGTGATTTATAGTTATAAATAAGAATAAAAATGGGATATTTTTGCTCCCATATCTCCTTTGCATTTTATTTTTCTTTCATTTTTCTATCTCTTTCAACTTCTATCATGTACTGAAGAAAAAAAAAACTTCAACCACCATGTAAATTGGGTAAATTTGTATACTTGAAGTCTTGGATCTTCATTATGCCAATTTATCGTTGATGCATAATTTCACTCCATCACTTTAATTATGATTTTTTTTTTTTTTTTTTCCTTCTAGTCTTTGTACATCAATCCCAATTAGGGATGGCAATTTGACTCACCCCGCACCACCCGTTTAGGTAGAGAAATTAAAGTAATAAATGAATTTGATTAAAAGGAAAGTTGTAATGGTGAAGAACTGAAGATGAGGTGGAAAAAAAAGAGCAAATATATTTTAACAATAAATAAATTATAGTTTTAAACGGTACAGGGCGAATACTTGCTAGGGTAAAAATGTTAAACGGTTGCGGAAATAAGTGGAAAGTCCCCGGCTTTTATGATATGGGGGGGGGGGGGGGGGAGGGACGGGGGCAGGGTTTTTAAACGATTGCGGGAGCGGGGGAGGGTACACCCGTCCCGTTGCCATCCTTAATCCAAATTCAACTCTTTGGTAGTATTCATGATTTATTAAAAATATAATTGTTAACTTAAATTATGTTAAGAGTTAAAAGAGTTTCAAAAAATTTATCCACTAAATAATTTTTTTATTTTAAATTTCTTTCATCAAAATGCATTTTTCAATGCCTCCCCCGAACAGATATCTTTAACGTATATTTTTTTTATAAGAACTTAAACCCTCACCAATCTTTTCAAAAAGGCCAAAAGTACCACCAGGTTCTATATATATAACCTTTAGTGATTTTTAAACCATTAAAAAATAAATTAGAGTGAATTGGGCTCGATTTTCATAGAGTATTGTTTTCTTAAAAATCATCGAATTTCTGTAACATTAAAAACATTTGTTTAGATACTCATTCTCATATTCCCCTTTGTGCATTGATGAGAATGAATCGAATGATATGTCCCATCACCATTTGCAGATACATGATTTTATTCAAAATTTTCATGAAATTAACATTGGAGGTAACTTTCTTGGTAAACATGAGCAATATAAGTGGTACATAGAGATGCACCAATGCAAAAACTGGTAGAGTAATTTTGTGCATAGCATAGTTATATATATACATATATAATCATATATCTGCGTGTACCTGATTTAATAGTAAATATTATTTAGTGGTCTACCGGGTAAATTGTCTAAATTCCCGAACAAGTGTGCAATATTCGAGTCCCTCGTCTCCTTAATTTCTCCCCCTTTTTAGCTGGTATAAAAAATAGAAAAGAAAAAGAAATTCAACTAATCTAGTAGTAAAACGATAAGTGCTTGGCTTTATTCAATGGTGCAAATAACAAAGGGTAGAAAATGAGCATGGCAAATTTATTATTGATCTTGTATGTTCTAGTAATTATTTTCAAATTTTCATCCTAGTAAAATGTTTTTCTTTTAACTTCATATCAGCCATTTACCTAAAACTTGTCCGAATCAGAATACTACATGCAGTTACTCAACACTTGTTTAGTGGTTAATTTTTAGCCCTGTCACATATCGGCGGACCTACATGTGCAATGGTTATAATTTTTATCCCTATCACACATGGGCGGAGCTACTTATGGGCCACGGGTTATGGCCCTTTGGCCCCTTCCAAATTTTTAATGTAAAACTCCACAGGTTGGCACCCCAAATTAAAATAGACTTCCATTGGGTTTAGTTTCTTAAGCCCAATCCACAGGTCTCAAATGTAATATTAAAAGTTTTTTGGTTTAAAAAAAAAAATATGACCTCCTCCTACATTACATTATGCTCTGGTTCGATGAAAATAAGTAGAAAAAGAAAAAAAAAAATAGAAAATAAAAGAAAAGTGAAGTGAATAAAAATAAAAAATTATTTTCTAACATGCATTTAGTTAACATGAAAATTGTAAGAAAATTATTTATTATTTTGAATAACATTAAAGTGAAAAGAAAATGATTGAATTATCAAAATTACCCTTATGATTTCAAATATTACAAAATAAATAAGTTTGAATTTGATGGTGTCTATTTTCTACCTAAGAAAATTTTATGAAGTATTATTTACATAAAATTCAATCAATCATTAAATATTTGCACGATTAAATTAATGGGTAAAAAAGGAATGTTAAATAAAAAGACACTCATTTCAGGTAAAAATTTTATGCGAAAAGTTTTGAGAGAAAATAAGCAAGTATGGAAACAAAATTTTCTATTATATTTTTTTCCTTTCTAACTTATGTGACAAAAAAATTTAGGGATTCGAGTAATTTGAAAAACTTCCGACTTATGTGACCACTATTTGGAATTTCAGGAATTGAATTTAATAAAGAAACTTGGTTGAAATTATGGGATTTTAAAAGGAAATGATTAGAAATGAAAAATAAAAAAAATAAAAAACTTGAGCGAATTTAATTAAATTTTGTAACTACTTAACTTACAAAATTAAAATGACTTTCCTTTCGTCCTATAATATTTTTTTAAAAAATCTTTTAGATTTTCCATTCTAAAATTATACAAGATTTATTTCTTTTTATAAATTTTAATTTATTCTACTCTTATTTGTATTGTGCATGAATAAATAATCAATCAGGAATTTTGAATTAGGTAATTTCCTTACCCCAGCATGATTTGTCCAATGTGGAGTCTATGATTTGGCGTGTAGCATACAAATGGTGACTGAACTCAGTCACAGTCACACACGAGTCCCGCTCGTTCGTCCAAAGGGGTTTAGGCTGTGATGACCGATGAGTCAGTACTCTCAGTAGTCTCGGTAACTGATATATCTATATATATATATATATATATATATATATATATATATAGATATATGTATATACACGAAGTTCGTTACAAAAGGAAAGGATCACCCTTAAAATGAAGTTCATATAAGAAGGGAATCAAATCTCTAACGAATTTGCTGTGGAGCTGGACACTTTTTTTTAGAGAGAGAGAGTATACATATATACATATAGAGAGAGAAAGAGAGAGTACATACAGAGAAAGCGAGGTAGGTTTGAAGTCGTCATTTGTCAAGATGAGCCAATATATAAATCTAGCTATATCTTCTTCTGCATTGCAGTTTCTAGTTTTTTTCTGATTTTTTTAGAGAAAGATAGTGCGTGTGTGTGTGTGTGTGTGAGAGAGAGAGAGAGAGAGAGAGAGAGAGAGAGAGAGGGTGTGTTTTAGAGGGAGAACATGGCGGACGAAGGCATCATCGGCTGGGAAGAAATCAAGAACGAGAGCGTCGATCTTGTAAGATCCATTCTCTTCTTTTCTTAAATCCTCTGTTTTCATTGCAATTCCTTGATCTCAAATCTCTGTTCATACCACACGCACAATATTTGTTTGTGCTGTTCTAGTTTTGTTACATCAATTTGGTGAATACTTGTGATGAAATATATATATGTTTAATATATTGATCGATCATGTTCTTGAATCACTTCACTTTCTTGGAACGTATCTTGATCTTTACTATCTTTTGGGGTTTTTTACTTTGTATGACATGAATGCATTATGTTTGTATATAAGCAACTGTTAGTTTGGGGCGTTTGATTCCTAACAAACAATTACTTTAATTTAGTAATTGGTTCTTTATTTTTTCTTTTCCTTTTCTTTATTAATTCCAATGCCTTGACATCATATCAAAATGGTTCAAGAGGTTTTTATACACGTCACAGAGCATATTATCCTTGTTCTTTAATATATCCAATTATGTGTGAACCTAGAATCGGTTATACAATGCTATTATCCAGTTACGTTCTCTTATTAATTACTAGTTACTTCAACTGAGTCATGTTGCAGGTCTATGAAAATAGACTAATTATATCCGAAAGCTTAATAATTGTAATATCGATGTAGTATAATTTTAAGTAGTATAACTTTTATAGTTTGGCTTTGACAAAAGGACATTATGTGATAGAGCTGTGCAAGTGCGCATTGCTTATTAGGCGTTTAACAATAGAATATGGTTTAGATCAAAATTCTTGATTCAAATGGACCTGTTTATTGAGAGCCTGTAACAATAAAATATTTGATGATGGTATGTATATACAGGAGAAAATACCGATTGCGGAAGTTTTTGAAAAGTTGAAGTGTACAAAAGATGGATTGACAAGCGAGGGAGGGGAGCAGAGGCTTCGGGATTTTGGCCCAAACAAGTTAGAGGAAAAAAAGGCAGGGTATTCTGTATTTAAATCTTTTCACTAATCTTCATTATTAGTAGAAATGGAAAACTAATGATTCCACAACAATATTGAAACAGGAAAACAAGTTTCTCAAATTCTTGTGTTTTATGTGGAATCCTTTGTCATGGGTTATGGAGGTTGCTGCCATCGTGGCCATTGGTGCAACAAATATTGGGGTACCTCTCTCTCACCCTCTCCCCTCTCTCCCCTCTCCCTCTCTCTCATTTCAAAAAACAATTGCAGGGTAAACCTCCAGATTGGCAAGATTTTGTTGGTATAATAGTATTGCTTTTCATCAACTCCACGATAAGCTTTGTAGAGGAAAACAATGCAGGAAATGCTGCAGCTGCACTAATGGCGGGTCTTGCTCCCAAAACAAAGGTAATTTTACATTATAGTGGCCAACAAGGCGTAAAATGAAGTTTGACAATCCTTAAATAAAAACAACTGAGTGTATGATGATATGAGTTTTGTATTCATTTTGACTAATTAAGGTTTTGAGAGATGGAAGATGGAGTGAGGAGGATGCAGCAATCCTGGTACCTGGGGATGTGATCAGCATCAAATTAGGAGACATCATTCCAGCAGATGCCCGTCTCCTGGAGGGAGACCCCCTTAAGATTGACCAATCTGCCCTTACTGGTGAATCCTTGCCTGTAACAAAAAACCCAGGTGACGGAGTATACTCAGGGTCAACATGCAAGCAGGGTGAAATTGAGGCTGTCGTGTTTGCCACTGGTGTCCGCACCTTCTTTGGTAAAGCTGCTCACCTTGTGGACAGCACCAATCAAGTAGGCCATTTCCAAAAGGTACTACACTGTATTACTGACTATAGTGGCCAAATTTGAGAATTATTTGCTAGAAATATGAAGTAATGGAACTAAGTAGGAATAGTATCATGATTAAGTCAAAATATTTTGAGAATAAATTTGGGCAGGAGAAAAGCAACTCATATTTGTCAGGAAGAAGAAGACGAGATTATGACATTATTCTCTCATATTTTTTAAAATTCTTAACGGTTCTTGATAAGTTCTATGTTATTCAACGTTAATAGAGTCAGGTTCAAAATTCTTGGTGATGGTAAAATGGAACTGAACTTTTTAAATATTTCAAAAAGATTTGCCACATTGTTACAACCTTACTTGCAAAAGGTACTATATTTGTTTCTACCAGCCTTTCTCAGTTTATACTGATTACTGTTTTTCCCAACTTGCAATGGATGGTGATGATTTGATCAGGTGTTGACAGCAATTGGCAACTTCTGTATATGTTCCATCGCGGTGGGAATGATTATAGAGATGGTGGTCATGTACGCATGTCAGCACCGCAAATACAGGGATGGTATTGATAATCTGTTGGTTCTTCTAATTGGAGGTATTCCTATTGCCATGCCAACGGTGTTGTCAGTGACAATGGCTATTGGATCCCACAAGCTGTCACAGCAAGGTGCTATCACCAAGAGGATGACAGCTATTGAGGAGATGGCTGGCATGGACGTGCTTTGTAGTGACAAGACCGGAACTCTCACCCTCAACAAGCTCACGGTAGACAAGACACTAATTGAGGTTGGTAATTAAGTTAAATGTGAATGAACAGGTTGTGGCTTATGATTGATCTGAAGTGTTAGGTTATGTGATAGTAAATAAATAATGAGTAAATATTGAGAGGAGGAAAAACCGAAAGAAGAAATCAACTGATCAAAATGTCATATTTTTTGTTATATTAATTAATTGATCATTGAAGCAATTATGTTAATAACAGGTATTTGCGAAAGATGTGGACCAAGAAACTGTAATTCTGTTCGGTGCCAGGGCTTCTAGGGTGGAGAATCAGGATGCTATTGACGCTTGTATTGTTGGAATGCTGGCTGACCCCAAGGAGGTAATGTTGGAGGCGATACATGCATGTACATTAGGAACCAGAAGTTCAGTTAGTTCTCTGTGGACAACTCTAATTAGGGCTGATAGATGAAAGATCTACTTTTCAGTCGAGCTCAGCTCTTTAGTTTACACTTGAAGATCATTCAATGTCCTAAACAAGCAATGCTAAACTCAAGGTTCAAGCTTCATAACAGGCTAAGCTTTAGCAACATTAGGATTGCCTTGTGACTTCTGAACTGTTCAAGCAATTGTTTTACACAGATGTACTCGTTGCTTTTTTTGAGTACACCTATTAAAAACGTAAGGTGCGTTAAAGAACAGTAGGCTATTGTAGAAAGTTGCGATTATGAATTTAGATTTTCCTGGATAATTATTATTTTTTACTCGGATACGGATATCTGAGTAGCAACATGTGGGGTTTCATCTTGTGAAATATCATCATTGGACACAATAGAAGAAGCTCCTCGCCTGAAGCTCAAGATTGAGCTTGAACCAACTTGAGCTTAATTAGCTGACACTTGGCTCATGCATCTCGTTAACCTCAACTATCTAGAAAATCTCTAACTCCTCACTAGATATACACCTCCTCTCTTAAACCCAATATATATATAAGAGAGTTAGATATATGGTGTTTCAGCACCCAAGTTATTTGTTCTTATTGTCATCGACCATAGTCATTTCAAAACTTATGGAATTTTGACTTCTATGAATTTTTTTTCTACTGGAGTATTTTTCTCATCGAGTCACGAGGCATGTTAAGCATTTCATACATTCTGAACTTTATATATTTAGGTAAATGATATATAGACTTGATGATTATATTCTGCTTTATTATCTTGTGCTCTACAGGCCAGAGCAGGAATCACTGAGGTGCATTTCCTGCCTTTTAACCCAGTGGACAAGCGCACAGCCATAACATACATCGACTCTACTGGTGATTGGTTCCGAGTTAGCAAAGGTGCACCTGAGCAGGTAGTAAATAATCCTGCTAATCCTGATTAAGCCATTAATTTTGTCAGTATAGTTTCTGTTTTTCTTAATTGCCTTTTATCATAATCTCCACTAGATCATCGGGCTTTGCAACCTTAGGGAAGATGTGAAAAGGAAAATTCATGCAATCATTGATAAGTTTGCTGAACGGGGTCTACGTTCTCTTGCTGTTGCTCAACAAGTGAGTTGGTATTTTATTTTATTTTTTTCCACTGTATTGGTGCTTACCAATGAAGCTTGGTGCATAGAACTGAACTTGATTTGGTTGTTCTTTATGGTAACAGACAGTGCCGGAAAAGAACAAGGGGAGTGCAGGAGGGAAATGGGTATTTGTGGGTCTCTTGCCTCTTTTTGACCCTCCAAGACATGACAGTGCAGAGACCATCCGCCGTGCTCTTAACCTTGGTGTCAATGTAAAGATGATCACTGGTGACCAGCTAGCCATTGGCAAGGAAACTGGTCGCAGGCTTGGCATGGGAACCAACATGTATCCCTCTTCCTCCCTCCTTGGCCAGCACAAAGATGAAGCTTTCGCCAACCTCCCTGTTGAAGAGCTCATTGAGAAGGCTGATGGTTTTGCTGGCGTCTTCCCTGGTAAGTAAACTAAATCTTTGAGATTCTATTTGTTTGAATTTACTGGTACTAGCCACAGTTACAAGGTAGCATCGTGAAATGTATTTCTTGCGGGGATAAGACAAAATGGTGACTTATCGAAATTTTTTTGAGTAATTTTGGAAAATTGAATGAACCTAAGTAGGAGGGAATGTAGTGCATGTCAATTTTTTCTCTCTCTCTTTTAACAGTAGGAGGAAGAATATTGTTATCATTATTGTCTAAGAAATTTTAATAAATATTTGCAAAAATTTGTGTAAATTGTACTAAATCTACTGAGGGTGGAATGTAGAACACAAGTATGAAATTGTGAAGAAGCTACAAGAGATGAAGCACATCTGTGGGATGACAGGAGATGGTGTGAATGATGCTCCAGCTTTAAAGAAGGCAGACATTGGTATTGCAGTGGCTGATGCAACTGACGCAGCCCGGAGTGCATCTGACATAGTCTTAACGGAGCCAGGATTAAGTGTGATTGTGAGTGCTGTCTTGACAAGCAGAGCCATTTTTCAGAGGATGAAGAATTACACTATCTATGCCGTTTCCATCACAATCCGTATTGTTCTAGGTTTCATGCTCATTGCACTTATCTGGAAATTTGATTTCTCACCTTTCATGGTTTTGATTATCGCCATTCTCAATGATGGAACCATCATGACCATCTCTAAAGACAAGGTGAAGCCATCACCCTCGCCTGACTCATGGAAGCTAAGGGAGATTTTTGCCACCGGCATTGTTCTCGGCACTTACCTAGCTGTCATGACTGTTATTTTCTTCTGGGCAACTTGCGAGTCTGACTTCTTCACAGTAAGAAAATGCCATTAGTTTAATTAAAATTAAGGATGATTCCAAAAAGTTTCTTCATTGTTATTTTGATATCTCTGCTCTTGAGTTTTTCTAGTCCACATACTTATTCATAACTTTGACAGGACACCTTTGGTGTAAGGTCAATCAGGTACAACCCCAATGAGCTTACAGCAGCTCTCTACCTCCAAGTGAGCATTGTAAGTCAGGCACTTATCTTTGTTACTCGCTCAAGGAGCTGTTCTTTCATGGAACGTCCTGGGCTTCTGCTTGTGGCTGCCTTTATAGTGGCACAACTGGTAAGTTGTTCAAAATTTCAGTTTAGGTTTCTGATACTGTTTTAAATGTTACATACAACTGCATACTGGATCATGACCTAATTTTGCTTTTATTGTTGAAGGTGGCTACATTAATCGCTGTGTATGCAAATTGGGGATTTGCTAGAATCCATGGCATTGGCTGGGGATGGGCCGGTGTAATTTGGGTGTATAGTGTTATCTTCTACCTCCCTCTAGATATTCTTAAGATTCTTACCCGATATATCTTGAGTGGCAAAGCCTGGGATAATTTGCTTCAGAATAAGGTAGTTGGAGAAGTTTGTGAATTGAAACAAAATAATTTATGGCTAATCTGAAATTATTTTTGGCCGTCTTTGATTAATCCCTTTTCTTACACTGAATTATCCAGACTGCTTTCACAACCAAAAAAGATTACGGTAAGGGAGAGAGGGAGGCACAATGGGCTTTGGATCAACGTACGCAGCATGGCCTCCGTCCTCCAGCAACATCGGAACTCTTCAACGAGAAGAACAACTACTACCGGGAGTTGTCTGAAATTGCTGAAAGTGCCAAGAGACGTGCTGAAGTTGCAAGGTAACTACCTCCCTCCATAGCTGATCTAAATTAATGTCACTTACTGGTTTATGTTCAATACATCTTTTTCCTATTATATTTCAGGCTAAGGGAGAGCCTTACGCTCAAGGGGCATGTTGAATCAGTGGTGAGGCTGAAGGGACTTGACATCGAGACCATTCCACAACACTACACGGTTTAAGAGAGAGCCAGAGGATGATGACATAGCTGACATTTGACAGAAAGAATTTTGCAAGCGAATATATAACAACTAGGGAGCAATTTATTTGTTTTTCATTTTCGGTTTTGAATGATGATAAAGGACTGCCATTAATCCAACCTACAGATTCGTTGTGTACGATCTGAGGTTGGAAATATTTGTCAAATATTTTAACAATCTTCTCCAATATGTTAGTTACCTATATTTGCTGACCCCATTAACTAGATTCTTGCTTTTGAGTAAATATAGAATTTCTTTGTTTTTTTATGTGCTCCATATGATTGGCAAATTTACATTGATTTTTTTTTTTTTAGACTTAAATTCTATTGAACCTTGGCTCATATTGTTTTTGAATTTTTTTTTTTTTTTTATTTCAGGTAAAATATTCTTTTATTTTTACTTTGTCCGTGTTTGGTAAAAATCTATGTCGAGATTGAGGTCGAGTCCATCGGGACATGTAAAATAACTTGCCGAAAATTTATCGATAAATTATTTTTCTTAGGACAAACAAATACCAGAAAAAAAAAATATTTTATTTCCAAACAAAATAGGTCCTTCGTTCACTTGAAAACAAGATTCACATAAGCGGAATGTTATGAAAAAAGGATCGAATAGGAGTTTATGAGAACAAAGAGAAAAATAATGACATGAAATTAAAATGGCACACACACAAATGAGACAATGATTTATACGTGGTTCACCCTTACAAATAGGATTGGAAGAACATTTTGGTTCTTCCTCACAATAATCTCTCTTCTCACAACTTACTCAGCACTCAAGACATACCCCAAATAATATATGGTTTACATAAAGAGAAAAACCCACCCAAAGACAAGCTTCAAGTATCATTTGAAGATTGCACACACAAAAGATTTTCTCACACACACAAAACCAATATACTCTCATGATCCGAATTGTTACTCTTGGATGCTCTCGGATGCTTTCGGGTGATCTCATTGCATGAGATTCATTAGATATATATAGGCAGAAGTGACGCGGCAAATCAGCTTGTTCTCCAAGCACCAAATAGCTGTTATACACAAGGATGATTAGCTTGCAGCCGAAATTGTGGTCATTCATTAGATATATATAGGCAGAAGTGACGCGGCAAATCAGCTTGTTCTCCAAGCACCAAATAGCTGTTATACACAAGGATGATTAGCTTGCAGCCGAAATTGTTGACCACGTAATGTTAGATTCCAAAAGCTTCTTGATGAAGCTGCAATTACACCACCAATTGAAGATGCATGCGAGAGAAAGTGATGTCACACTTTTGCTGGTGTATGTTTCAATAAAGTGGGGCTGAAGTAATACTTGATCACCACAAAAAGGTAACTGGTGCATGCAAGTTGTCATGTCAAAAAATTTTAAGTCACAAATTACTCAACAAATCTTCACCTTAACGAAAATTCTCCACCTTAATGCAAATGATAAGACAACACCATAAAAAGTCTTCCTTTACCATAATATGAGTAATAACATCATCATCATCTCCAACACAAAACAAATTAATAAAGAATTTTAGTTAAGTTTGAGTCATCCTCAAACTTAACCCTCGGGCTTTCATTCTTCAACCCACGCATGTCTTGCATAGCCACAAGCATACCTCCAGTATTTGTATCAAATTCTAAATGCTTTCCAAAAACAACCTCAGAAATTCCAAGTTTGACATCTCCTTTAGCAACCTTCACCAACCACCCACAAACCACCGGCTGGTAATGAAAATTCATCTTCTCACCCTTGTGGAGAATAGGACGTCCTTAACTTTTCCTCGCATCTCTATTGTGACCAACTACTTGCCTCCCACACATCTTAATGACACTCGAATGAACTATATCATTGCCACCAAGATTATTGCAAGTCAATATCACATATGTCCTCATAGGTCTGCCTCCCTGTAAGGACTGCTGCAATTTCGGTTGCCATTTGAAAACGGATTTCTTTCTCCTACCATGTTGTGTAGTCCCCTCATAACCCTTTTGAGAACTAGGATCGTAACTCCTCTTTCTAATTCTTCTTTTGCCAAGACCTTGCTGAGTTAGTAGGACCTGTATCTTAATGTGCTAAAAATTGAAACTAATCTTGCCATCAAATTTCTCAATCTCGTATCTGGTCGACATCTCAAAAAACTCCCCAAAATATTTCTCGGTGAAAAGTACCGTATCTGTGTACAGTACCACACGAGATAACAGTATTTGTACACAATACACACGAAGCCAAGCTCTGATACCAGTTTGTTATGAAAAAAGGATCGAATGGGAGTTTATGAGAACAAAGAGAAAAATAATGACATGAAATTAAAATGGCACACACACAAATGAGACAAGGATTTATATGTAGTTCACCCTTACAAATAGGGTTACGTCCACGAGCGATGATGATTCGTATCACTATAAAGAAGAAGATTACAAACAGAAGAACGTTTTGGTTCTTCCTCACAATAATCTGTTTTCTCACACCACTCACTCACTAACAAAGAAGACTCACTCAATACTCAAGAAATATCCCAAATAGTATATGGTTTACATAAAGAGAAAAACCCACCCAAAGACAAGCTTCAAGTATCACTTGAAGATTGCACACACAAAAGGATTTTCTCACACACACAAAACCAATCTCATGATCCGAATTCTTACTCTTGGATGCCTCTCGAATGTTTTCGGATGATCTCTGTTGGCCTAAGGATTTTATCTAAAGGTCAATCTTATGTTTTGATGATTACAAACCATTAATGATGTTTATGTACTAATGTTTTCATTGAGTGATATATAGTTGATCAACATTCAATCCTCAATAATGAGCTAGAAGATCCATTTCAAGCATTCCAAAGCATTCCAAACATTTAAGCAATGGATTCAAGGAAGCCTCAAAGTACAAGAAATCAAAGAAAAACTCGGACTTCAAAGATCACACAAAGCATTTCAAAGAAACAAAGCAAGTCTTCATCAAGCCTAATCGATCATGGTCAAAGAATAAAGAAAAGGGTAGATAGGGTGGTGAGAGCTTAAGATTTAATGTCAAAGTTTATTTGAATATATTTTGAAGCTCAATTTTAGGATCATGCATACTCATTCTAAATTCAGTTTTAAACTGCCTAAAATTTTCTCATAAACCTTATATATGCAAGCTACATATAATAGGATGTGCATAGGTCTTAATTAAATTTATTTTTAGTCATGCACATTTTTGGAGCCGCCTCCACTAAAAAAAATGAGCCTACTCTTTTCACTCCAGTAGCATTTCTTGGCTCGTAAAACAATCTTTCAGAAATGAGCCTGCTCAATCTTTTTTTTTGAGCCGCCTCCATTTTAGAAAATGAGCCTGCTCAATCTTTTTTTTGAGCCGCCTCCATTTGAAATTGAGTCGCCTCCACTTCTTGTAAGGAGTCGGCTCCATTAAGGGTTTTGAACTACAACGGCAATTTTTCTGCATTTAATTCTTCCAACTACTTCTAACAGCTATATGGAGGTGCGAATAAATATTTATACAGAGGTGTTGTCTGAAAAACAGATATACACAACTTGAAAGAATATTTTAAGTAGAGCATTCAATATATATAAATTCCTTCTCTGAACTTTCATTGCGTACTGCATTCTCTCATTCTAGATCTTGAGCTTCATTAATATTCTTATCTACTCTAGCTGTAAGCTTACACTTATACATCTATATTGAGAGAGAGGTTCAATCTTGTATTTCAAATTACAAACTTTGCTATGATCTTGTAAAGGTTGGTGTGACCTAAAACGAAGTCTAGGAGAAGGGTGTTCTCCTAGCGAGGAAGAGAAGCAAGTCTTGCTTCAAATTGAAGGTTTGCTCTCCACCATTAAGGAGAAGCTTTAGTGAATTTGGGAAGTCTCAAGGGAGGACCTTGAGTCGAGGAGTAGGAGTTTCCGAACCTCGCTAAATTACTGGGTCACTGTTTGTAATCTCTTATCTCTATCTCTCTTACTTATGCAATATACTGCTTGAATATTTTAATTGATTTGTGCTTAACAGTTTATTAGATTTAACAATTTTAAATTACAAAAATTGGCCCTTGACTCTATTCACCCCCCCCTCTAGAGTCAATTAGTGACTAACAATCTCATTGCATGAGATTCATTAGATATATATAGGCAGAAGTGAGGCAGCAAATTAGCTTGTTCTCCAAGCACCAAATAGCTGTCATACACAAGGATGATTAGCTTGCAGCCGAAATTGTTGACCACGTAATGTCAGCTTCTAAAAGCTTTTTGATGAAGCTGCAATTACACCACCAAATTGAAGATGCATGAGAGAGAAAGTGATGTCACACTTTTGCTGGTGTATGTTTCAATAAAGTGGGGCTGAAGTAATACCTGATCACCACGAAAAGGTAACTGGTGTATGCAAGTTGTCATATCAAAAAAAATTGAGCCACAAATTACTCAACACGGAAGTTGGAGCCGCTTTAAAAACTGGCTCTAATTTTCGGACTGTGAGAGAAATTCCTTAGAGAAACCTGCCTTCAAAAAGCTAAGGTGAGGAATAGCCAATGCCAATGGCAGACTACAGGCGAATTGACAGAGAGCGCCTATTCCGCCGATCCACCTTTCTGCTCTAAGAAGCAGTCCAATCTTCGGCCTTCGTACTCATAGGCAACAAAAAAGCAAACAAGTCTACCAATACATAGTATCGCGGATGACTATAATGATGCTCTCGAAAGATGGTCCGATTCATGATTTGGATAACAAGACTAGGTCCTAGTGGGGCGAGTCGCTCCTAAGTGGAGCGGGTCAAAGGGCCTAAGTATTACATTTGTTCAAATTATCTGATGTCATGATAATTGTTTAAGCAATCTCTATATTATGTTTCCAAAATTTCTTTTCTGGTACCAAAGTCTTCACGGAGTTTCTTTACCGTCCTTTCTTGTCCATTTCCAAAATCTCTATTCTGGTTGCCTCATTTTTTTTTTTTTTTTTGGTTATATGAAAAAAAAACTTTATATTTAAATTTGAATTGTAGTTGCCTTTCAAAAAAAAAAAAAAAAAAAAAATTGAATTGTAGTCTTTCTATAAAAATTTGGATTTCTAAGATTTTGACTGTAATGACCCCACCATATCTAGACACAATATTGTCTCTTTTTGACTTACTCAGACCAGAGACTTCCCAGGCGGTCACCCATCTTGGTACTACTCCACCGGACCAGAGACTTCCCAGGGGTCACCCCATCTTGGTATTACTCCACCGGACCAGAGAAGTTCTGATAGGTTCATTGTCAGCACGACTTTAAAACGCGTTATCGGTGAGGTAGACGTAGCCAGATTGGTTGAAGATCACCTCAAAGCCACTTTTCCACAGTTGTGGTTAACCAATAAGCTTTATTGGTTGGATCTAGCGTTGTTTCTTCCATTGTTCATATTTTCTCATTTCGGTTCTTTTTCGTTCGCCCAGTGTGGTAGCTTATTGGTGTACATCCTGGTACTACTCTAGATTAAGTACGCTCAATTCTGGAGTTCTGATGATTCACGGCCAACACGACTTTAAAATGTATTGTGTCATAGAAGGGTGTTGAATCTACATATAACATTGTCCCATCCATATCCAAGCGATGTGGGATTGTGCACCTGTATCTCACCCAGTGTGGTAGCCTACTGGTGTCACCTGTACACGCTCACACACACCCACCCACAAGATCACCACATTAACATTGTTCCATTAATGGGAACTAAAAATTTTGATTTCTTGATGATTAGATTACACTAAAATTTTAATTCCTCTAGTAGCTAAGGGAATTTTAGGATGTCGAATTAATTTACCATGTAGTAACATGACTTACTAAAATACTTTTACTTATGACATTATTACGAAGTATTAAAGTTGCAAGAAAGTCTTTCCCCTCTTGTAACCCTCTTCACTAAGCTCGTTTTTAAAATCAATCATATTTTCTATTTTTGATAGACAATTCCCATGATTTTGTCTCCGCCCTTGGGGACTCCCAAAAAAACAACAACTTGTGTATCACTTACCTAAGTCACATAACGGAGCAGGAGCGGAAACGAGAGTGAATTTAATAGCAAGAGAGCGGCAGAATTAAGTTATAAGTAGTGAAAATTTAAACAAGAGCACGTGCAGAACGTGAGAGTGGGAGCGCATTCGGAGCGTAAGATCGACATCTGTTGAGAAGGATTGTGTGACTTAATCACCTAATATTAAAATCCACACATTAGATTAACACAAAATAAAAAAAATAAAAAAATTATATACACACACACACAACCATTTGATGCACTTAAAAAAATGAATCACATTACTTTTGTATTATTTCCTTTTTAAACAACATTTTCACATGCTAACGAAAGTTACCACTATAATTTAAAGCTAAAAATAACAAGTGGTTAAAGAGATTTTAGCTAAATACTGAGGTGGGCCCAGGTATGCAATATTAAATGACAGCTCACTAAATTATTTGACTATAGTCATTTTCAGTCGTTCTGTTATTACTCAATTATCCTCTCCCTCCATTTTCTCAAGGGTTCAAAGTTTCACACAGTCATTTCTCACACAGAACTAACCACACTACAACCATGGCGTCATCTGAGCGCAAAGTGAATGTGGACATGGCGAATCTGGCCGAGCGGACGGAGCATTACGAAAAGATGTTGACCTTGATGGAGAAGGTCCCCGCGGCTGCCGGCGCGGAGTCTCTGACGGAGGAGGAGCGGAACCTTTTCGCCAGCTGGCGGATCATCTCCTCGATCGAGAAGAAGGAGAAAGATGACGAGGACTATTTCGCGGAAATCAGAAGGTCGGAGATGGAGTCCAACATTTCCTGTGTTTGTGATAGTATGCTCAACGGCCTTCACGAATACATCATTCCGTCGGCTTCCGCTGGTCGGACGAAAGCAAAATACCTGAAGTTGAAAGGGGATTTGTGTTGGTATCTCGCTCAGATTAAGACTGGTTCGGAGCAGGAGGCCGTTGAGAGCACGCTGAAGGCCTACAAATCTGCGCAGGTATATATTTAATTTATATGCAAGTTAGGGAGTTAGGTTTTATTTATTGGGTTATGTAGTTGCTTCAATTGAACTTTGATAGTGGATGGATATATACATGATTGTCGGTATCTTAGATTTTGAATTTTGATAGTGCATCGATATATGCATGATTGAGTTTTGATAGTGCATCGATAATATCTTGAATTTTTCCAATTGAATTTTGATAGTGCATGGATATATAAATAAAGTGATTTTTGTGCAATTGAGGTACTTGATTGGGGTTTATTTGCTAAAATGATTCTGTGTAAATGATACCACTGCTTTCTTGTTGTAGTATTTAGGAATATATGCAAAATATTTCACTTTAATTTTAAACAAATTCAGCCAGACCGAAATAAAATCATACAAATCCTTGATATGCGGTTCTGATTTAATCAACTTAAAATGTTCCATTGGTATGGTTTAATTTCAATCAAAATAAAATAATAATAAAAAAGCCAACCCTGGCCTTTGGTCAAGAAAAACTAATGAGAGTACCTAGGATCCAAGTGGAGATGAATCTTCTCTAGTGTATAAGTGATGCTTAAAATGATGGCAGTACTGTACTGTTTGCAATGAAAATATTCTGACACATAATGGAATCAACAATTAATCCATCGATTCTGTGAAAAAATTCTGCTAGAGTCTCTCTCTTTATGTGTAATTAAAATCCATGAATAAAAGCAATTGGTTCTCTCTCTTACTGTTAAAATATTTCACCAACAAATTTAAATACTGAACACTCACAATCAAGCGGTGTAAATATAACAATGCCAAATGTTATGTCCACATCCAGACCACGTCTTGCAACACACTCAATTAACAGAGGCATAGTACAAAGACAGTTCTAGTAAATCAAGATGGATAGCCAATACAGGCAGCTTCTAATCGATTAAAGAAAAATATTAACTCCATATTATTTTTTGCTTTATTGATAACTCTGATTTGATCCACCACACATCTCACTGACAACGAGCTAACCCCATACGGTTAATTCTAAGGACATATAACTTCCACACAAAACTAATTGTAAAGAAAAGTAATAAAGAAGGCCAGAGTAGATTAGATAGCACCAAGGGTGCACACCTTAGTATAAACGTATACCCTTGCCTTGCTAGGACCATCAAGACTTTCCCTCCTTATAAACTTTCCCTCTTTGAATATGTAAAGCATAGGTATCCAGTTGATAGTTTCAATTGGCCTGCAGGAAAGTTGCACGCGTGGAAACTAATTCACTTTCATTTCGGGTCTTAGAATTGTGGAGTATTAAGGGCTCCGATTCAAATACTGGAACATGAGTGTCGAATCAGCTGATCCCCCATTTTTCATTCCTATAGCACATAAATAAGGTCAGGAGATATTTGATTTGGTAAAAAGAAATGCATCATAAAACAGTGAGTGAGAGAAGATTGCTATGGAGTGATCTTAGGTTGTATGCCTCTATTGTTGATGGCCCTGGCCATGCGTGACTGGAATATATTGTGCGTTTTAACTCAGAAAAATTGGGTGGTAGAAAACTAGAAATATTCCTCAAGCTATCCTAGATGAATTTAATGACTGCTTGACTGATACTAATTTGGTGGATCTTCATTCTCTACTAATTCTTCTCCAACATGGTGCAATAGACAAGGGATTAGTAGGAGGATCTATGGGAGGTTGGACAGAGCCCTGGTCAATACCAATTGGTTACACAAATTTTCTAATACCAAAGTCGTTGTTCAAAATGCTAATCTAACAACCAGACAAAAATAAGATATGGATTTCATCTGTCATAAGCAAATCAGAATGTAACAGAAAGCATGTAAGCATCCCAATTGAAGTCTCACCTATTGGATAGCTAATTTGCTGAGATATATATTATGATAGACCTCAATGAATTTCCATGAGCAGCAATCATCACATTCCCTCTAGATAAAAGTCGGAGTTCGACCTGCAATAACATAAATTCCAATGTGAGATAACAAAACGTGAAAAAGGAGATCTCAATACATGATCCTTGGCACCTACAGGTAGTTTAATAGTTGTTATTAGGGTAAGAGATGAGATGGATGTTAATAGAGATCTCTGAAGAGTCAAATAAAACAAAAAAAAGATTTCTCAAATAAGCAAAACCTAAAAAAAACTTGCTAGAAGGGCATGCAGCATATATTGGTAGTGCATTTGTTACAATATGCAGATAGGATAAATTTAAATGCTACTACATCAGACACTCGACATAATCAATATAACTAGAAAAGCTAACAAGTTAGTCAATGTGTATGAAAATGGTAATGTTCCAAGACATCTACATTTTTTCACGAATTACCTTCTCGCTACAATGCTTCGTCATAGCAAGCATAGTAGCTTCATCTGAAGAAGAATCCAAAACCAGAACTTAGAAGAATTCACAAAAAAACCAATTCAATCTAAGAATCACGAGTAAATATTCACTTCACAAATATGGGCATCTCAACATAATGATTATCAACTGATCAGGTACAATAATTGTAATGTATTTGTTTAATTTAAATGTTGTCTAACCAAATCCAAATCAGGATGCGACTGTCGAATTTGATTCCTTTAGATAAAATAAGGGTAAAATGCAAAAAAACCCCAGAACTATTGGCCAATCAGCAACAAACCCCCCTAAACTTCCAAAGTTGCAAAAAGCCCCCTAAACTATACATTTTTATTGCAGATTGCCCCATCTGGCGATGTGCCGGTGGAATGTTGCTGTCAAAATCATCATGTGCGGTCACGTGATCACACAATATATATTCAATGCCCATAATGCCCTTATGAGCATGAAAAGGCCCTATTAGCCCTTATTGTGAACATTACACCCAAACACACCCTTATCATACTGTTACACCCAAACATACCCCTAATTTACTGTTGCACCCAAACATGCCCTTATCCCTTCTGTCCACACACAAACATACATACATACATACACACACAACACACACATATAGTTAAAAACACTATTTATCTTCTTCTTCTTCGAATCTTTATGGAAAAAAAAAAATTCGTACAGACCTAATCTCTCTCTCTCCCTTTACTGTTACACCCAAACAAAGAAAATTAGGATGATGGATCATCCCCACCTACCCACAAGAGATACTGCTCGCGTCAACATGGAACCCATAGAACCCACACACACACACATATACACATAGTTACAAACACTATTCATCTCCTTCTTCGCATCTTTTTGATAAATTAAAAATTCTTGCCGACCTAACCTTTCTCTCTCCCCTTCTATCTGTTTGTGTGTGTGTGTGTATATATATATATATCGTGTGCTTGTGTAGCGATTACAGATTGTCCATAGTAGAAATACAATATAGAAGAAAGAGAAGAGAAATATGTAAAAGGTTTTAATGAGATTTATAATATGTAAAAGCTTGAATGATATTAATCACTCATTCACAGCTCTAGTATTTATAGATAAAATAAGAGCACATGCTCATATTACAAGAAAAGAAACTAAATCAAATATAAATCAAATCTCTGCTAATATGGTAAGTCAGTCCATAAACCATGGCTATCATATATGCTAACATATGCATAAGCAAATCTATGCTAATATGGTAAGTCATTTCATAAATCGTGGCTATCATATATGCTAACACTCCCCCTGTTGGTGCGTGGATATTTGAAACGCCCTACTTGGACAACGCATCTTCAAACAGGGTCTTGCTAGTACCCTTCTTTAGAATCTACAAGTTGCAGAGTGCAAATCTGACTACATTAAAAATGTCGATCAACAAATCAAAAATGTCTCCTCAGACCATAAACAATTAATAATGTCTCCTCAGATCGTAAACAACCAATCACGTCTCCTTAGACCGTAAACAACCAATAATGTCTCCTCAGACTGTTCCCCTTCACATGTTTAAAACATGTAGATGGAAGAATCAACAATGTCTCCTCAGACCATTCCCCTTTATACATATGTTTAAACAATGTAGAAGAAAGAATCAACAATGTTTCCTCAGACTATAAAAAAGAAACAACTATGTCTAATCAAACTATTTTTGAATAGGTGGTGCCAAACTCGCTACGCCCTTATTGAGGTCGGATCATCCTGCCTACCTAACACCTCCCGGATGGGCGATGTTACCTTAGACCATTCCCAAATGAGTGATGCCGAACTCGTAATGCCCTCATTGCAGTCAGACCACCCTGGCTCTGATAGCAAGTAAAAATACAATATAGAAGAAAGAGAAGAGAAATATGTAAAAGGTTTTAATGAGATTTATAATATGTAAAGGCTTGAATGATATCAATCACTCATTCACAACTCTAGTATTTATAGATAAAATAAGAGCACATACTCATATTACAAGAAAAAAAACTAAATTAAATCTCTGCTAATATGGTAAGTCATTTCATAAATCATGGTTATCATATATGCTAACATATGCATAAGCAAATCTACGCTAATATGGTAAGTCATTCCATAAATCGTGGCTATCATATATGCTAACATCCATCGAAGAATTTATAAAGGAAGCATTTGTTGGAGAAGAAACAATTGATTTAACAACAAACGGGTTTGAATGAAACAGAGGTTTTGAAACCCAAATTCAAGAGTGAAACCCAAAAAGAACTGTCACTACTCCTCTCTGCCGATGCCCTCACACTCCTCATCGGAACCCTAAATCCGCCGGCGACACACCCCCTTTTCGTCTTCACACTCGTCGCCAAATTGATGGTTCAGATTGAGACCCCATTGCTTGTTTCGGCGAACCCAAATCGAGAACATGGTCGACATGAATCGGGTGTCCTCATGACGTTTGTTGATGCAAAATCTCGCGTCGGCTGCGTTCAGCATATCGCCGATCTGTTCCCGGAACATGGTCAACGGGAATTGGACACCTTATACACACACACACACACACACACACACACACACACATATATATATATATATTTGGGGGAGATTTGAGTTTTGATGGGTTGATGTTGCAGAGAATGGTTTAGAGAGAGAAAGGATGAGATTGGTTTGAAGGTGTGGTTGTGGAGAGAGAGAGTGGTGGGAGAGGGGTTTTGGTGTTTGGTTGAATTGTCATATTCTAATTGGTCCTTAAGACTAAAGATTCCACATCATACAATTAAGTGTACAAGTAGGATAAAAAAAATAAAAATAAATAATAATTAAGTGTATAAGTGCCAAAACGACGTCGTTTTACTAAGGGTATAATTGTCTTTTGATTTTTCCGATCAACCCAACTTCTGGATTGTCCTTAACTGCAACAAATTAATAGTTCAGGGTTTTTTTTTTTTTTTTTTTTTTTTTTTTTTTTTTTTTTTTTTTTTTTTGCATTTTAACCATAAAATAATAACAAATTTCTTACATTTCATTGCTTCCTCATCAGATTTCCTATTTGAAAGTCTGAAGCTTGAAAAGAGTCAACACATGCCAAACAAGCACAAATGGAGAAAAATGAAAAGAGCACAAAAAAGTGTAATTTTGAAAATAAATCAAGGCATTTCCATCAACCTAAACTCTTTGACATAACCTATAACATGTGTTTTAGGAACTTTAGGCTACAATCCTGGCGATGCCCATTCTATTGGAAAGTTTCAAACGAGGCCTGTAAAAGTAGGATTGAAATTCTCATAATATTTAGATATTTTTGAAATATTTAATCGATTCGATTATGGATCTTTCACATGTGTCAATGTTCCAGCATTCTCACTATTGGGTCTTACCTTGGGGAAGTGTCTATATTGCTTCTTGTTAATTCTATAATTAAAATTCTCCTCGTCACTACGCCGCATCTCATCGATAAGACAAACTGTTTTACAACTTGATTTGGGGCTTCCCTTAAAACCAATAAACTAAACACCCAATCAAAAAATAATCGGATACTAAACAACCAATCAAAAAATTAATGTAGTCTTCATCCCACCACCAGAAAATAAATAATTGACTATAAATAAACATTTAAAGAATTTCGAGATTTTCTTCATTCCAAAACCGAGAAATCCAAGAACCAAAACACTAATTCAGGAATTGTGGTTAAGCATATATTCATGTCACAATCATCAATATCCAAGAACCTTAATTCCAATCTAAAAATTTCTACAGAAACTGAAAACCCACCTGCAAAAATTTGATATAATGAGACACGAAACACAATAAATTATAAACAACGATCACATAATCAAAACTAAACTACAGAGATGACCAAAGCGAAAAAATGCAAAAATATTTAGACTAAAAGCCTGAAATCTTGAGAATGAAGAAAATAGATTGTACCAGACATTCCTATTCCACAGGACTTACTGAGTAGGTGAGTCGGAGAGTACGAGTCGGATTGAAGTTTTCACATGGTGTTCTAATCCATCAGTTGAAGCAAAAACGAAATTGAAAATCTCCTTTGACATCGGAAAGTTGCTGGTAAGAGAAGATGATGTCTGGATTGAAAAAGATGGCTGAGAGAGAGGGGGGAGGAGAAAGACAGTTCAGGTTTATGTTCATCTTGTCTAGTCATTCTTTGTTCAAGCATTGGAAGGAGAAATGAAACAATGGGAAGAGAAAAATATGGAATAAAAGCGTAACGGCACAAAATACAAAGGGTTATACAACACTTGAAAATTAATTTTTTTTTTAAAATTTTAAATAGCATAAAAAATGTATAAAAATATTAAAAATTGTATACATTTTTAATAGATACGATATGCGTGAACCTGATTTTAGTCAGCTTCTTGTCACTCTTTCTCCTCTCTCTTCCTCTCTCTCTCCAACTCTACAGAATATTACCATGAATTTTTAGGGAAAGAAAGATATATAGGCGAACAAAGTTTTTTTTATAGGCAGAATGAAGCTTAGATAGAAGAGTCTTTCGTGCCTGTTTAGAACCCTAGATCAATGACAATACGTCAGTGCCATTAAATGGATCAAAGACTTCTGTCAGAGGTTTGAAGAAGTTGTATCCAACAAATAGTTGACTTTTCAGAATATTTGAAGTGCCTCCTCAAGTTCATTTCTTAGCATTTGTGTCCTTTGGAAAACAAAACAGTGCATCTGTTAAGAAGAAAATCTTAAATAAAGTAATTTATTAATTTAAAATGGTATTAACTCTCTCTTTTAATTGTTAAAGTGTATATAAATTTTAAGTATTTATAAGGAGTATAGATAGATAATTTTTTTTACTGTGTGTGTGATCTTTGCAAGAAAGAATGATGGGTCTGTTGACTGTTGGTGGAATATAACTTGAGTTGGGGAACGTTTGCTGATAGAGGCAATAAAGATAACAGTGTTAATAAAACCAAAAGTCGCGTTTTTTTCGTTTTAATAAAAATGGAAAAGTCAATAATTTTTAATTTAAAATAAATGTTTTAAATGAAAAGTCGCATTTTTTCACCAACTATTTTAATAAAAACGAAAAGACACTAATTTTTTAATTTAAAATAACTATTTTAAATATATATAAATATTAAAAATTGAATCCCCTTTTATAAGGGATATAGATAGATAGATAATTTTTTTTTACTCTGTGTGTGATATTTGCAAGAAAGAATGATGGGTCTGTTGACTGTTGGTGGAATATAACTTGAGTTGGGGAACGTTTGCTGATAGAGGCAATAAAGATAACAGTGTTAATAAAACCAAAAGTCGCGTTTTTTTCGTTTTAATAAAAACGGAAAAGTCAATAATTTTTAATTTAAAATAAATGTTTTAAATGAAAAGTCGCATTTTTTCACCAACTGTTTTAATAAAAACGAAAAGACACTAATTTTTTAATTTAAAATAACTATTTTAAATATATATAAATATTAAAAATTGAATCCCCTTTTATAAGGGATATAGATATAGATATATGGCTTATTGAGAGAAGGCAAGTTGTGTATCAGTCAATGCAATGTACTTATAGAAAGTGCAATGATGTTTGTGGAAAATTTGTGTCCAGATTTTTTGAACTAGCGTAAATGCTATATCCAAAAGAATTGATGGAACACTTCGTCAAGACCTTATGGTTATGGACTGGTTCAATTTTATTCATGACATCTAAGTGCTTAGGTGGAGTATACCGACTCGATGAGGTTGAACAACTGAAGGTCTCATAAGATTATAGGTTTAACATTCCCTAAATTTGGTTTCTCTCATTTGCTAGGGACAAAATGCCGATATATGACTCAAATTAGATCAAGTAAACCAAATTATAAAAGAATGCAAAGCTCATATAAGAAATAGAAATGCAAATAAGGTGGATCATTTGAATATTGCAAACTAGTGTATAGGAATTGATGCAAAAGGTAGAAATTAGATGCAGTATTGGTGATAGCAAAACTAGAGAACAGTGTATTAAAAGGTCAATAAATACAAACAATGGTTCAGTTCAAGTAAGGATCTGTTGCAAATAACTTGATTGTTGTTCACTTCCATCGCAACTGGTAAAATATTGGTCTCGTTATCGTAATTCAGTAAAAAAAAGGGAGTTGGCACTTTTATGGATTTTTCTTATTTTTGGGTTGATTATGGACTGTTGAGAAATATGCACAGATAAAATGGTAAACCTAGTTTGGGATTAAGTATGAGGTCAGGAACTTGCTACCATCAAGCTTAGACATACTGCATCTTATCTGAATAAAACAGAATTGTGAAACACCACATCGATTGGGCTATACTTTTTGAGACAATTTATCAGTACAAATTGCAACTTCACCAATTTTCAATTCAAAGTGACTTCTAAAAATTTTCATCTTGCATGATTCATTTATCAATGTTATTTGCCTTTCCCCCACCACCAAAAAAAAAAAAGGAAAATCCTGACCCTTTCCTTCGACTACACTCTGTACCAGAAGGTCTAGAAGAATGGAAGCTACTTTCTGCATCAGATTTTGAACATGTTCTACTAACTTGGTTAACTATTGTCGTGCTCATATTCTTGCTGTATAGTCTCAAAATTTTCTGTCAACCCAAAGTCATCTCCTATGTCAACACAGTCCTCTTAAGCATCATTAACAAAAGCTCCTTACGATTGAGACTTTAATTACTCTCTCTTTTTCTCATTAGTATATTGAAGATGTCACCATATGTTAGATAACTTCTTTGTCAACAAGTTCATGATAGTTCTGACCCTGCCAAGTTTTCCTTAGTAATTTTTTGAAAAACCTTACAATCCCACTATTTGTAGAATTTGAACAAATTTGATTAATACAATCTTCCAACAATGTGGGTTCTCAAATTTCCTGAAAGTACATACTCTATATTGATCAGCCATAATCAAATTATAAGTCAAATATTGACAATTTAACTTAATATATACACTAGTAATTTAATATACGTGTCAAAATAGTAACTACGAGGTATAGATTGGTAATCTAAGTACAAGATATATAATAAACTAATATTTTATAGGTTATGGTTCTTTAGATATTTATAGTTCTTGATTTCATTTATTATTCGGTGAGCACGCCAAATACTAAGTATAGATTGGTAATCTAAGTACAAGATATCTAATAAACTAATATTTTATAGGTTATGGTTCTTTAGATATTTATAGTTCTTGATTTCATTTATTATTCAGTGAGCATGCCAAATACTACTATTAGAAAATTTTCATATTTTTGGGTTGATTATGGGCTGTTGAGAAATATTCCATCAAGGCTTAGACATACTGCATCAATAAAACAGAATTGTGAAACATGACACCGCTTGGATAATACTTTTTTGAGACAATTTTTCAGTACAAATTGCAATTTCACCAATTTTCAATTCAAAGTGACTTCTAAAAGTTTTAATCCTCTATGATTCATGTAACCCTTTTCCTAATCTCAGCCAAAAGAACTCCAATGTTATTTGTCTTACCCCCCAAAAGGATAATTCTGACCCTTTCCTCTGACTTATCAATGTTTTTGTTTCAGCAATACATAGGTCAATATCTAAGACATCTACCAGACAACAGTCATGTCGTGGAGAGGGTTGTAGCTGACACATTACCAAAAGGATGGATAAAAGAGAGAAGAAGTCGAAAGTGGGGGATCCAAATAGACCCGGTATTTGATAGATTCTTCCCACTTTTGATTAAGTTCCAGGCAGTTTTTACTTGCTCTCTCTCTCTCTCTCTATATATATATATATATATATATATATATCCACACACACGTACATTTATACATGTGCATATGTATGAGTACCATGCATCTTTGTTGTGAATTACATTATAAACTTGTTGCAGTTTTCAAGTCCCATACTTTCCAATTCCCCTATATTCTGGAACTGTCTAAATTTTAACCTTATTTCCTACAGTATTACACAAATCCTGAATGTAAATATGAATTTCTCTCCAAACGGGATGTTGACCGCTATCGGGAGGGTAAAGAATGTAAAATGCACCAAAGATCAATGAAGCAAATTATCTGGGGTTATTAAATGATAAGATCTCGGTAAGTGTTCGCCTTCTTGGTACCTTAATTGTGATCTGTTCTCTTTGCTGTAGTTGTGAATTTTCTTCAATATACCAGTGGGTCAGTTTAATTTCTTCTGTTGTCACTGAATTTGAGAAAAATTGTAATTGCTGTGTATTCTAGATTTTACACATATTACTAATATTTTCAATTAAATGTGTGTTGGTTTCAGCGTTACGTCAAAAATCTTGGTGGAGGTAATTCCTACTTGAATGCAGAGGTGCCCCAGGATCTAAAATCTCGAGCAGGCAAGAGTCTTACATCCAAAGAGAAGGAAGTAAGCATTCTCAACCATTATGAAATATTGTATATATTGTAGAAAACTACTTTGGGAGAAGCTAAGAGAAAAAGAGTGCATTTTGTCCAAAATTAAAGGGGAGGGTGCATATGGTCTGCTTGTGCCACGTCTTTTTTTTGTCCAATTCCTTTGTGCTTGTACTGTTGTGCAGACTTTAGAGCTTTTTGGCTAAAAGGGAAAGGCAATAAAAAGCACTCTGATTCTTCATAATGGATTTGATGAAATGGGTGTTGCCATGCGGCCCAGTAAAATTCAGTAGTACTTTCTTTCCATATTAAATTTTCTGACATTTTGACTTTTGCAAAATCAAAATTGTTTTCTGTGCTGTTTGTTGGGAGAAAATAAAATTTTAGGAATTGCTATTCAATCCTAATAATTTTAGTGGAGAATCCTAATAGACAGATTTTTATTCTTTAGACGAATTGGATAAGACCAAAAGAAATCTCTCTAATTAAATTTTGAATTGACTATTAAGTCTGAAAATGATTATTCTTAAATTTTAGGTCTAAAGTTACAAACTGTAAAGTGTCAATTGTTGATATGTTTACCAAATCTTAGAACAAAATCCAATTTAAAATATCTAATGTATTTTTAATATTATCTAGTAAATTATGCTACGTAGAGATAATGCAAAATGGACCCAAACACCGCAGTTGGGGAACTAAAGTTTTAATTGAGTGTTTGAGTTCCATATTCTATTTATTCATACCTGCATGCAATAATCTAAATTATTTTGAGTAGATGGGAGAAAGAAAGTATGAATTAATTAATCAACTGAGCATTTTTTTAATACTAAAAAATTCATTCAAAAGATAAGAAGGATGTTAGAGGCAAAGGTATATATTCATTCCATCACTTTTAACTTTCTTGATTATGTTGTATTATCTTAAAGAAATAGTCCGATGACAAAGACTCTCACCTCACATCTTGAGGTTGGGAGTTTGAATTCCCTTGAGCCGTTCCAAGAGAACTTTCTCGACCTCGCCTTTGGATGGAAAAGCTCCGACAAAGACGATTAACAAGTATTTTTTTTTTAGTAAAGATATATATTCAAATATGATGCTCAATTTATCAACACGGGTTAAAAATATTCTGTCATTATTCCATAACTTTAGATACCAAATTAGATCAGTGCATAGGATTCTTTCAAGAATGTTGAGTCAAATACCTTAGAACTAAAGAAAACATTTTTCCCCTGTTGCTAAAATGACCCCCTTCTTGGCATTCTTGGCTTTGACAATTAAAAATTTCAAGGAATTTTTCCTTCTGGTCTTAGTTCGGTATAAGATCAAACAATAGCTGCCAGTGTAGCATTAAGGTTAGGCTTAAATTAGGCTTATGCTATCTTTTGAAGTTACCGCGCTTCGAACTTGTGTGGGATTGAACTTTACAACCAATGAAGCAAAGATTGCACTTTCGATGATTTTGCAGCGTTACAAGTTCACCCTCTCACCAAATTATGTTCATTACCCAGCTGATATATTCATTCTCACCCCCAAAAATGGAGTTCAGGTCATCCTCCAACCTATCTGAGCGTAAAGAAGAGTCAGCAACATGTACATGAATAAATATGGTGGAGAACACTGTTTGTTAATATAAGTTTGTTTTGGGGGTCAACTGTGTATATGATATGTGTATATTGAGAGTGTAATAATTTGGATGTTGAAATTCGTGATCAAAATATAATTATTTATAAATAATGCAAGTTTAATGTAGATCCTGATCCGATATTATTTGCATGATGTTAACCCTAATCCTTAATGTTTTTCCCTTATCCTTGGCAGGTTTAAAAAAAGAAAAAGAAAAAAGAAGTGTACGAGCAACCTATGGCCCCATTAATTCACAGGGCATGAGTTAGACTATTTTGTCTGCATTTTCTTGATTTTATCCTAAGTTTACAATGGTGAGTAAATATCTCAGAAAATGTTGGTTTAGACAAAGACATTGTGCAGATTAAGTTATTATTCCCCCCCCCCCCCCCCCTCCCCCCCCCCCCCACACACACACACACACACACACAGATGTATATGCATTCTCAACCCCATACAACACATATATCTAGCAATTTAAAATCCAAGTTTAACAAAAATAAAATATAATAATTCATTCTTTTAATTAATCCAATCTAACCATGATTCAATTTAATAATTTAATTAAAGTTTTGATACTCAAGGTGAAATCTTTATGGGGTCTAAGAGGCAAGTTAGAAAACAACTCACCTGAAGGTTTTGAAACAAAACCGCCGCTTCAAGACTCTTCCAATCCCAACATCCTTTTTCTCAGATTCAGTCTCCTCCTTGTCGGCCTCCTCTTCTTTTCTTTCTCTCTACTTCTCTTATTTTTTCCTTTTAACGTGAAAAACCTTTTAAAGTGAAAAACCTCTTTAATTACTAATCCTATGTGTATATATAACCATATTAACACTCCAATCCTATTCCAATAATGACTACTAAATAAAGAAAGTAATAATTATTTTTAAATAATACATATATAAACATATATTATATTATATTATATATATATATATATATATTCCTTCCTTCTATAATTAATCATTATTTAATTAAATCATATATACCTATAAATATCCTTCAATATATATCTACATATATATCCTTCCACAATAATAATTAATTAATTCTATTTATTAATGCATGTTTTGGTGTTAAATACCAAAAGCGAAATGGAAAGACATTAGCTAGTTACCAAATTTCTGTTATAAAAGATAGAAATTTATGTTATAAAGTGTAAGCTTGTTGATTGACACATATGAATGCATGTTACAACAAACACATAAAATAGCACAAACACAGTAAAAAAAGTTGACTGAAAACGAAAATCACACATAACAATGATACTTATTAATTGCTATATATTCTGGATTTAACACATTTTATTGATATGTGTGTTTGTTTCAGCATTACATAGATCAGTCTGTTGTTGGTGGCAAATTATTTACGAATCCAGAGGGGTCCCATAAACGAAAGTCTCTAACAGGCAAAAGTTTTGCATCAAAAAAGAAGGAAGTAAGCATTATTAACAACCATTCTGAAAAATATTTATTCTTAGTCAAAACCTTATGCTTCATTTGTTGCAAAAATTACCATAGGGATGTCTCCACTTGTTTTATATTCCAGATTGGAACTTCTTTCCATATTCTTTATTGTTGTGCCTGAGAGATCTAATACTAGATGGAAATTCTAATGTGTTTTACATTTTTGCATCACTAGTCTCAATCTGCGTGTAGAGAGGAGAAGAATACAAGCAGAAGAGGACTTTTCGCAGGTGAGAAATGGAATAACCATTACACATCTGTAGTTATGGTTTATGATAATTATGTAACACTGGCTTCTAACATAGAACTATATATCTGCTGCAGGTAAAGAAAGTGGTTATATAAGCTACTTTCTAGGTCCAGATGCTGAGGGCTCAAACAAATTGAAAGGCAAGGGTGTAATGACTCGTTCACAATCACGTAATGATGTGATTGGGAAGTTTGCTAAAAACAAGGAAAAGTTTGAAACAGATAGCTTAGTATTGCCAACAATCAATGACTGGAATATAAAACGTGGCAAAAGGTCCTGTCGATCTTGGAAATACCCTACAGGGCTGAGATCCAGCCAGGTGCATGGTTTGGGAATTTTGGAACAAAAGGGCCAAGCTGCTCTAGAACAGCAACAAGGAGGGCAAGAAAGTGGTGCTATAAGCAACTCGGTAAATCTAGATGATCAGGGCTCAACCAAACTGAAATGCAAAGGCAAGTGTACAACGCCTACTTCAAGTCAAAAGCCAGAGACTTTTCAAGAAATGATGAATCGTCCCCCAAACGACCCTTTTTGGAAAGAAATGATGAATCGTTCCCCAAACGACCCTTCTTGGAAAGCCTTTTTGGAGACAAAAATCGACCTTTCTTTTCTTGATTCGATGTTAGATGAAGTATCGAATACTCATGCAAGCTCCAGTAATGTTGGTCCTCAGCAACAAGGAGGGCAAGAAAGTGATCCTTTTTGGAATAAATTCGACTTCTCTTTTCTTGATTCGATGGATGATGAAATATCCAATACTCATGCAAGCTCCAGTAATGTTGGTCCTCAGCAACCAAGCTCGGAGTCAAACACAGAAGATGAAGCAAAGTAAAAGGGGTGGGTTTTTTGCAGTAAAAGTTTGAGGGTGAAAGTGAAGTTTTAGAGGGGAATGCTAGTTATGAAACTGTTGGAATATACTTTTTTGGACAAGAGTGCCTTTGTTATGGTAGATGTTTTTAGATATAGTTGTTGGGCTATGATATTGTCAAGTTGTTTGCTTTGCTTCTTTTCTTAGGTGCTTGCATGTCGCTCCTGTGTCTTGAGTTCCCACAACCGTGAGAGGATATTTGTATTGTCAATGCTTCCTCAATTCCCTGTACAAAACATTTTGTTGTCTTGAGTTTGCCTTGAGATGGAGGAAGCCGTCTCCTGTACAAAATATTTTGTTGTTCACTTTTCCTCAATTCCCTAATACTTGGTTGGTTGTTCAGAAAAGGAAAACAAGCGATTTCTTTTTGAAGTGTTGTCTTTATATATATATATATTTTTATTGTTGGATTTGAATGTTTGTATTATTATTACTAGAATGGCCGTTGGTGCATGTAAATATGCACCTATCGTTGAAGAGAAATTTGTATGTATCATGGGTGCTAGTTATTTTAGTCTGTTAAAGGATTAGACTGGACTCGAAATGGATTGAAACATTCCATAAAGGGGTACAGAAGAAACATATGACAAGTTTATATAAACATTATCGACTCTTCACTGATTTAAATCACACTCCCTAAATCACATTACTAACGTATCAGGCTGGTCACACCCCTCAACTGGTGTCAGACATACCAGATCAATTATTGTTCAAAGTTTATTGAGAGAAATTATTGAGTACAATGGATGCCCATGAATGTACTCTCGACTAATAAACAACTTGTCTTGTTAACAAAGTAGTTAATCATTATTTTTTTCACTTCTAAATTTGGTTTCGATATTTGGGAGTTTCAAATTTATATTTCACTCAATTTATTAACTCATTTCTTGAACTGAAATCAAAACATATCCAACCCGATTATCCCAAGCTCCAAGTTGCCATTAGCCCACAATATGGTACACAAATGATGTGTATAATCAGATTCAATTAAAAATCATATCTTATTGAATTAGATGTGTCAAATATGAATTGTGTATCTATATGACTCGACTCACAGAAACTAGGACCATTCATTTGACACTTCCAATCACAACTTTTCTCTAGGACTAGAGAAAGGCCTCGAGTTAGAGGATGAATAATAATATCCCACCACATTGTTAATTTGTTGCTGGTTCTCTAGAACTACTCTCTCCAAGTACACATAAACCTTCCGTCCATTTTAGGTGACTCAAATTGTTTACTCTTAAATGGGCTGGCTCAGTGGATTTTGAAATTGGCTAAATGCAGGCGTACCAGAACCAATGTTTTTGGTTTGATTGAAAAACATCTAATCAAGTTAAGTTTCTTTTATAAAAATAATAGAACATGCTACATGTATAAGAGAACATGAAACTCTCAATTGAGTATTAAAACATGACTTAGGAAAAGCGCATTACAATGGAGTGAAAATTGAAATGCAAAAGTTATTTGTGCCTACTGCAATTGAATGAACACAAATGGAAATAACAAATAATAAGAATTCAATTGTAACGAAGAATTTAGTTAACCAAGGAAACTAAATTAGAATTTAATAAACTAAAGAAAGTTGAATTAAATTAGGAAAGCATGATTGAAAAAATGTATTGATACAATTGATGTGTGAGGTGCAGGATCCATTTTAAATGCTTATTTTACTCGCAAGTGCAAGAATTTATTGTTGTATAGAAAATGTAAATGCAAGATCAACCAAAGGGAATGCCTTGAAAGAAAACTAATGCGAATCTATATTAATTTAATTTAACTAAGCTGATTGAAGAGAGTGAGTTTGTTAAACTAAATATGTAAAAAAACATAAAATGAAAACTTAATAAATAGGGAAAATATCTAAGGTATCGGATTCTACTTCCATTAAACTTACAATTTTGGAGTAGCAATGTAGAAATCAATCTATTGCTTTCTCAAGATTTATCAATAAAACACAACTGAAAATATTTAATCAAAAATAAATTCTTTTTCGCTTCAAGGAATAAATCTCAAGAATAATATGTATCCAATTTCAATGAAACTTAATATTAAATGTTTTACAGTGGTGGGTCTTGAACTGAGAAGATCCGGAGAGGGAGGAACAGGTCGCCGGCGACAGGGCTTACTGGTCCGGCGACGGCAAGACAGAGGGTCTCACGGACGGATCGGCGGCGATTGGCTGCAGCTTAGCAAGAACGACTGGTGATGATGCAACGGTTGTCCGCCTATCCGATCTGAGCAAGAACGACTGGTGATGACGGAACGGTTGCCCGCCTATCCAATCTGAGCCGCGGTAGTGAACGGAACGGTGTCGCCGTATTTTGAAAGGGTACTTTGGTCTAAAAATATTTGTGCCTTTAATTCCTTCATAGCTTATAGAAATAATATTATATATTAATATGGTAATTTTTTTTACAATTGGAGTGTCAGATAGATTTTGCCAAGTAATCGGCCAAATTTATTAGTGTAAATATTTTCCTAAACTCATTAAAGTGAAAATTAAATGAATGAAAACTTCAAAGATTACTGTATATGAAAATTAATTACCCGTACTAAAGAAAAAAATTAACCAAACTAAAACAAACAAATTGAATAAAAAATGCAGCACACATTCTTTTCATATATTATATTTTTACCTTTCCATCATCTCATTATATTCTTTATTAATTTTTTTTATTAATTTTTTTTTATTAAACATGGATTTTGTGTTGGGATTTTTCCAGATGACGTGGCAATGGTGGGTTCGAGTGATGACGTGGCACTGGTGGGCTGATGATGACGGAACAGTCCCAAAAATCATGTGGCAGTTGGTTGGGATATTTTACCAATAATATAGATGCATATACGCTACTCCTTGGAGTTAAACTCGGACGTCTAGCTGAACAGTACCACGTTCGTGTTTGTTAGAGCTCTTCCTGTGTTAAATGTTGGCCTAAAAATTAAGGTACATTACACAGACACTCCTGTTAGGTTAGATTATTTTTCGGGTAGATGAAAATTTTGTTTTTAATTTTCACTTACATCCTAATTTATTTTTGAGTTAATTATAATGACACCCCTTGAAATTTGTCATATTGACAATTATTTATAACTTAGCCGTTTTTTGAACAAACACACCCCTTTAGATTTGATAAAGTTAATAAATCCACCTCAATGGTCGTGAATTGACATTATTGTCCTTTGACACATTCAATTACCAATTTATCCAATACAATTCTTTTTTATTGACCAAAATACCCTAGAAACCCTACTTCACACCCACTATTATCATTTCACAGCCCTACCATAACCGCCACCACCGCCACCACCATGGTGCTCGAAATAAAGCTATCAAATATCACAAAATACAAAATAGAAAGTGCAAAGATCAACTCCTAGTCTCTCATAAAATAGCAATCCAATTTGTTTTTGGAAGTCTGACTATCCGAGAATCAATATTTTACTGAGCGTCGTAACCTTTGAAGTGAGAAAGAATTAAACATTTTGATTTGATTTGCACGAATCTCGACTCTTGTTCAACACATTGATTAATGATTCTATATAATATACAGACATATATGTGTATAATATCCATCTTCTTCACCAAATCCACTTCCCCCAAATTCCTGTAATCTATCTTTTTCCTATATATATGTGTATATAGATTGTGATTAATCGAACCACCATGTTCTTCTCGTCGAAGCGGCGGAGCCTAAGCATCGGGTCGCTATCGGGAACTTCTCTAGCCGTCAACGTTGTCTGGTATGATGGTTGCCTTCGTCGAAGCTTCCACTTGTCGTCGCCGTCGTCGGGAATCACAGTTGGATTACAAGCTTTTGTTTGGTGGTAGGATAGGGTTGGTGCGATAGCAGCGGTTGTGGTTATTGGGGAGAGGCGACGGCGGCTGTTTTTAGCGTCGGTGCGATGGTGGTGGTTGTAGATGAGAAGTGGTGGCGGCGGCTGTGGTTGAGAAATGGTGGCAGTATAAGAAGGGAGAGGCGGCGACTGTGGTTGTTGGCTTCGGTGCGATGGTGGCGACTGTGGAAGAGAAGTGGTGGCAGCGGCTGTGGTTGAGAAGTGGTTGCGGTGGCTATGGTTGAGAAGGCAGCGACGGCTGTTGTTGATCAAGAGGTGGCGACGACGGCGGACAAAGACGCAAAGGCGATGGCGGATGTGGATGGGGCAGTGGCAGAGGTGGAGGAAGAAGGCTTTGAGATTTGGTTATATGTATATGTATTTATATATGATGTATATATTTAAGATTGGTTATATGTACATATATTTATATATAATGTATATATGATGGTACTAATGTAATAGTGAATATATATAAGGGCAAATTTGACTTTTCATGAGTTCTGATATTTTGCCATAAAAATAAATTAAACATTGAAGGGCAATTTCGTCTTTTCAAAAGTTTTAAGGGCTTGTTTGTATCAAAAATTCTCATAGGGGGTGTTTTTGTTCAAAAAACGACTAAGTTGTATATGACTGTCAATATAACAAACCTCAAGGGGTGTCGTTATAATTAACCCTTTATTTTTTGACCTCAAATACATGCGAATGGACCCTTTTACCTTTAATTTTTTAATACAAAAGATCTTTAATCTTAAATAACATAAATGCCCCACAACAATTTTGAGTTTCATCTCTTTCATCCCATCCAATCTCCTCTTCTCCATTGAAATCCCCAAGCTCGCCGTCACCAAAGATTTTGATGATTCCAATTCCCCTGACCTCTCTGTCGTTGCTGAAAAGGGCCAGGTTAACTTCATTTCAACCCTCTTTCTCTCTTTACAATATATACACACACATAGAGATGCATGATAGGGAGCATTAATGGATTTTGAAAATGGATTGACATTAGATTCCTCAGATTATCTCTTTTTTTTTTTTTTTTTCTTTTTTTTTTTTTTTCTCAAATTTCTATTCAAATTTGGAGTGATGATGAATTGATGATGATGAACAGGGGACTTGTACTCATATTGAACCCATCTAATTAATGCTTTGTTTTTTGTATGATCAGATGCATAGAACCAAACCAACTTGAAATGGGTTTTCCTTAGATTATGCTCTCCATTTTTTCTTTTCTTTTTTATTTTTTATTTTTTATTCCCCCCCACCCCCCTCTAATGATGTAAATGATTGTAGATTACGTGTAGAGATTACCCACATTCAAGGCATGTATGTGTGAATTTCCCTTTGAGAAGACGCCTTATGAGAGTTACTGTGAACGATGACCTAATTTGAGGAGGAGGAGGAAGAAGAGAGGAAAAATGTATGTTGGGGTAGTTTGGTCAGAAAAATAATCAATAACAGGTCAAAGGGTAGAATAGTCATTT